TTGTCCCAGCACAGAGCAATGATTGATAAAGTAACAAAAAGGGAAAGCCAAGTAGACATAAATGAGGCTCAAGTAAGGTAAACAAAACATTTCTGTGTTTCCAAGCGGCAGTATTGCTGGGGCAGACTGTAGGGGAAGTAGCTGAGGGTTTTGCTGCTTTGAGCTGATGGGGAAATGTCTTATTAGACTTGGGCTCATTGTGGGAAATCATGAATTAGGATAGGCAGAGTTCCTTAGTTGAAAAAGATTTCTGAGTTTAGTTCTAGGCCTGCAATATTGTACACTAAACTTTAGAGGTTAGATGTTGTGCTGTGTGTCTTCTGGCATAGTGCAGGCACAGCCTGCCGAGCTATAAGGAGCACCAGCTATTAGAACACCACCATAACTTTACAAGTAGCAGCTTGCTAGTTCAGAGCATATTCTGTTATTTCAGAACAGATATCTGATTTGAATAGATCCACTCTCAGAAAAATACTTAGGAGGGAAGTTGAGCAGTGACTACTAGTATTAAAAAATTGCTTATTTTTAAGCCAGAAAGAAAAGGAAAAATACTGGATGGTCTCACTCATAGCAGGAATCTAGAAAATTTAAATAAGGGACCAGGAAAATGAATAACAATAAGAAAGTGAAAATCAAAATCAACAAACAACTATAAACCAGACACACTCCATGGGTGGTGGGGGGTGGGGAGGGGAGGGATTGGGGTCAAAATAAGGGGATTGCAATTGTATGGGGAATATAAAAATAAAATTTATTTTAAAAAATTGTTTATTTTTAAAGGTATGGTTAATGGTATTATGGATGTGTGTTAAAAAGCAGTCAAAATTAGCTTCAGTAAATAATAAATATTTGTATGAAAAATAAAAAGAAATCATTCCAAAAAGTACACCTGTACAGTTAAATTTTCAAACAAATGAAGCCATCCAATGCCAAGAAAGATAGGAAATAAAATCAGCAACCAGAAGAGCAGTTCACTCTGAGCAACATTAAAATATCAATTTGAAGAATATTAAATTATAAATTTAGTATTTTCAAGGAGATGAGTGAGTGATATCCCTTAAATTAAGTCAATTATGGAATTTAAATAGAAAAAAATGAGATGGATATGAAAATAATAGAACCTTAGAAGTAAAAAGTGATTTAGTTAAAAAACAACATGATGTTTATGAGTAGAAAGTCAATAGGATGTCATTTTTTCCAATATTGTATCAATATTGACCAGAATTTAGAAGATTTTTGCAGGTATTTGACATACTGATCTTAAAATTCTTTGGGAAAGTAGCAAATGAACAAATTGAGGTGATATGCTTTTCAAGTATCAAAACTTACTGTATTATAGAAGATAATATATATCAATAGAATTATATATAGAAGATAGACTCAGAGATGGACAGATGGACTAGTGGAACAGAATACAGAGACCAGAGCATATTGAAATTTATATAGAATTTGCTGTATTACAAAGGTCACAGTATAAATATTTGGGGAAAGAAACTTCATTATGGTGCTGGTTCATTTGCTAAAGTGAATTGGTATGAAGTTTTACCTAATAGCATACATGAAAATAAATTCCGTATGGGTTAAAGCCTAAATGAGAAAAGCAAAACTGAGACCTGTGAAAGAAAATATAGGTCAATAACTTTATGTCTCAGAATAAAGAATATAATACTATGTAGGCTTTTTAAATATTTATACTTATTTATATTTTATTTATATTTATTGAGGTAATGTTGGTGTACAGTACTATATATGATTTAGTGGAATAGATTCACATATATGTTACTCCACCATACCTATCACCACAGGCACCCTGTTCCTTCACCATAGACCATTGGGCTGCCTACCATCTTTTTTCCCTCCAGATTACAGCTATGAGTTTGGTAAATTGTGCAGTCTTTCTGTGTTTTTTAATTTAGAAAATGAGGAAGAGGATGAGAAGAATAGCCCTTAGGGAAGAATTGTGAGAAATAAAGGAAATAATTCATGTGAAATGCTTAGAATAAATGAGTACCAGTGAGCATACAATAATAGTTAACTGCAGTTATTGTTGATACTGTTTAATTAAAAAGAAACCTGTAAAAGATTGGTAGATTTGACTATTAAAATAAAAAATTCTTGGGACCTCTGGTGCCATGAGGGTTAAGTCCCAGCACTATCATGCTATCACCACAGCGGCCCAAGTTCAAACCCAGCCAGGGAGCTAACCCACATTATGGTGCAGCAGACCTCTCCTGTCTTGGCTGCTGCTCCCCTTCGCAGTGTATTTCAGTAGGTCTGCCTGTTCTGCTGCCCACTTTGTCTCTGGTGAATCCTCTCACATACACCAACCCCCACACCTCTGGCCTACACCCCAATTCTTCTATGCATAAATAAATAAACAAGCAAATAATCTTAAATTCTCTATAGCAGAGAGGAGTATAAGCAAAATAGATAAGCCACTGATTGGTAGGAGATTATTTGTCACATATTCAGCTAAACATTCATTAATACCAGGATGTCTGAAAAACTTCAAAAAGGGAAAGAAAAAAAACCCATAAAGGAGAAAACGAATAAATAAGCAAGATAGTCCACGTGGAAAATGATAGGATAAGAAAGAGTTGTTCATCCTCAACTAATAGTCAGGAAAATGCAAATTAAAACCATGAGATGACATACCTTTTTATAATTAGTGGCAGTCATGCAAGTCTGACAATGCTAAATTTTGGTTAAAGAAGCAGTAAACCATGAAGTCTGCCTACACTATCTGTGAAATAGTTGGTGCAACCATTTTGGAAAGCATTTTATTAATATCTGGTAAAGATAAAAATGCTTAAAACCTAGCAAGTCCACTCCTAGATGTAAAATCCAGAGAGCTAATTGCAAAGACACATGAAGAGAGAGGTATGGAAATTTTGGCATTGTTTTAATAGTGTAATATTGGAAACTTTACAAGTGTTCACTAGGACAGTAGATTGATAAATTGTGGTATAAGGATACAAACTATGGAATTTAAAAAATAGATTTTATCTTTTAGAGCAGTTTTATGTTCACAGCAAAACTGAGCAGAAGCTGCAGAGATTTCTCCTATACTACCCGGCCTGCCCCCCCCACATGCATAGCCTCTTCCATTATCATTGTCCCCCACTGTAGTAGTATATATGTTTCAATTAATGAACCCACGTAAAATGACATATTATTCAGCAGTTAATGAACTTTACCATACATCTGCATTTGTAAATAGAAAAGACAATATTAAGGTAACATGTAGTGTTTTATATTACTATGCCTTTAAAAAATATATATATAGTAAAAATATAAAAGCATTCATGGGAGTAATACCAACCTCAGGAAAGTGGTTACCTCTGCAAAGAAAAGGAAGTAGGCGTTACTAAATTTACTCTGGTATTTTCTTTGTTTATAAAATTATCTGGAGCATTTATAATAATTTTTAAACATGCTAAATTTTTGTGATAGTACAGTGCTTCTTTTTAAGTGTTCTTTAATATTCTTTGTGTTTGAAAGATCATCTTGGAAAAAGGTAAAAAATGAAGTTTCTGAGAAGTATGTAATAGTGTTAAATGTGACTGAAAAGTATTTTTTCTTTTTAAATAACACAGCATCTTTATATATTTAAAAGGTTAAAATAAGTTGAAAGAAAGATTGATAACACAAGAGTGGTTTTTTGATGGGGCAAGTACTGATGGAAATGACATGAAATGGGTTTTATTAGTTCTGGAAAGGATATAGGACATATTTTCTCTGTAGAAAGCAATTGGAAGAGCATATTAGATGAACATAGGAATACATTTTGAGTTGAATAAGTTATTTAAAAGAAGTCACTATTTTCTCAGTGAAGTAAAACAGTTGAAATCATTCTTCTAGAGGTGTGATATGTGGGGTTTGAGAAGATTGGAAGGATATGCAGAGTACTTGTAAGCAGTGAAGTCAGGCTAGGTAAAAAGGTAGCATTGAAGCACAAGGAGGGGTTGAATAAAACTTGTAATGTTCCCGAGTTATAATTTTGTCAGCTCTGTTCAGCAAATTAGTAATAGGATCTTTAGGTTTCCCTTATTACCTCCCATACTCCCTGTAAATAAATGCTCAGTCTTAGGGAAGATACAGAGAGTCAGCTCAGAAATTCTTAAAAATATACTTATTCTATAAGCAGGTTCCTCTCATTTTTTTCTTGGTTATAACTTCATATACTTTAACTTCTCAGTTTATCTGATTTCATCTTCTTACTGTTTTTTTTTTTTTTTTTTAAAGATTGATTTATTTATTTATGCAAGCACTGGGTACAGTCAGAAGCGCGGGAGGGTGAGAGAATTCACCAGAGCCAGAGCAGGGAGCAGAACAGGCAGAAGGAGTGAAGTACACTGTTGAGAGGAGCAGCGGGCGGCAGGAGAGGTCTGCGTGCCATGTGGGACCCTCCTCCAGTGGCCGGGGAGCAGCTGGGGATTGAACCAGCTGCGGCAGCTTCGCAACCCGGCGCTCAACCGCTGCACCACCGGGGAGGCCCATCTTCTTACTGTTTTTAATGTCACAAATTTTTGCTCCATCAATAGTGTTCTTCATTATTTCTGCTTTATTCATAAGAACTTTTGGGTGTAGGATGATTAGATTTGTTTATTTTTCTGTTTTTCTTAATTTACTCTTCAGTGAGGCTCTTCAAATATATAGAGCTTGATTCTAATCCAGTTATCTTAGAAATATTTGAGTAATAAAAGGGCAAAATCGATTTTCTTTGTGCTCTTAGATTTTAACTTAAAAATATGATCAGACATTGAAAAAACTTTTTTTTTTTGACAACTTGCTGTTTTAGAAAGTGTCCACATTTGGACAATGAAATATTATACTATGTGGTTTCAATGAGACCTTTTTCAAAACTGCTCCTATACTAAGAAAAAGAATTTTGTCTTCTAAAAGATGTGGCTAACATGTTGGTTAAACTTTCTTGAGCATCAGGAAGCAATGACTTGTGTAAAATGACTTCTTAATGTTTCACATCTTTTATATTACAGTTCTTCTGCCATGAAAATGATTTGCATAATTTTGAATACATACTATCCATGCTGATGGGATAGGATCCAATATGAATATAAATGATGGAGGAAGACGACGCTTTGAGGATAATGAACACACACTACGTATATATCCTGGGACAATTTCAGAAGGGACAATTTACTGTCCAATTCCTGCCAGAAAAAACTCTACAGCTGCTGAGGTGATTGACTCTCTTATAAATAGACTTCATCTTGATAAAACAAAATGTTACGTTCTAGCAGAGGTAAAGGAATTTGGTGGAGAAGAATGGATACTCAATCCAACAGACTGTCCAGTTCAACGAATGATGTTGTGGCCCAGAATGGCCCTGGAAAATCGCCTGAGTGGAGAGGACTACCGCTTTCTTCTGAGAGAAAAGAACCTTGATGGCTCAATTCATTATGGTAGTCTTCAGTCATGGCTACGGGTAACAGAAGAACGTCGCAGGATGATGGAACGGGGTTTTCTTCCACAGCCTCAACAGAAAGACTTTGATGATTTATGTAGCTTACCTGATTTGAATGAGAAAACTCTCCTAGAAAACCTACGAAATCGTTTTAAACATGAAAAAATTTATACCTATGTTGGCAGTATTCTTATAGTTATTAACCCATTCAAGTTTCTTCCTATTTATAACCCCAAATATGTCAAAATGTACGATAACCATCAATTGGGAAAACTTGAGCCCCACATTTATGCTGTGGCTGATGTAGCCTATCATGCCATGCTGCAGCACAAGAAGAATCAGTGCATTGTGATTTCTGGAGAGAGTGGATCTGGGAAGACTCAAAGCACAAACTTTCTCATTCATCACCTTACTGCTCTCAGTCAGAAAGGATTTGCCAGTGGAGTAGAACAAATTATTCTTGGAGCTGGGCCAGTACTTGAGGTAAGTGTGTAGAAATTCTTCTTTTACTCTTAAACATGTCTTTAAAAAATGAAAAATGAAAAATTAAATTTTGGTATAAGTGTGAGAAAATGAGATAATACTGCATGGAAGTACAGGCATCATTTTTAATCACCAAGGAAAACTAGAAAATGGGAAAGCAAAATAGGCAATGTGGAAGATTGAAGACTCTGCTAATGGTAATATTTTTTTCAAGGGCATCTTTTTTTTTTATTTAAGATTTATTTATTTATACAAGAACTGGGGTACAGTCAGAGGCCTGGGAGGGTGAGAGAATTCACCAGAGACAGAGTTGGGAGCAGAACAGGCAGATGGACCAAAGACACTGCTGAGGGGAGCAGCGGGCGAGGCAGGAGAGGTCTGCTGGGCCATGTGGGTTTCTCCCTGGCTGGCTAGGAGTCGAACTCACGTGCAAAGGCTGTGCACAGCTTCATAGCACGGTGCTCAACCTGCTGAGCCACCAGGGAGGCCCCTCAAGGGCATCTTTGCATCATAGTGATGAAAAAGACAGATGAATAGGGTCAGGTATATCTCCCTGTAAAGGGAGATAGTAGGAGCAGAATTGCTGTCTGTAATTGAGTTGTGAAAGTAGGTAAATCAGGAAAAACATTTTTGCCTGTATAAATTTATCTTTATAACCTTAGTGTCTGTGTGTAGCAGTGAAATTGGGGAGTTCACTTTTGAAAATGTGAAGAATATGGGAAACGACTTTATTTTTTTAAATTCTCTTAACTGTGGTACGTTGGGATTCTCTCCATTGGGTATTGCCACTGCTGGGTACCTGCCACCAGATTACCCATAGTTCACCACCGTAGTCCATTGTGCTGCCTTCCCTGTTTGTTCCTACCCCTTCTCTACCCCTCCCCTCTTTGGATGCTTCAGCTCTATAGTCAGTTTTCAAGGGGTAACTTTTAAGGTTGTCCTTTTGGTTTTTAGTTTGCTTTCTCTATATTCCACTTATTAGTGAGGAGGGGATTGGAGAGGAGGAGGTTCTGATATTTATCTTTTTCCTTCTGACTTATTTCCCTTAATGCTTCCAAGTCCATCCATGTTGTTGCAAGTGGCATGAGTTTATCATCTTTTTTGATTGCTGACTCTCTCTCTCTCTCTACATATATATATATATATATATATATATATACCCCCCCCCACATTTTCATAATCCATTCATCTGTTTTTGGGGATTTAAGCTGTTTTCATATCCTGGCTATTGTAAGCAGTTCTGCAGTGAATTTGGGCGTGCAGGATTCCTTTCAAAGTAGTGTTTTTGTGGTTTTTTGGTAGATATCAAGGAGTAGAATTGCTGGGTCATAATGGCAGATCCACGTGAAATCTTTTGAGAAAACTCCATACTGCTTTCCATAGAAGCTGGACGAGTTTACATTCCCACCCATTATGTAGCAGGGTTCCTTTTTCTCCATCTCCTTGCTAGCATTATGGTTTCTGGTCCTTTTGATATGGGCCATTCTCACAGGTGTGAGTTGGTCTCATTGTGGTTTTGATTTGCATTTCTCTGATGATAAGTGATGAACAGTTTTTTTTTTTTTTTTTTTTTTTTTAATAGAGGCATGCTTTATTTATTTGTTTTGCTGGTTTCTTTGTTTGTTTTGTTTATACATGCACTGGGTACAGTCAGAAGCGCGGGAGGGTGAGAGAATTCACCAGAGCCAGAGCGGGGAGCAGAGCAGGCAGAAGGACCGAAGTACACTGCTGAGGGGAGCAGCGGGCGGCAGGAGAGGTCTGCGCGCCATGTGGGACCCTCCTCCGGTGGCCGGGGAGCAGCCGGGGATCGAACCGGCGCCGCAGAGGCCGCGCGCAGCTTCGCAACCCAGCGCTCAACCGCTGCGCCACCGGGGAGGCCCGATGAACAGTTTTTTATGTGCCTGTCAGCCATTTGTATATCTTCTCTGGAGAACTGCCTATTTAGTTTTTCTGCCCCCCCCCCCTTTTTAATTGGGTTATTTGTTTCTTTTTGTAGAGGTGTCTGTGTTCTTTGTAAATTTTTGATATAAGCCCCTTGTCAGATGTATGGTGTGGAAATATTTTTTCCCATTCAGTGGGGGATCTTTTTGTTTTGGTTATAGTTTTCTATTGCTGTGCAAAAACTTTACAGTTTTGTGTTGTCCCATTTGTTTATGTTCTCCTTGCTCCTGGAGGTGAATCCAGAAAGATGTTCCTGAAGCATATGTCATGGAGTGTTTTGCCTGCTTTCGTCTGTGTATTTTATGGTTTCAGGTCTTAGTCCAAGTATTTTATCCATTTCGAATTAATTTTTATGTATGTTTTGAGTTAGTGATCTAGTTTCATTCTTTTGCATGGGCTATCCTATTTTCCCAGCACCCATTTATTGAAGAGGCTTTTCTTGCTCCGGTGTATATTCTTGACTCCTTTGTTGTAGATTAACTATCCATATAGGTGTGGTTTTATCTCTGGGTTCTCTATTCTATTCCATTGTGTCTTAACCCTTGAGCCACCAGAGAGGCCCCAAATTTTTTTTAAGGTATTTATTTTCTTATATCATTGTTCATTTTTGAACAGTGTTTGATTTCTTCCCTCGGGTGTAGTCCCTGTAGTTCTTCCCCCATAGTGTCGAAGACTCATCACCATAGTCATTTGTGCTCTTCCCTCCCCTGATTTGACCCCCATCTCTTCCCCTCCTCTGGTGTATGCCTCAGATCTATGGTCAGTTTGCAAATTTTGTCTTTTTTTGACCCTCTGTTCAGTTTCCCTATATTCTACCTAGAAGTGAAACCATATGATATTTCTCTTTTTCCTTCTGACTTATTTTGCTTAACAAAATCCCTTCCACCTCCGTGTTGCTGCAAATGGCATCAGTTTATCTTTTTGGTCACTGAGTAGTACTCCATTGTATATAATACTACATCTCCTTGATTGATTCATTAAACAGATTTGTTTTATTATTATATGGAATTGGCCTTTAAATCAGAAAGGAGGAAAAGTTACCAAGAAATATTAATACTGTGTTTTGTATTCACTTCTGTGTTAAACTTTACTTGTTTTTACTTCTTAATAAGGATTTATTTTATTGTCCTTTAAGTTTCAGTTTGAATCACTTCACTTAGCATTTTTTTGTAAGACCCCTCTGCTATTGAATTCTTTTAGTTTTTATTTATCTGAGTGTGTTAATTTCTGCTTTAATTTTGAAAGGATTGTTTTGCTGAATATAGACATTTTGGTTGGCAGTCTTTTCACAGTGTTTTGTGTTTACTATCTCACCATTTTTGTCCTTAATGGTTTCTATTGAGAAATCATAAGGTGCCTCTCTCTAGATGCTTATAAGATTCATTGAATGTCTTACTTTTAATGAAGTTCTATTATTTTATATCCTTGTTCATTTTTTCACATTATAGGATTTCATCCCTCAGGTGTGGGTACCATAATTCTCCTACCACCAGAGCACCCATAATCCTCCATCATAGTCCATTGTGCTTTTCCTCCCACACTTCATTCTCATTTGTTGTCTTTTAATAGATTGATGATGATTTGTGGCGGTGTGGCTCTATCTCAGTTCATTTTAATTATAGTTAAAATGTTTAGTTTAATTATATATTTGTTTACCTTTTTGGATGTATTTTATGTTTTTCATGGAATTTCAAGTTTGGCCATTTTTTGTTGAAATATTCATTGTGTACCTTTGCTCTCCATCCTTTCCTTTTGGTGTTACCATTAGGAATATGTTGGTATGCTGGATGGTATGCCACAAGTCCTTGAAGCTCTATTCAATTTTCTTCATTTTCTTCCTTAGATTAGATCATCTCATTTGATTAGTTTAAACTTTACTGATTGTTCTCCTTGCTCATATCTTCACTTGAGCCCCTCTAATGAATTTTTCATTTTAGTTAATGTACTTTTCAAAATAGTAATTTTTATAACTTTGATAATGTCTGTTGTTAAGTCATATTTGTTATACTTTTCTTTAGTTTAAAATATTTAAAATACTTGACATATAAATCTGCATTTAGAAGTTAAACATCTGGTTCATCAAGGGACTATGTTGCTCTTTTTCATTTCTTTTCTCCATAATTTCTTTCTTTGCTTTTTTTTTGGAATGAAAACTGGGCATTTTTAAACACATAAAGTGGCAGTTTGGGAAATGAGATTTTTCTCTCCTTTCAGGGTTTATGGTGGTTGTTTGGTGTTATATGAGTTCTTTGAAGTAATTCTGGAAAGTCTGTATTCTTTTTGTGTGTGAGGGCTTAAGATTCTTTTTCTTAGTTCACTTAGTAGTCACCTTAAGTTTTGACAGGGATTTCCTTAAATGTCTTGAAGTGATAAGGCTCCTTGTCATTTCTGCAAGGTTCTCTTTGTTAATTGGATACCCTTCTACACTAAACCATGCAGTTGTTAACTCTGCCTTACATTTTACTTCCTGTTTACATAGCACCTGAAGAGGTCTGAGGTCTTAGTTGAGAGTTTACACTTTCCAGGGAATGTGCTTAGTCCTATGTATATGTTTTGCTTTTTAATTCCCAGAAATATTTGGGTCTTTCAAAGTCCCTTTTGTACATGTCATTTTCCAGACTTTTCTTTCTTTTTTTTTTAAATAAAATTTTATTGATTTACTCTTTTTTTTAAAGATTTTTTTCCTTAATTTATGCATACAGGAATTTGGGGTGTAGGCCAGAGGTGCAGGTGGTGGGAGGTTTTCTAGGGAAATACTGTGTAGGTTAAATTGTTTACAGTTATCTGTGGGACAGGCCTTTGGCTGTAACTCTGGGCTGATCCTTCCAGTGATTTCTGCGCTGCTTTTTAAATAAAAGTGTAATTGTAGGGTGTTGGTTTTCTCTTCACTTTGGAGAGAGGGAAATGGTAACTGGGGAAGTTAAAATGCTACAATGCTTGTCTTACAGAGATTCAGCTATTTCCCTTGATTAAATGTTTTCTTACAAAGGATCATTGCAAGCCTTTGGTTAATTTCCAGATTTTTCCAAAAGTTGATTTTTGTAGTATTTGTTTCTTTTATGAAGAGACTTTTATTTTGAGTGATCTTTAGCATTTTTTTTTTTGACAGCTCATTATTAATGATTTTTTAAAAAAATATTTATACAAGCACTGGGTACAGTCAGAAGCATGGGAGGGTGAGAGAATTCACAGAGCGGGGAACAGAATAGGCAGACTGACAAAATATACTGCTGAGGGGAGCAGCGGTCACAGCAGGAGAGGTCTTCGCGCCATGTGGGATCCTCGCCTGCAGCCCGGGATCTAACCAGAGCTGCAGAGGCTGCGGGCAGCTTTGCAGCCCAGAGCTCAACCGCTGCGCCACCAGGGGAGGCCCATTATTAATGATTTTTTTATTAATAATTATTTAAAAGAAATTTAAGTAGTGAAAATTTTTTGTATGTTTTCTTATGTAGTTACTATTTATATGGTTCTTCATTCTTACATTTTTCTATATTTGAATATGATAGCATTTTCTTTCTACATAAAGGACTTCCTGTAATGTTTCTTTTTTTGTGGGTTGACTTATAAATATTTTCAGATTGCGTGTCTGAAATTGTCTTTTTACCTTTTACTTACTTTTAAAGGAGATATTAATATTAAAAGAAATAGCCTTACAGTAAATTTCTGTGAATCTTAAAACCTTCAATTTGTATCACCATCTATTGACAATCTAGTTCCATTATTCCATAAAATTCTCTTAAGCTGTTCCTTACCTTCATACCCTTTGTCCTCTTGGACACCCATATCTCATGGGATTTACCTGTCTGATCGCCGTTGCTGCTGTATGATGTTGTGGTTGTTTTTTTTTTTTTTTTAAGGTCCTGTAAGTACAATTACTTTGTAACTGGCTTCTCTCATTCATCATTATGCCTTGTTGATTCATACAAGATGTTGAATATGTGAGTGTGATGGGATCCTTTTAAATTTTACTGCAATATACCTTATAGTAAAATATAGTCATTAAAAATGTGCAGATCAATGATACACATAAATGTATACACTCTTGTGACCACTGTGCTACACTCAAGCTATATTACAGAATATTTTCCCTTTTTCATTACTTCCCAACTCCACCCCCATTCCCAGACTACTTCTGATCTGTTCCCAGTTACTTTTATTTTTGCCTTATCTAGAATCTCATATTCACAGTAGTACTCTTGTATCTTGTTTCTTCCAGTTGACATAATGTTTGATATTCATCAGTGTTGATGTCTGCCTCAGTAGTTCATCTTCATTGCTTGGTAATGTCCATGGTATATACTTTGGGTCGCAATTTAGGAAGATTTTATAGTCTTTATTCTGTTTATGTAGTATTGCAGCTTTGTTTTAGGATGGTATAATAAAGTATGTTATGTAATGAAATTTCATGTATACTGTTCTAAAATTGTAATTAGTCTTTTTTCTACCCCCTCATTTCATTTTAGCAAGGTTTTAAAAAATTTATAAAGAAAAAAATCATTAACTCTTGAAAGTGAAAGAGAAATATGAATTTTAAAGAGCATTACTTTTTAAATTAAGATTTATTCTACTGAATAACATAAAATAGTACCTACTTGGTTCCATTTCAGTAATTTGTTGCTTTCTTTACCTTATCTATATGAGTGTGAAGGTAAAAATGAATTATTTTTTCTATTATATCTTTAGCATTTTGTCTCTTTGAACTGGCCTAGGCTGTATTTGCAATTAAAAAAATGAAATTAATAGAAGCTATTTATTTTAATAGGCCTTTGGAAATGCAAAGACAGCTCATAATAACAATTCAAGTCGTTTTGGGAAGTTTATTCAAGTAAATTACCAAGAAACAGGCACTGTACTTGGGTAAGTAATAATACCAGGTGTTGGAGCATGTTTATATTTTTGCCATTGCCCCTTCACTAAACCATACATTGTTCTTTTGCCCTTTAAGAGAATAGTGATATTGGTGTCTGCATTAAACATTTTTCCTTTGAGCCCATTATTCTTTTGGAAGAGTTTAAACATGAGAAAAGCTATAAGAATAATGTAACACTCACACATTCTTAACTTTGATTTATGAATTTTTAGCAGTTTGCTATCTATATTTATTTTTCTTTATTTTGTACATACATTCAGTTTTGAAATTCTTTTTGAGTAAGTTGGATATATAACCTGACCTGCTAATTACTGTGTTCTAAAGCAACCACAACCACTTGGTGTGATGAGAGTCCTCTGTTGTGCAGCAATATTCTTTATAACCTAAACAAAAATTTGAGATATTTGCAAAGCAGTTTTAGGTTCACAGCAAAAAGAAGTATGAGAAAGCACAGAGTTCCCAGATACCTTTCACTCTGCTCTCCCTGTTTCCCGTATTAATAACAGCTTGCATAATAACTACTGTGTTAAATTCTCACACCCACCCTGCATGGCAAATACTATGGTCTCTCTTTTACAAGTGGAGAAAGTGATAATAAAAGTTATTAAAATCATGCACATTAATGCACAAGCTTATCAACCAATTTTATTTTCCTTCTAGTGCCTATGTTGAAAAGTATCTACTGGAGAAGTCCAGGCTTGTTTATCAGGAGCATAATGAACGGTACATACTTTTATTTGTGTAATTAAATTAACATTTGTATTATGAAGATTTCTGGGATCTTTGTATATTACGATCCTTTTGTATATTAAGTTTTATACCATACATAGCTTTACTTTATAATTGTTATTTCTGTTTTGGTCAGAACACTATACTTTTTCAGACTACTTGGAGATTTTTAATGAATATCTGTAGAACAGTTGCCCTTTTTAAATTCTACTCAAACTTTCAGTACAGGAAATCAGTAGTATCTTATTACTCATTTGTGTGCATTGTGCCTTTGGGCCATGGTCCATGAATTTAGTGTTCTTTCTCTATTTGGGAAAAGTTTTTAATAAAGCTCTTAGTTCCATTATAATATTTGAGTTAATTATATTTGTAAATACTGAGTTAAATATAACATTTTACTTAGAGATAAGGTGTGTAACTTCATACCAGTTAATGAAGATGAAGAAACCAAGTATCAGAGATAATGGTTTGTTTCATGTTGCAAGGAAGAAAATAAAGAGCCAGAGTTTGAAGTTAAAAAGACCTGCATTCAATTGTTGTATATGAAACATTAGTATTTAACTTCTCTGCTTTTAGATATTTATTCACATTTTACAGTTGGGAAACTGTCCAAAGAGTTTTTTAGAGAGTTAAATGAAAGAATTTTTATAGAATGCTTAGTGTGGCCCTTATATATACCAAAGTTCAATCAAGAATTAAGAGCTGGCATTATCGTAATTAATTAGTTTTTTATAATTTTTTAACAGAAGAAAAACTGAATTAGAGATGTTTTAAAATGAAGGGAAGAGAATTTGAGGAGGAAAATATCTTTATAGAGACTTGTTGAGCTAACAGGTACTCCTATTAGAAAGTTATTAGTAACTTTTTCTAATACATTTTAATGAGAATATTAGAGAAATATGCCTATTTCCCTTGGTGTTGAAGAATCAATGGAAAGTGAAGATCTAGAACTTACAAACAGATTCTCTGGCTTGCTGAGTTTTGGTTTGCAGATGTATATATAATCTTTACTATATGTTGCTGGAATTGGTTTTCCAACATTAGTTGATATTTTGTGTCTATATTCATAAAGGATATTGCTTAAGGGTCCATCTGCTTAATGTCAAATTTCTTCATTTTTGTTTATCTGGGAATATCCTTATTTACCTTTATTTTTAAAAGGTAAATATATATATTATTGGATATATATTTTATTCTTGGCTGATAGTCTTTTCTCTTTCAGTACTTAAATGTGTTATCCATCTGCCTTTGTTCCTGATGAGAAATCATCTGTTAATCTTGTATTAGGATCCTTTTTTTTTTTTTTTAAGATTTATTTATTTATACAAGAACCAGTCAGAAGCGCGGGAGGGTAAGAGAATTCACCAGAGCCAGAACGGGGAACAGAACAGACAGAACGACGAAATACACTGCTGAGGGGATCATGGGGCGAGACAGGAGAGGTCTGCTGTGCCATGTGGGACCCTTGCCAGAGGCCAGGGATCGAACTGGCGCTGCAGAGGCTGTGGGCAGCCTCGCAGCCCAACGCTCAACCACTGTGCCAACAGGGGAGGTCCTTGTATTAGGATCCTTTAATTAGACATTTCTCTCATGGTGCTTTGAAAATTTTGTCTTTGAGCAGTTTGATTTGTTGTGTTTTTGTTTTCATACATCTCTTTGAGAGCTCTTTGAGTTTTCCCCCTGAAGTTCATGAGTTTCTTGGATGTACAGATTAATGTTCTTCCATCATATTTTAGAGGTTTGGGGTCATTGTTTTTCAGATATTTTTTTCTGGCCCTTTTCTTTTAGGATTCTCATTGTACATATGTTGGTGTCTGTTTAATGACGTCCCACAGATTAGTGATACTTTGCTATACTCTTTATTCATTTTTTCTTTATGTTCATCAGACTAATCTCAATTTGCTTGTTTTTAGATTCACTGATTCCTTCTTTTGCCTGCTGTTCAACTCCTGTAGATATTTGTTAATTTCAGTTACAAGATCTGTGTATTTATTGATAGTATCTGTCTTATGAGACATCTTTCAAATACTTTCCTTGAGCTCTTTTACAGATTGCTTCTTTGAACATACTTAAACATACTTCTTTGAACATACTTAAACATACTTGAACATACTTAAACAGCGGATTAAAAGTCTTGTCTTGGGCCTCCCTGGTGGCGCAGCGTGTTAGCGCCACCCTTTGAAGCTGTCCACAGCCTCTGCAGCAAGGGTTTGATTCCCAGCCCGCCAGGGAGAAACCCACATGGCGTGGCAGACCTCTCCTGCCTTGCCTGCTGCTCCCCTCAGCTGTGTCGTCAGTCGTTCTGCTTCCTGCTCTGTCTCTGGTGAATTCTCTCACCCTCCTGTGCCTCTGACCTGTACCCCAGTTCTTGTATAAATAAATAAATCTTAAAAAGAAATACAAAAAAAAGTCTTGTAATAATCCTTATATCTGGGCTCCTTAAGGACAGTTACTATTGGTTATTTTTTCTCCTTTGCATGGGCTTTACTTTCTTCTTTCTTTGCCTGCTTCATATTTTGTTGTTGTTGAAAATTGGACATATTAAAAGTCATTGGACATTTAGAATTATCGTGTGACAGCATAGTAATAAGAATCTCCCTTCCCAGGGTTTATGATGGTAGTTTTTGTTCTTGCTGTTTTGTGACTATTCTGAACTTTAAGAATTTAGTATTCTTTTTCAAGCATGTGGCCTCTCAGCTATCTGCTTGGTTAGGTAGTTGTCAGTAATGATTGCAGAGATTTCTTTAAATGCTTGGAAACATTAAATTTCCTGGTCTTTGCCACAGGACTCTGTGTGTGTATGTGTCTTTCTCTATAAGTCAGGCATTTTGTTATTCTTAACCTTCTCTTCCTGCTTGTGCAGACCTTTAAGTTTATTCATTTGTGAAATTTAGTATCTCCTCTGTTTTTGCTGAACAGATGTGCCCTTTAGATGTACAGTCTTATGCATGAACATGGAATTCTAGATTTTCAGGAGTGTGCTGGAACTTTTCAAAGTTTGTGTGGAGATTTTATTTACCAGCTTTTCTTTTAAAAAGTTTTTGTTGTTGTTGTTATTCTGTTGTTTGCCCCAACATTTATTGGGGCACTGCTTTAGACATCCTACTAGCTCAAGAACTTGTCTGTAATTGTTTTATACAAAAACCTGGCAGGAAGGAGTTTCACACTGGGCTACTGCTGCATCAGGGCAAATGCAGACAATTTGGAACATGACTTACTATAGGGAAACTACCAGACAGTTCAAACAATGATATTTGTCAGGGAATGAGACTCTGAATGAGTTCTAATACTATTTTACCCTTGGGGGCTGCCATTCTGCTCATGTTTTCCACTATTGACAATTACTGATTTTCAATGCTGCTGTTGAGTTGGTGAGCAGAAAATGTAATATGGCAAGTTTAAAGACTATAAAGATAGTTGTATTTTGTGAGATTTGACTATTTTTCTTGTATATAAACCCCCTAGGTTTGTTAGCGATTGGATAAAATCCAGTCTTCTCAAAAATTTGATTGATAAAAATTTGGTAGTTTTCTAATTGGTTTTATGGAGGAGAGCACTTACAGTCATCTTCCACCTTCTTTTTTGATTCAGCATCCAAATAAATAATGAATTTGTCATCATAGTTTTTAAAAATGAAGTAAAGTGGAAACATTTTACTAATTAATGTTTGATTTTTTCCTGTTAAATAGTTACAATAAATCTAGTTCAATATAAAACAATACTTTCTTTGTTTCCAACAGGAACTATCATGTTTTCTATTACCTCCTGGCAGGAGCAAGTGAAGAAGAGAGATTAGCATTCCATCTTAAACAACCAGAAGAATATCATTATCTCAATCAGGTGAGAATTCATATAAAGCACGTGAAAATTTAGGGCATTATTCAGTTTTACTGGTGAGAAGTTTTTTCTAGTACTTTGTTTAACAAACCTGGTAATGGGTATTATCTAGTGTTTCATTGATGTGTAATCTAAAAATTTATGTGCTACAGTTCTCAAATTTAAAAATTATTCATATTCTCATAAGTTTTAAAAGATGGTTTTACTTTTTGTAAGACTATTTAAAACAATGATAGACTGTTTATAGGGCATATATTGGGTACTTTTACTTTAGTAAAAATAGTTTACTTTTTCCAAATTGATTTGCATTTTACGGACACCATCATGTTAAATGTTACTAATGATTAGTGCTTGTACTTCTCAAGGGACTTCTTGAAACCTTTAATGCATACTTTGACATTTTATGTACCTCTTGATATTATCTCACTGACTTAAATTTTAAGTATTTTTATGATTTGATAAATAGTTCTATTAAACATCTAACATGAAATTAATTTATTCAAAGAAATAATTTAGAAAATTTGCGTCTTTTCTTAAAACTGTTAAATAAGGGATAATTCTTACAAGTTAAATAAGGGATAATTTTTTTACATTGATGTCCCTAATTTAATTATTCCTTATATGAACAAAAACTCTAAAACCAGTGATAATGAACTAGTATTGCAGTAGATTATTTAACAGATTATCTCCTCTTTTTTTGCTTGAATCAAGATGTAAAGTCTTTGGAAAGAAATTCCTTTATCATAATTTTAAAAATCCTTAGGAAGATTTTGTAAGCAATTTAAGGTCATGAAAGTAACATTTTAGGTTTTTCCCACAATAGAGAGCATGTTATATAACTGATATTACTCAGTTTTGAAATTGCATATTGATACAAACTAATAAGACTTTTTATAATATATATCAAGAACTTCAGAGGGCCTCCCCGGTGGCGCAGCGGTTGAGCGCTGGGTTGCAAAGCTGTCTGCGGCCTCTGCGACGCCGGTTCGATCCCCGGCTGCTCCCCGGCCACCGGAGGAGGGTCCCACATGGCACACAGACCTCTCCTGCCGCCCGCTGCTCCCCTCAGCAGTGTACTTCGGTCCTTCTGCCTGCTCTGCTCCCCACTCTGGCTCTGGTGAATTCTTTCACCCTCCCACGCTTCTGACTGTACCCAGTGCATGTATAAACAAACAAACAAACAAACAAACAAATAAATAAATAATACATGCCTCTTTAAAAAAAAAAAAAGAATTTCAGAATTATTTAAAATATTACTTTATGATATATTAGTAAAGAATTAGAATTACATAATAATCTTAAATTTAAGATTAAATTTGTTTAGTTCAGGTTACTTAATAATATTAGGGTAAGATTAATAATTACTTGTATAACAATTAAAAATGGGGGCCTCCCCGGTGGCGCAGCTGTTGAGCGCTGGGTTGCGAAGCTGCCAGCAGCCTCTGCAGCGCCAGTTCGATCCCCGGCTGCTCCCCAGCCACCAGAGGAGGGTCCCACATGGTGCGCAGACCTCTCCTGCCGCCCGCTGCTCCCCTCAGCAGTGTACTTCGGTCCTTCTGCCTGCTCTGCTCCCCGCTCTGGCTCTGGTGAATTCTCTCACCCTCCCGTGCTTCTGACTGTACCCAGTGCATGTATAAACAAAACAAACAAATGAATAAATAAATAAATAAAGCATGCCTCTATAAAAAAAAAAAAAAAAACCAATTAAAAATGGTTTAATTAGCTTATGAATTTTCCCACCCTTCTTTAAACTATTTGCATTGCATTTGGGTGATTAAATGTTTTCCTTTTTAAAAAATATTAATTTCCCATGATGTGCTGATAGTTTTAGAGAAATTAAGAGTTTATTACTGTTCTTCCAGATCTTTTTGTAATTTTCATAAGGTCAGTATTCATAGAATTCATAGAATATGGGATTGAGCAGGTATTATAAATCTCAGTTACTGGGCAATAGCAAGTCTGGGTTGCTTTAGTAATTTGAGAGTGCTAGACCACCAGGATTGTCAGGCTCTCCTAGAATCTGAACATTCATTTAGTTATTTTTTGTTTTATATGCTGCTACACCAAATAACTTTCTTTGGCTAGTAGGAGTGCTAACTTAGCACTACATCTGAGATATTACTAGAGAAGTATAATCACTGTTACTTCTACCTAATCTGCTTTACTTTCAGATAACAAAGAGACCCCTCAGACAGAGCTGGGATGATTATTGCTATGACTCTGAGCCGGTCAGTACAAGTACCTAAATATTCTGTGTTCCTTTTTAAAGGATCCTTACCTTGCCCATTTGTAGATATGTTATGTTTTAGTCAGAAAGAAAATCACTTGAAATAAAATAAAGAATTTAGAAAAGATGATAAATTTCTTTGAATTGATTTATTTGTGTACGATTTGTGGATTAAAAACCAGTCAGTTTACATTTTTGTTGTCGCTAATATTTAGTCCATATTCAGTATTTATTTTGACAACAATAAAGTGATTGCATTCTTGATTTTTCAGATGTGTGAATCCTTATGAACTACACGATTTTTTCTTGATTTTTTTTAAATTATTATTTAGTAGTTTCATTACTTACATAAATACTATTTGTTATTTTTAAAAGTCACAGCTTTCCTTTTTATGGGTCCTTCAACAGTTTTTTTCCACTTAATGCATGAATATACGTTTTCCTTTGATTATTTTAATATTGAGAGGCTGTAACCTTTATGTAATTTTCCAAAAGGTCAAGAACTGAAATTCCTATAAATAAGATTATATTATGTTTCATATTGAGTGATTTAATGGTGTATATGATACGATTCAAAATGAATAGATAAATTTAGCTTAATTTATAAGGATATGTTTGTAATCATAAAAAGAATACAAAAAAATCATATGTAAAAGGCTGTATCAATCAACTAATGAACTAATTTATTACGTATTCCTCTCAGAAACATAACATGTCTTAATCTTTTTTAGACATAACCGTTACTTTAATTCTCACTGCAGGTGATTATAAACTCCACTAGCTATAAAACTAGGCAGTTTCAGAGTCAATTCTGGATATTAATTTTTTCTTTGAAATATAGTTTAGTTGCACTGCCATTCATAATGAACCGAGTCATTTATATGGCTTCAGATTTAACATTTTGGAAAATAAATTTAACATAATTAAATGTATAGATTCTGATAAATATTAGTCGGAAAATTTCATGCTGTTCTGCCTCTGTTGAGAAACATCCACCTTTCATTTACTCTACATTAAGTGACCATGACTTATTGGGAAATAGGCAGGACACTGGTAAACTACCGTGGCAAAATATGACTTGATTGCTGGACAGAACTTAAAGTGAAATTATGAACTGATTTGCTATTATTTATGGACAGTCTTCTTTTTTTTTAAGATTTATTTTATTTATTCATTTATACATTTATTCATTCATACAAGAACTGGGGTATAGGCCAGATGTGCAGGGGGTGAGAGGATTCACCAGGGACAGAGTGGGGAGCAGAACAGGCAGATATGCTGAAATATACTGCTTGAGGGGAACAGCGGGCAAGACAGGAGAGGTCTGCTGCCCCATGTGGGTCAGTTCCCTGGCCAGGATCGAACTCATGCTTTAGTGGCCAGTGATAGCTTAACAGTGCTGAGACTTTAATGCTTGTGCTACCAGGGAGGCCCTGTTTATGGAGTCTTTAGTGACACTTAAGGATTTGGGCTCTGAAGTGGACCTGATTTGATAACTGACTCATTAGTTTTGAGAGCCTGTACAGGCTCACTTTATTCTTTTGTTTCCATCATCCTTTTAAGTGGATGATAATGGTCTTTAACTTTTGTGAGTATTAAATTAGATGAAACATACAATTTGATATAGCGCTCAGTATGTAAAACTCACAAAAAATGTTTCCACCATCACTGTGACCATTGAAATCACCATCATCTATCTTTTTCTTTTAGAAGAACTTGGTAGCCTTACTTTCCTACTCCCTTAACATTACTTTCATCTCTGTCCTATTTATTGTGTTTTCAAATATAGGTTGAACTTTCATTAATTTCTTCTTTTTCTCACAAGTTGATGAATCAAGCAGTCAATCTGAAAATCTGTTAATTTTTTTCTTTCCTCTTAGAGGCTTCTGTGATAGTGTATTTGGAGGTGGACTAAACTTTATTTCCCTTTTATTTCCCTTTTATTAGAACTTCAGTGTCTAGCATTATAGGAAGAGAGGATTGTTAAGGACTGCTTTGTGTGTGTGTGTGTGAAGGGGGCATTTTTGCTATATAGTTTATGTATTTTATGAAATTGTGTGAATAATTCCAAGGGATGTCCTTTAGCAGAGGACCTGTTGTTAACCATTGTGTGGTCATTTAAATTTTCTTAAGGGTTATCCTTTCAAATAAACTTAAGCAACTTTTGTTGCTTCAGAGACCTGGATTGATTGTGGTTCGGCCATTACTGTTATTTAATCAAATTATTTAACCTTACAGTCTCCCTCCCCCAAACCCCCATAAATGTACATATAATAATATATGCTCACACATAAGTATCTCGTGTATTTTGAAGAATTAGATTATACATGTCAGGTAACCTTCATAGTCACTGTTATGTAGAAGATATTTAACAAATGTGAATTTCCTTTCTTTAGGTGGTAATAACTATTCAAATAATTTTATCTTAATACTGATTCTGAATATATTCAATATAAAGACTTAGTCTCAATATATAATTTTTTATTTATCTGAACTAAGCTTTGAATAATTTTAGTGTTCAACTATCAGGTATAGTTTTAATGAGAATTGCCATAATCAATGATAGTCTCAGGACACTGTCATGTTCTTACCTTTAACATTCATTTAATATTTGATCATTTTATAAGAGCCCTGGTTGTAGTTAGTATAAATTATCTTTTACACAAGGAGCAATAGTGGTTTAGAATTTAACGAACTTCCACGATGGTGGTAAAGGGAGTTAATAGGGTAACTGGGATTCCAATCAAGCCTGTGTTCTTTATATCCTTTTTTCCTTAAATGAACTCCAGCAAATTATTCGGACTTATGTCCTGAACTATCAACTGCTAGTTACAAAAAAGTATCATTTTCTAAACACTAGTCTAAGAAATAAAGACACTGTGGAAAAAATGTCTACTTTGACTCTACTTTTTACTTTCCCTTCCTCATGCCCACATTAAATGTTTATTGCACACCAGGCTTATCATAGGCATTCTAAATGAGAAAAGGTTTCATCATCCCATACAAAGGGAAAAATAGGCTGGTAGTTTTTTGGTGTGTTTGTGGGGAGTTTGCAATGGTATGTTATGACTCGTGCTGAGTTGAGTAGAGGAGTCAGCTGTCTTCTTTCAGGAGAATGAATTGTAACAGTTGTTGATTCCTGTTTTATCCTTTGAACCTTACTTTTTCATTGTTCTGTTACTGACTTCCAACAACTAGTACCAATATTTGTTTCTCCATGAAGGCTTTTCTCAGAACTCTGGAAGGCCTTTGTGCTCTTGCATGACTTTGTAAAAATGCCTAGAAATTAACAGCTTCCTCTTCCTATCTACAGAGGTCCTTAGCCAGTGAATGATAGGAGATGAAATATAAATGCTGTAGTTTCTTCACCTCTTTATTTGTACTGTTTCCCAAAAAATATTGGGTATCTCCTGTTACCCACTATGATATTGTAAAATGTTTAGGCTACATTGCCTTCCCTATTTTACTTTCCCATTTCCCTACTAGTTGGTCTCAAGGTCTGCTTTCATAGAAGTCCAAATTAAGATGAGTATAGTGTTGTCTGATAGATAACTCCATCCTTAGTCTTTACATTACCTTTGTCATTAGGGGTAGAGTTAAGCTCATCAATACACTGTTTAAAAAATTATTTTGGTGTTCACTGAGATCATTTTGTGTTTCTGAAGAACATTTGATTACAGATAACAAATATAAATCTGTTTATAAGTTATTGTTTCAGTTTACTTTTTTAGCATTATTTATATATATAAATATATATACATACATACATTGTTTCATTCACTTTAGTGGCAATGAGAATAAATCATTTATGGAAACCATTGCTATATCATTGAGTTTTTGCAAGTGGAAGCACATCACCCCCTCTCCCATGTATTTGTTGTGGAAAAATGTTTTCTAAATCATAAACTGGATGGTTGGTTTGGGGGAGGAGGAAGGGGGAAGAAATGAAGCAAAGGCTTTTTAGAGTTTTACTAAAGGTTAAGAATATTTTTAGGGGCCTCCCTGGTGGCCTAGGGGTTAAGAAGGCCCACTGTGGTGGCCTAAGTTCGATCTCCAGCCAGGGAGCTAACCCACACAGCACAATAGACCTCTCCTGTTACACCAGCTGCTCCGCTTAGTAGTGTATTTCAGTAGATCTGCCTTTTCTGCTCCTCACTCTGTCTCTGTCGAATCCTCTTACCACCTTGCCTCCCACTCCCCCCCCCCCCAGTTCTGGCCTGCACCCCAGTTCTTCTATGCAAAAATAGTCTTTTTTTTTTAAAAAAAAAAAAGGAAAATTTTTAATGGGTAGGATATTGACTTAGGTAGAAATGTGTCTTAAAATTGCTTACCAAAATTTTTATAGGCTGAAAATTAAGTGTATAGATTTTCAGAAAGAACTTTTCTTGAACTAAATTTAAAATTTAAACCTTTCCTTACAGAGATTAGGAGTATTTTTTAACAACATTTTAAAACTTAGTACTTAATTTTGCACCTTATATCTAGCTATATTCTTATAGTGCCTAAAGCAGGATTTGTATATGATAAATACTTGATAAAATATTTTTAAAGATATATAAGCGCTTGCTTTATTTCTCCAAAAGGAATGTTTCATTCGTTTTGGCACTTACTCTGTAATTCAGTGATTATGGATTTATTTCAGTAATTACCCACTGTGTTCTTGGCACTGATTGATGCTAGAGAGCTGCAATGAAATGAGATGGATAACACTTAATGTGTTTATTGACACAACATTCCATAGGAAGATAGTTTAAAAAACCAATTTGTGAAGAGGTTTTGAAATTAAAAGTATAAGGGACTGTCAGAACATAAAATAAAGAGATTTAAAGATTCATGTATTATTCTAAAGACTTAGATTAGGGCCTCCCCTGGTGGTGCAGGTGATTAAGCGCAGCACTGGGGAAGCTATCCACAGCCTCTGCAGCGCAGGTTCAATCCCAGCCGGCCGGCAAGAATCCCACATGGCATGGCAGACCTCTCCTGTCTCGCCCGCTGCTCCCCTCAGCAGTGTATTTCAGTCAGTCTGTCTGTTCTGTTCCCTGCTCTGTCTCTGGTGAATCCTCTCACCCTCCCGTGCATCTGGCCTCTACCTTGGTTCTTACATGCATGAATAAATAAATCTTAAAAAAAAAATACTTAGATTATATAGTTTTAATGTTTGGTTTTTGGGAACTGAAATGCTAGGTTATTCTAAAATAGTATCACCCATATTAAAAAAAAATTTATTTTCATTTGAATAGACCTCAACTCTTTTTACAGACGACAAGATGTGTGTTCTTTGCAGGTTTCCATGCTTTCACACATGCCTCTTTCTTTTGCTCATTGATCACCATGTTGTTTATTTCATTAGGAACTACGTTATATCCAATATAGATTTAGCAAACATTTTTTTAATGATATTAATTCATTTCCATTTCTCACTCAAATTGCTGCCTCTTCTAGAATTTATTTTTCTGTCCCTGGATCTAGTGCAAGGCCTTGCATTTGGGTAGTCATTTATTAAATATTTCTTGAATAAATAGCATTTGTTTGTGGAATTGAGCTCTCAAATACTTTGGATCTCCAGAACTCTTCAGAACCACTCAAAATCAAACTTGGTATCAGAACATTTGTCATAAGTATTGCTAGCTCTTTATCTTAAGTTCCTCATTGCCTTGGTGGTTATGGAAAGGAGAAAAAAATAACTGGTATTTTGCTAAGTATGTGTTTAGTTTGCATACCTGTAGTAAGATAAGAGGTTTTAGTGAATTTGACTAGGTCTAAATATTTCACCAACTCTAATTTTTATACCTAGGTACACTTATCTAAAATGGGTGAATTTTTGATTGGCTACATTATTTTCAATCAGTAATCTTGATTTTTCCCCCCCTTTTTTGTAAAAATTAGCAGGATTGCTTTATGGTGGAAGGGGAAGATTTGAGGCATGACTTTGAACGTTTACAGCTGGCGATGGAAATGGTAGGATTTCTTCCCAGGACCCGAAGACAGTGAGTTTATTTATTGTATTCTTATATTCTCAGTAAGTAATAAATACTGTGTATTTCAAGGATTCCTCTTCCTTGAGCCTTTTAAAAATGGTTCTGATTTCCTAATCTAGTACATCCTTTATTTTAAGCATTGTCTGTGATAATAATTTTTCTAAAAAACTCATTTTGAATTGTTTTTGTGAGTTCTTTATGATTTCTTTGAGATTCTGATGAATGGTGGAGCTCTCTTCCTGTAGAATATATATCATTAAGCATTTGTGCCTAATTGCAAGATTTTGTGTGTCCCTGAAGTCCATCCATGAACCTTACTTAAAAACTGTTGCTTTATGACATTATTTTATAGTTCTTTGTTTTGCATATCATTGCGTTCTAAACTTCTTAAACATGGGTACCCATCAGTAAGACAATTTTTCTGTGTATTTCCTTTTTATGTGTGTAATTTCATAATAAACATTTTGTTTATATTTCAATTTAAAAATAAAAATATTTTCAAATGCATTTAAATTTAAATGTAAACAAAATAGAAATGTAAAAAAATTGAGATGAGATGAAGTAAACTATATTTAAAATAAAACAATTTAAAGTTAAGGACACAGTAACCTTGACTCATCAGAAAAAAAAACTAGTTACTTTTTTTGAGGAGGGAACTAATGTTGAGATAAGTATGTAGGATTTGATCAGGTTGTCAATTTATAATCTCGTAGAAGTAGGAGAATATTGTAATTTTTTTGCTTGCTTGTAATTATATCATTGGTATGAATCTTCTATTAGCAGATCTTTTACTGGAATCTTTTTATGAGAGACAGTTAAGACCAAATAATGTAATATGTAACTATGTAAACCCATTTAATTGGTGACATAAACTCCATTTCACTGAAAGTTACCATATGACAATACCATTGTCATTTTCTCCCCTCGGTATTACTTAGATTTTTCCATCAGGATATTTTACTTACCTGTTGTGACACCTGGCTGATTTGACATATAGATTATACCTTAAATTATAGTGAAACTTTATTTTTTTAAAGATAATGAAAGTTAGAAATAAAACGTGTACTTTCTGATATGGCTTTATCATCTCACATTGGAAACCATTACAAGTAGTATGTTACTGGTAGTTTGGTCTTCAGTTTGACTCATCTCTGTAACTCAGATATAATCTTCAGATATTCACTAGAAGGAGGGGCATGTGTTTCTCTGAGAGAGAAGGGAAGGAGAAAAGGGAGGGTTCAGATATAAATGATTCGCAGTCGGGGGCTTTATATTAGATAACATATTTCAGTGAGCCCATACTATTTTTGTCTTTTTAAAGCATTTACCAAGAACACCATAATCTGGTATAGAAAAGTATTTTTAAAATATAATTAATAATAAAGAATTACCCAGGCTGCTTGGTAAAATACAGATTCTAAGACCTTTCCTTTAAAAATTTTGATTCAGTAAATTTGAAATAGACAATGTAGGGAAAGGACATTCCAGACAGAATGAAAAGGCATTTAAAAAGATATGGAATTTAGAAACACTCCTGCAGATTTAAACAATAGCAGGAGGTCCTAGTGAAACAACTATATTTGACAAGTGATACAGTACTACAAAAGATTATATAAAGCACTTTGCACAGTGCCTGACATAGGAAACACTCAATAAATTTTGGTTATTATAATTATTCTTCTTCTGATATTTAAACTAGGAAATAAGCTTAGAGAATGCACACAAGTAAGCTTTGTAATTTGTGGTTTTATTTTCACAGGATTTTCTCTCTTCTCTCAGCAATACTACACTTGGGTAATATCTGTTATAAAAAGAAGACATATCGGGATGACTCCATAGATATCTGTAATCCTGAAGTTCTGCCTGTTGTCTCAGAATTATTAGAAGTGAGTGATTATATTCTCAGTTGTTATTTCAAATACTGGGTAACTGCTCAGTTATTACCTTGTGTGACTGTTTTGTAGGTGTAAATGGGTTAATACTATTAACAGTTTTCTCCAAAAGATGAAATTTTTGCTTTTGAGTATACCAAAATTTTTAGAATATTTGGCTTTTTCTCCCCTTCCTCTCTTTGTGTCAGATTCCCATAATTGCTCAATTTGCTGGACAGAGTGACTATTTTACTCTAGACTATGTAATGTTTGAGGTCTTCACTAGTTTTTCTCCTTCTGTTCTTGAGATTTTTTTCTCATACCCAGATTTTGGTTAGATTATTTTATTTGAAGATGGTGTAATAGGATGGGTAGAGAGAAAAAACTAAATAGGGTCAAAGGTCTTCATCTCCTACTGTACTTCTTCCCATAAGAAAATCTTTGTTACCTTCCCTTCTTTCTATTACAGTGATGATTTCGTATGTTTTCTCAGCTAACCACATCTTGCCAGATTAGTTTTAAAAGGTCTGTCATTTTTTTTGGGCCTCTCTGTTGGCACAGGGGGTTAAGTCTCAGCACTATGAAGCTATCCGCAGCCACTGCAGCACAAGTTCGCTCTCTGACCAGGGAGCTACTACCCACATGGCGCAGCAAACCTCTCCTGTCTTGCCCGTTGTTCCCCTCAGCAGTGTATTTCAATAGATCCGCCTGTTCGGCTCCCCACTCTTTCTCTGGTGAATCCTCTCACCTCCCCTTCCCACCTCTGGCCTACACCCCAGCTCTTGTGTGCATAAATAAATAAAATAAATCTAAAGGAAAAACAGGTCTATCATTTTTATAGTCCCTCCTGTCTTATAAAGCAAGGAAATTTTTGCGTGTATACTAACTGTTGTGTGGTCTTATATCTAAATACTGTTTTATGTAACCACCTGTACCTAAGGATAAACAACAGAACATAGTGTTTCTAATTCATCGTCTAATGTCTCATTCTAGCCTTCTTCCCTTGCTTATCTGTAAACTCCCATGCTAATAACTATGAGGAACTTGTCTCCCTCCATCTGCCATTCATTTTCTTAATTTAATTGTTCAATGCTGGTATATTGATAGTAAGTCCTCACTGAATGTTTATTTTAGGTAGTCTCCTGGAAACTGCCATTTTAAGTAACAGAATGTATAACAAAACTCAAATCCTCAACCGATAGGGGAATTATCTTTTTTTCATTAATGATATAACAAAATGAAGTTGAGCTCAAAGAAGTTATTCAAACACCCGCTCTTTGTGTGTGTGTGTGTGTATAGGTATAGATATTTTGACATATATGACAATATTAAAATTGTTAACACATACCCCTTTGCGCTTCCTGTTGCCTTTAGTCTTACAGACTCCATTTCCACAATTAATTAGGTCAGTACCTTTTCTTCCCATCCCTTTAGTGAGATTATTTCATATATTTGTCATATAACTAGATTCCTTTGTCATGGTCTACATTCTTTCCCCCAATGACTCAGTTTTTAAAATGTATGTATACATTAAAGTTAAATGCATAGTATAATGAATTGCCATTACAGTATCATACGAAATAGTTCTACTGCCCTAAAAGTCATATATTTCACCCATTCATCCCCTTCTCCTATGCCCCTGGCAACCGCTGATCTTTTTACTAGCTATGTAGATTTTTCTTTTCCAGAATGTAATGTAATTGTCATCATATAGGAGCAGCCATTTCAGACCAACTTGTTTCACTTAAAAAAATACACATTTAAGATCACCCATGTCTTTTCGTGATTGGTTAGTCTGGTTCTCTGTGTAATAGTCTGTCGTATCCATGTACCACAATTTATCCAATTATCTATTGAAGGCTGACCTAATTGTTTTCAATTTTTTTTTGCAATTATGAATTGCCTGCATTTTTTCTATGAAAATATTTTTCATCTTTCATATCTTGACTCCTGTGCCATTTCATGAGATTTAACCTCAGTGATTGTTCCAAACTGTCTATCAGCATAGAACATTTTCTTCTACTTAGCATAACTTAATTTTGGTTTTGTAAAAGAAAGTCATTATAAGACTGCAATACTTTTTGAGAGCAATGGATAAAACTTATTTGTCTGAACTTATAGTGTTTAGCATTTTGTGCACAACTGGATGTTGCTAATTAACTTTAATGGGATGAGTTGGCCTGGTAGAATGAGAAGTAGTACCTTAAATTGGAACTACACTCGCTAATTGGAAAGAAGTTCTACTAGGATCCTGGATGTGATGTCTGAAAGGCTGTCATTTTGTTTTTTTGTTTTTTTTTGTTTTTTATTTTTTTTTTAATAATAAATTTTATTTTTATATTCCCCATACAATTGCAGCCCCCCCATTCTGACCCCAATCCCTCCCCTCCCACCCCCGCCCCCCTAAAAGTGTCTCTGGTTCGTAGTTTTTTGTTGATTTTGATTTTCACTTTCTTATAGTTATTCGTTTTCCTGGTCCCTTATTTAAGTTTTCTAGATTCCTGCTATGAGTGAGACCATCCGGTATTTTTCTTTTTCTTTTTGGCTTATTTCGCTGAGCATGATCCCTTCCAGCGCCATCCATGTTGCTGCAAATTGCATGTGTTTATCTTTTTTGAATGCTGAGTAATATTCCATGGTATATATGTACCACATCTTCTTGATCCAGTCATCTATTTTTGGGCATTTGGGTTGTTTCCAAAGCTTAGCTATTGTAAACAGTGCTGCTATAAACATAGGGGTGCAGGTGTTCTTTGGAATGGATGTGAAAGGCTGTCATTTTGAATGCTCATGAGAGCCAGAGAACAAATGGTATTTTAGCTAGACATTTCAGTCAAACATTTGTTATTGTAATACATGGTATTGTGCTGTGATCTTACAAGATCCTGATCCTAGTCCAGTAGTCCTCCTTTGGTGAGAGAGGAAAGAGCAAGTCAGGCAATTCAGAGAAGGAAGTCAGGTATTAGTTAAAAGAAAAAAAAAAGGAGAACTCTAGTTCTGAGACTTACATTTACACTGTCAAAGTTAAACTAACAGCAAGCATGATTTGATAGCGGATACCACTATTTAACCCAGGATTCTTAAATTCTTTCTTGTTATGTATAGTTCGGGTTGGTTCTAGTAATGAAGGTTTGGAAATAAATAAAAAGATAGCTAGAGAAAATCTGACAGTACCTACCATGGTATCCTGCCTATAGTTAGTTATTAGAAATTATTTTTAAAAATGTTCACCTTTAGTTGCTAAGATTGAAAATAATTGCACATTCAAGATTTTTGTTGAGATAAAATTGAAAGATGGACATAATCACTGGTATAATTAAAAGTTAAAGTCTTCAGTTAAGATTTGATTTAATTCGCTGTCCTCCCAAAGTCATTTAATTCAATGATAAAGATTTAATTTCTTAAGAACAGATGTTTTTAAAAGAATGGTTTAAATTATTTTCTTCCAGTTATTTTTTGTAGTTACCTCAGGCAGCAGTAAATATTTTCAGTCTTCTTTTTGCTAAATCCCATTTAGGGATAATTATTTGTAAAATTCTTAAAAGGTGAACAGTCTTCAATTGTGGAGCATGTTTTGTTTTGAGATATTAGAACAATCACCATTGCTAAAAAAGACTTTTTTTTTAAGCAAACATATTTTAAGGATATGTTAACAAGTTGGAAAGCATGAATATATAAAGAATGATGTTTTAACATACATGTCAGTTTCTTAACTAGGTGAATTTGAGAAATGTTGAGGTTGGATTTTGAGCTCATTGCAAATTATTTTGTTACTAATAAAGTTTAAAATATTAAGTTATTATGTACAACTCTAAGGCTAGTTGGAAAATTATAGAGTAGCTGATTATACTATGAATTCAGTAATATTTCCTTTAGGATGTTTATGAAATATAATGAGCAAGATTAGTGTTTCATGTGATTATGCATACATATGTAGATATGTGTATGATAAATCTGCATATAATAGAGTTGGTATGGTAATAAAATTATCGAGTTTTAGTGCGAGGCTTTAAACCAGCTGCTTAAAATTGTTGGATAGTTTTTCCATCCTTTTAAATAATTTCCTATATTTAAAAGAAGAATCATTAGCAAAGAATAATATGTTTCTTAAAGGTTTAAGGGATATAAATATTATGAGCAACCGTATTTGATGTCAGTTTGTTCTGTTAGCTAATGTTTTAGTATTTTTAAATCTGGATTGAGTTAATTTTGATAATTTTTTTCTAGGAAATTATGTTAAGTAAATGTTAAAAATTCATTATTTCTTCATTCTTTGTAAATATTTTATTAGCTTTTAAACCTCTCTTGTGTTCAGTTTGTATTTCATAATTTTTTCTTTTTATTTGTGTGAGCTTTTTCTTTCATTTAACTTTTTTATTGAATTTTTTATTTCATTTAATTTTTTTTTGAAGTACATTGGTTTATGATCTTACATAGGTTTCAGGTATACAAGATTATAAATTACAACTGTGTGTACTATGTTAAGTTCACCTCTAAAAGTCTAATTTCCATTCTTTATCTTTCATTTCTTAATTGCAAACAGTTGACTTTTAGATTTATCTATTCTGTTTTACTTATGTGTTAATTTTTTTTTTAAAGATTTATTTATTTATGCATACAAGAGCTGGGGTACTGGCCAGAGGTGTGAGGGTGAGAGGGTTCACCAGAGACAGAGTGGGGAACAGAACAGGCAGATTGACTGAAATACACTGCTGAGGGGAGCAGTGGGAGAGTCAGGAGAGGTCTGCTGAGCCATGTGTGTGTAGCTCCCTGGCTGGGGATTGAAGTTTTGCTGCAGTGGCTGCGGACAGCTTCATAGGTTGCATCATAACTCCTTGGGCCACAAGGGAGGCCCTGTGTTAATTTTTGTTTTATCATATTTTCTGTTTTTTGCTTTGTTAAATTATGTTTCTAGCACATAGTATGTTTGTGTATATAAAACAATATAATAAACATCTGTATATTCATAGGCCTGTACAAGTAATAAATTATTGCATGTCATTGAAACCCAATGTATACTCTGTCTCCACCAGACAGAAAGAAATTTGGTTTTATCATTCCTTTTCTTGTTTTTATGTTTTCAAAATAGATGACTAACTCTGTAAAGCACATGTAGTTTTCTTTTGATTATTTTTAGACTTTATATAAAACATTATATTGTAACTTTCTGACTTGACATCTTGATATTTTTTGAGATTTTTTTCAATGCTGATGTATCAGTATATATTGTAGATTTTTTTTAGCTGTTGTATATAATGTTATTGTATAAATAAAATAATTTATCATCTTTAGTTTTTTTTTGTAATTTTCCATTTATACATAGTATTCTTGTAGATGTCTCCTTATTAACATGTCAGAATTATTCTAGGATATAATCCAAAGAAGAGATTTTTGAGTTATGGTATATATGTACATAGTTAGCTTTACTGATGTTCACAAATTACTCTCTGCAGTGGTTGATCCAATTAATACCAGTGTATAGAAGTGTCTTTTTTGCGCCATCTTGCCAGCTTATGTTTGCTCCTTTTAAAAGTTTACTTGCGTTTAGAGGATAGATTATTTATTTTTATTTTTTATTAATTTTTTATTTAAAATATTTTTTAATGAGTTAATATTGATTTAATCATTATTTCCACAATAGAAGTGTAGGATCCCCCCTTCAGGCATTGTTGCCATAGTGTATTGTATTGGCCACCAAAGATCATTTATATTTAAATGTTCAGCTTTAATAGTGATCGGCTAAATGTAGGAATAATATGACAATGCAACAGTGGTTTTTATCATGTTTTTTTTCCTTCATTTTTATAGTTTTGTCATGTTTGTGTACTCTGGGATTTTATTTTAGTTTCTCAAAGTATTTTAAATATATCTGAAAGGTTGTGGTTTTATATTTATACTTTGGCTGTTTTAGTTTTATTGCTTTTTGTGAGGGTAATGTGCCTCAGATTATTTCCATTATTTGTAATTTGAGAACTGAATGGTGGATACGCCAAAAGAAGGTATATTTCCTTTATGGTATAATCATATTTTAAAAATGATTGATGTGTCATGAATTGCTGGTAGCAGGGTAATACCTAACGTAAGTGTTTTATGACTCATTTCTCTTTGTAATCTAATCTTTTGGCTTGATATAGTTTATGTCACTGTATAAAATTTTATGAGTGTTATTTCTTTATTATGGTATGGATGTTTATATAAAAACAAAGTGTTTTACCATTTCATTCCCAGCAGTATGACAAAAATCAAAAGTCCTATAATACCAAGTGGTCAGGGTTTGAAGAAATCAGAACTCTCAGTGCTGTTATTCAGATAAAACTGATAAAAACTGTGGGTAGAAATTTGGCAGTATCCTGCAAAGGTAAAAATATGTACATTACAACCTGTTAGTTTCACTTTTAGTATGTACTTTATAAAGAAACTCTTGAACACATAAGAATGATCATTGCAGTTCATTATCTAATATAGTGCAAAATTGTAAATCAGTTAATGCCTACAGGTAGGAGAATGGATTACACACTCTATTACTGATTTGCTAGTTAGCAGTTAAAATGGATATGCTTTGTCTAGATTATCAACATACTTCAATCTTAAAAACATATGGACAGTTGTAATGCTATACATATAAGAGTTAAATACACTTGACAACATGTAGTGTTTAATATATGTATGTATAAAAACATGAACTGAAATGATATATGTGAAATTCATGAAAGTATTTGCCTCAAGTGATAACAAAGAAAGCATCAGCTTTCTCTAAGTTTACCATTTAAAAAAATTAATAATTGAAACATAAATAAGCGTCCATTAGAATTCAAGAAGTGTTGTCATTTTTTGGTCCTTGCATCTAGGTTGTGGGATTATGCTTGATTGTCTAAATCTTTTTTTTTTACTATAATATATTTTCCATGTTCTGCACAACGAAACGTTTCTCCATTATAAACAGAAAGAAAACTTTAACTTAAAAAAATGCCATCTGGGCCTCCCCTGGTGGCGCAGGCGGTTGAGCGCAGCACTGTGAAGCTTTCCGCAGCCTCTGCAGTGCCGGTTTGATCCCAGCCGGCCGGCAAGGGTCCCACATGGTGCAGCAGACCTCTACTGTCTTGCCCGCTGGTCCCCTCAGCAATGTATTTCAGTCCTTCTGTCTGTTCTGTTCTACACTCTGTCTCTGATGAATACTCTCACCCTCCCGTGCATCTGGCCTGTACCCTGGTTCTTGTATAAATAAATAAATCTTTAAAAAAAAATCTATCTTATTTGCCTCTATTTCCTTTATTTTTTTGGTTAGGGTAAAAATGGGGTGAGTGGACACTTAAATTCTACTTTGGCCATTATTTAAATTCCCTAGCATACTATCTCTTTTTTTTTTTTTTTTTACTCTATTACATATTTGTTAATCTTATTATTTTTTTCCTATATTTGACTTTTCAATAAATAATTCAATCGATTGTCATAAATCTTATATATTGAATTTGCTTTTCTGCTTTATAGGTTAAGGAAGAGATGCTATTTGAAGCATTAGTTACAAGGAAGACTGTGACAGTGGGAGAAAAGCTTGTTTTACCATATAAACTTGCAGAGGTATGAAAAGATTTTCTCTGAGATCAAAGCATGCTGAACATTTTTAGAAGTTTGGGTTTGTGTTTTTTCTTTGAAAAACACAAGACTCTTGATATTTGATGGTGACCTTTCCATCAATCTGGAAACTTCAAGTTGAATATTCTTGAGCAATAGACTTGAATCTCACAGATCTTAATATGCTCACCATTCTTAAGTTTCATTTTATTAATATAGGGTGAATAGATGATGGGATGAATTATGAGCAGTAGTTGACTCAAATGATTATTCCTTCTTGAGACAGTTTCTTCTCTTCCAACATATCATATTCTTCTGTTTTGCTTCTCATTGTTGGCCTCTTTGTTGTAGTTCATTTTGTTTGCTTTTTTATTTCTTCCTGACTGCTAAAGTTTTTGTCTCAGAGATAAACATTCTTTATCTAGATTATCTCACTCAGTCCCATGACTTTAAATATCACCTGCATTGTGAAGTTTCCAGGTGAAATTTGTTGCCTCAGTGAATCACTATAAGTAGTTTATTATTATGGTATGTAGCAGTAGGAATATTATTGGAAAACCTAGTGTTTTATTGTGTAATTTTAGGAAAGTGATCATATGATCATATCATAGTGTTGACACCTTGCCTAAGTATAGAATTCTAGGGCCATATTCCTTATTTCTGTCAGAACTTAGAAACATTCTATGATCACTTGCAAGTTTCTAGTTTTCAAGATAGAAAATTTGATACCTGTCTTTTCTGTGTTGGTAATATAGTTATTTTTTCATCCATCAATTTGAAGCTTTCAATTTTTTAATTGAAATTTACAATTTCACTCACCTATCTGGCAGGTTATAGTATTATTACCACTGTTTTACAAATGTATAAGCTCTAGTCTTTCTTAAGACTACAGTTTAGGTGAGCTGACCAAGGTCACACAGCTAGAAAAAAGGAGAAAAACTGAAATTGATAGTCTGGCTCTTAACTCCCTACCTCCTCTAAATTTCAGAACAGAGATATAACTGTATGCCTGAATATAAAAACTTCAAAAAAGGCCTTGGATAATAAATATATAAATTATTGGAATTTGTATTTTTTTTAAGTGTTAAGACTTAATTCCCTAAGATAACGTGTCTCTTTACCTTGCCCCTGACCTTTCAAAATGTTGAATTTTTTAAATAGACTTTATTTTTTACAAGAATTTCACATTTCCAGAAAAACTGAGCAAATAGCACAATTTCCATATTGGGGAAAGCTTGAAGTGAGAGAAAAGTTAAATTGCATAATTGCATAATAAAATGATTGTTACTCTATTTGGGGTTGGAGAAACCGAGAGGTTACTGTGGGTGACAAACTGAGGACAACCAAGAATGTAATTTGTATTAGGTGTTAGGATTATGTTTTGAGTGTGTGACTGAAATTTCACAGATAACTGATGTGTTTTTGCTCACAGATTTGTTCTCATGCCTGGCATACTCTTTCCTGCTTTAACTGGCAAGGTTCATTTGTTTATAAACTTCCTGTTATATCTTCTTTACTACATGAAATATGTATTTTAATTTGCAATAAAAATGTTTTGAACCTACATCTTGTTTTCCTTATTTTTAGCCTTGATTCTCTGAATTGGACTAAACTAATAAGTATCTGTGGCAAATTTCAATATATACTATTTATATTGAGAGAAAATTATTTTCTAATTCAGCATACTAATAAGCTAGCTTTCTTGGATGAATGAGAGCAAAATGCACTGTTTTAGGAAAATTATTTCAACCAGTTTCACTTGTGCTCCTAACTTTTTTTTTTCTTTCCTTCTTCTTTCCCCCAGGCTGTGACAGTGAGGAATTCTATGGCTAAGTCTTTATATAGTGCCCTGTTTGATTGGATAGTTTTTCGGATTAATCATGCACTTTTGAATAGTAAAGATCTGGAACAAAATACCAAGGTAGATATATACATTGGGTTATTATTTATGTCTCCCTGTAAGCTGTTGTAATAAAATGGTTAATGCATAAAATTTAAAAGCACAGAACTATATAGAGTAATAAGAAAGAATTGTTTTTTTATCTGTATTCCCTGGTGTTTCTTCCTTATTGTCTTATTTTTGAAGGTCATAATTTTCACAAGTGCTTAGAATTAGCAGAATTGGTGAAATACTATTAGAGTTAAAATCTCTTACTATTTATCACTTATTAAGTCAATTTGGCCAGTATCTATTCATGGGAAATATTGTTCTTGTGTTTTCAGACCTTTTCCCCCCTCTGTGAATTTACATTCCTGTTGATGTACGCTGAATTCAGAGTCGCTTTTAAGAATTGTTATTTGTATTTTTTTAACTTGTATTTTTTAACATGTTATGTTTGAAATGTATCTTGACCTTATTATTTTTAACAATCTTGTAGTATTATTTAGTATGTAAATTTCCCCATTAAAAATATAGCCATTTTGTTGCAGATCATGCCGTAACAAATCATCTTTCATTTATTTTTCTGTACATTTCTCTAGAATAAAATTCTCAAAATGGAATTGCTGTATTTAAGGATATGTATATTTTAAAATTTTGGTAGCTACACTAAATTTCTCTTCAAAAAGACTACAGTTCCACCAGCACTGTATAAAAGTGCCTATTTTCCTACACCTTTACTCACATGGGATTTTAACAGTATTTTCATCTGCTATTCTGATAAAGGGGGACTATCCCATTTTATTGCCAGTGTTTTAAATGGTAGATTTGCTGGTTGTCATGTTTTCTCTACTGTTTGATTTCTTTTTATTATTTCTTTGTATATTTTTACTACTTAATGCTCATTTTTTCTTTTGGGTATTCCTTTCTAGGAGTCATTTCTAGGAGTCATTTATTGTGAATATTGCAGAGACTCACTTTGATATATGTTCTAAATATTTTCTCCTGACGGTAGATTTGATTATGCTATGTGTTTTTGGGCTTATATGTTTTAAATTCTTGTGCAGTTATTTCTGTCATTTTCCCCCCTGGGTTTTGTTTACTTTTCTTGCGTAGTAACGCCTCTCCCAGTACAGTATTATAAAATACTTATTCTCATACTTGTAGAATTTAATTTTTTCCCCAATTGGGATGATTTTTTTAATATGACAGATTTTAGCTATTTAAATAATCTTATTTATTTATTTATTTAGATCTTAACATTTACTTCTTTATATCTCACATTTCAAAGAATGACATTTTCGTTTATTCACTGTAGGTAACTCTTTGAAAGTAAAGTAACTATATAAAAACTAATTTGCTTTTTTTGTACTTTTATTTTTTTATAATTGTTTTTCTTTGAATGTCAAGTCATCCTACTAAGCTACAGCATTTGTAATCTATATATTTATTGTCTCTGCATCGTTTGTATTTATAGAAATATCAATAGTGTAGGTTTCTGTCTTTATAAGAAAAGTTTTAGCTTATTTGATCTTTTCAGAGTTCAACCAGCAATATTTCTAGCATTTATTTTCAGAACAGTTATATGTTCAATAGTATTTTTACTATTAGTTTTGATAGATGACTCTTCAGCATATTTATTTATAATAGACTCCTACTTTTACAATATAATTATCTATTCAATACAATGTTAAATACTTACTATTTACCACCTATTTATTAATCATCTAATTTGGCAACATGTTGATTTTTCCTTTTTAATTTATTTTTCCAGTTCATCATCCCTTTTATCTCCTTTTCCCTTTCCTTACCCTCTTTTAACCTCAGATATTTAAATCATTTTAAACCCATTTTTATTTCCTAATAGTGTTTATAGAATGATCCATCTTTTCGAATTGATTAGATATATCATTTTTATTACTTAATTTTCTCTGTCTTCAGTATAAACTTGTTTACGTTAACGTTTCATGGCTTGAGTAAGCCCACAGTGAGAAAATTAATTGTAATCTAATTTACCAAATAATCTTATTTTTGAAGGTCTTTATTTTCACAAGGGCTTAGAATTTTGGTCAGTAGAATTAGGAAAATACTGCTAGTGAAAACTGAAAAAGAAATCTCTTTCCATTTATCATGTATTGCATCAGTTTGCCCAGTATCTCTCTTAGCAGCATTGAGAAAAATTGTTTTCATTTCACTAAAGTTGTCATACAACTGTATTTGAAGAATGAGAAGATTATTGGTTTGGGGGGTATTAGAACTGAATCCCTACCCTCCATTTTAAGTAGTTAGAAAATAATTTCTAGACGTAAAATATTAAATAGGAGTGTAAGTGTTTGTATACTGTACTATTCCATATTAAACAGCTAAAGGATTTGAGTGTTGAGTTTAGGGAGTAGAAATTAAGGATGAAGAAGAGATTGTTATTTTTTTCTTTATAATCCCTTTTAAAGTTTTTTAACATAAACCTTGTACATGTTTTTGATAAAAATTTAAAAACATTTAACTTCAAGAAGTCCATCACTTTGGTACCTAGTTTAATTCTTAGCTTGCACAAGGCTGATTAAACATACTTGCCAGCCTGACTCTTGAAGCAGAATATTATAGGGATATAGAAGTCAAAATAAGAAAAATTACATGATCATCTTGGAAATAACCAGGCATATCCAGGAGTAACTGTCTTCACTGAATTAACCTCTAATCAACACATTTTATATGTTAAAATTTTTTGTATATTTTTATACTTAGGATAAAAATAAAAAGATGAAGAAGACTAAATGCTATCTATTTGTGATATATTTTGTTTGAATACTGGCTCTCTGTTGTTACAGAAGAACTTTGAGCATTTTGTTATTTGTATCGTAGACAGCCATTGAATGCATTTGAACATAATTTTTAACCACAGTTTTCCTCCCTGTTTTGCAGACTTTGTCTATTGGTGTTCTTGATATTTTTGGGTTTGAAGATTATGAAAATAACAGCTTTGAACAGTTTTGTATTAATTTTGCTAATGAACGTTTACAACATTACTTTAATCAGCATATCTTTAAATTGGAGCAAGTAAGTTCCTAAATGCATGTCTCTTTGCTCTCCTCACAAATTCTCTACCCTCCCAACTTCAAAAAAATGCACACACACATAAATTTTGAATCATAGCCATGACCAGTATTTTAAATCTTGTGTTTCATTAGAGATATTATGGTCTTATACCAGCCATTTGTAAGCAAATAGCTATTTTGAGCATATTTTTTGAGCCATGTCATACAGTATCAACTTCTTTTTTAATAGGCCCCAGGTAGATTTAATAAGTGCTTGGTTGAGTGCATCTTTGGATGAAAAGACACATGGGTTTGCTTTGGTTTTCTGCTGGTATTGTTGATTTTTAATTGTTGCCATGGGTCTTTGTCACTGTGGGTAATGCTAAGTATACTTGTTTCATTACTTTGGGCTCTTAGTTCCAAGATAGGGTAGAGGAGTCATTAATAGGATATTGTGTCAACTCAGTGTGGATTAAAGGAAACAGGCAACATAGAGGGACTGAAATGTATAACTAGTTATTTCTTATAATAAGCAGAAATTAATTTAGTTTAAAGCAGGCAAGCCTTCAGTTTCCATGAGAATTAGTTAGGGTTAATAAAAGGTCAAAAAAATATATGGGCAAGTCAAGTTTGAAGTCAGTAACAGATTTACATTATTGCCCTGATTTTCATATTATATATGATGACATTAGCCAGGAGTAGCAGTGTTCATATTTGATTCAAGGAAAATAGTGAAGAAATAAAAAGAAAGACCACAGGAGATCTACAATGCAAAACAAACAAAAAACCCCCCACAAACCCACTTTCCTGTCTTTGTTGCTTTCTGTCCTAGCTTAAAACATCTTTATATTCTGCAGGGAGAGAGAAGGGAGTAAGATCAAAACAGCGGTGGGAAGAGAATTGGTGGTGAGGAATTTCACGGGGACTATAACTGAGAAGAGAAAGCACACATTGTACAAAAATGAAGAATGATGTTAAAAAAATATATAAATAAAAAAAACCTTTATATTGCTTAACGAGCTGGTTAACAGAAACATAAGCAGTATTAATCCTGGCTGTCTTGATGAATGCTTAAACTTATAACATAAACCTTTTAGCTAGACTCCAATGGAACTGTTAAAAGATAGTATTATTTATTGTAATATTACCTATTTTTTATGCAATATTTACAGGCAGGCACTATTTTTATACAGTTTTATAGGATGCCAAAGCTAGTAGTTAAACCTTTAATACCCTAATTTTTTTAAGCAAAAACTGAGCTGAGACTGATCTTGACTCAGTCTGGTGCTATTTTAAATATATCATGCTAAAATAATATTTTTTTATCTCAAAATGGTTATATGTATTAGAGGGGTGGAGGAATGCACTTTATTGGCTATCTTCTATGTAGCAAAGCATCAATTGCTTTTTGGGTCATTAAAGAGAAGAGTGGTTAAATTGCTTAAAGAAGAAAGATGTTCTCTAATTGTGAACTGAAATTATTCTTTCTTTTACTAGATGTGTAGATTAGTCATGGAGAAGTCACAAGAAATGCCTTGCCCTAAAATACATTATTTTTAAAAATAAAGCCTTATAGTTCATAGAAGATGTCTTCAAAACTACTTATGGTTTACTCATTTATTTGCTACTCTGAATATCACAGTTTTAAACAGTATAAAGGAATTGTGGCGCAGAAGACAGATTGTAAGGTCTATCTGGTTTTGCTTTCAAATTTCAGTATTTGCTTCTGTAATTTATATAATGGGGATGCTTTTGATGTAATTTATGGAAATTTTAGAGACTTCATTTTTTTTGCCATCTGTTCATCTATTTTATTCTATTTTTTTTTCTCTTCCTGGTATCCCACATTTATTGGGGATGTATTGGGGAAAAAACATTTTAGGTAGTTTAACTATTACTGTTTTGTTTATTTGTGTATCTGGTACTTAATATGAGAATTGGTGTCATTTGAATAAGAAATACATTTGAAGTCATTAACAGGTTTACATTATAGCCCTGATTTTCATATTATGTATGATGACATTAGCCAGGAGTAGCAGTATTCATATTTGATTCAAGGAAAATAGTGAATAAGAAATCAAGCCAATTTTTGAAATTAAAAAAAAATTTTTTTGAAAAAGAGGATAAAGATAAAAACTTATCAAAGCATCTTTTGGAGGATATATTTAAAAAATTTTTTTTTTTAAGATTTATTTATTTATATAAGACCTGGGGTATAGGCCAGAAGCCCGGGAGGGTGAGAGAATTCACCAGAGACAGAGCGGGGAGCAGAACAGGCAGACAGACCTAAAACACTGCTGAGAGGAGCAGTGGAAGAGACAGGAGAGGTCTGCTGCGCCATGTGGGTATCTCCCTGGCCAGCCAGAAATCCAGCCTGCACTGCAGAGGCTGTGGACAGCCTCACAGCGCTGCGTTCAACCCGCTGCACTTTTGGGTAGGTCCAATATATTTTAAAATCTTGATTACTAAATTCCACCTCCAAATTTTTCCAAAAATAGTACATACACATGGGATGTAGTAATTACCATGGAGGATAAGTGCCAGTATCATGTATAAAGTAAAGTAGTGATAGAAAGGATGGAATATATTAGAATTTATTGAAAGTCTGGAGAGGTATATTTCCAGGGGATGATTTTGGATTATTTTTTAAATTGTAAATTGAGCTAACCAGATTGTCAGTGGAGAAAAGCTATTTTAGGCAGAGGTAACAATATCCTTAAAACTGTAAGTCATAAAATAGTATGGTACTTCAGATGAACTGATGATACTTCAATATGTCTAAAATACAGGAAGGGAGATAAGTTTGATGAAATAGCCTAGGGTCAAGTAGATTTATATGCAGTACAGGGACTATTAAAATTTTCTGTTAGAGAATGAGGAGCTTTTTGAAGTGTACTTACAGAGAACTCACAAGTATGGAAGATGGACTAAAGAGAGGTGAACTGGAGGAAAGGAGACAATTTGTGAGCCACTTGAAGTAGTGTGGGTACGTGATTAAATCTGGTATCAGGGTATTAGCAGAGATAATGTGAAATAAGAAATAAACCAGAACAGATCTCTGTCATTGGAAAATATATTTTCTGTTGTCATTTGTACTACTTTCATCTTCCTTTACTTGCTCAGAATTATCCTTCAGGTCATTGATTCATCAGTAAATTGAAAAATTTGTCAGGCATCTGGGCTAGACATTGAAGATAGAAAATTTAGAGTTGTAGGGATCTTATTTGAGGAATTCCTAATTTAGTGAGTTTTTCTTTTGTCTGTCCTGTCCAACTTCCAGTGAACAGACTAGGAAATTTTGACCAACCTTGACATGGAGAATACCTAAAAAAAAATTGAAGGCGCTGGAATACATGCAAATAAGTGAAGTTTTATGGGACTTGGATGTGTAAGAAAGAAATTCATTGCATTTATCCTAGTATTTGTTCCTGGAAAACATTCTATATTCTGGTAGAAGGTTGTTGATTCTGAAAGAACCAGACTTGAGAGTCTGAGATAGTGAAGAGAGTTGTTTTTTTTTTTAAAAAAAGATTTATTTATTTATGCATACAAGAGCTGGGGTACAGGCCAGAGATGCAGGGGGTCAGGGAATTCTCCAGAGACAGAGTAGGGAACAGAACAGGCAGACTGACTGAAATGCACTGCTGAGGGAGCAGTGGTTGAGTCAGGAGAGGTCTGCCTTGCCATCTTGGTTGCTCCCTGACCGGCCAGAGTTTGAACTTGTGCTGCAGAGGCTGTGGATTGCTTCATAGTGCTGTGCTCAGCCTCTTGCACCACCAGGGGGGCCCTAAAGAGGTTTTTGTTTTTTTGGTTTAAATTAGAGTTTTATTTATTTTTAAAGATCTTTTTTTAAAATTTATTTTTATACAAGAGCTGGGGTATAGGCCAGAGGTGTGTGGGAGGGTGAGAGGATTCACCAGAGACAGAGCATGGAGCAGAACAGGCAGATAACTGAAATCTACTGCTGAGGGGAGCAGCGGGTGAGAAAGGAGAGGTCTGTTGTGCCATGTGGGATTCTCGCCAGCTGGCGGGATGGAACCTGCACTGCAGAGGCAGCAGACAGCTTCACAGCGCTGCCCTCAACCCGCTGTGCCACTGAGGAGGCCCTGAAGAGGTTCTTTAATCCAGATTCAAGAGCAAGGAGGAGGATTTAGCAGCTCCCACAGACTTTAGGCTGAAGCCCTGGAGGTTTACATCTTAGGAGTTAAATCAGAAATATATTAGGAATCATAGAGGCTGAAGCCCAGTTTAAAACCATCTCAGTTTCTGATTGGGTTAAAATAGTGTAGAATTACTAGTGCTCTTAGCTACTGCCAAGAGCAAATTTAGTCTCCTATGGAGGAAGAGATTATTCTAGTGCTGAAAGTACCTCTGTGATTTTCCATGTACAGGATTTAGCACTCAGTTTGGAAAAAAAAAAAAAGATAAAGGAGGCAAAGTAGCGCGAGTACAAACAAAAGAGAAACAAGACAGTACCATAGGGGAATTTGGATAATGATATTATCAAATATGAATTTGAAACTACCAATACTTTTCAGGAAATTTTTTTAAAAAGCAATATTTTTATTAAGGAACTACAAACTTATAAAGCAATCTCAACTTTAGGAAAATCTAAAAACTTTAAAATCTAGAACTAAAGTGAGATTAAGAACACAGTGATAGTTTTTTAACAGATACAGTTTAGGAGACAGTGATTTTAAAGATAGTCTAGAAGATGAATAAAGGTAAATAAGGAAAATATTAATAGTAGGAGACATGGATCATAAGGAAAAGGTTAAACAATGTATTGTAGGAATTGTGGAAAGTTATGTGTGAGAGAAAGAGAGAATAGAATAGAAGCCATATTTGAAAAGCTATGATTAAAACAAAACAAAAGATAATGATTGAATATTTTCCAAAACATAGAACAAAAAATCCAAATAATACACATTTGAGAAACTCTTTAAGAATCCAAAGCATGATAAATACAAAGACACCAATATAGTAAAAAATATCTGAGATGTAGCGTAGGGTGGGGATAGGGGTGAGGAAGCAGTTTTAAAAAAAAAAGCAGCAATAAGACTAGCAGACACAGTGGGTCACAGTATGGGGAGACAGAATGGATGCCAGAATACAGTGGAGTATTTTCCTTAAAAATGAAGCATGTTATTTGGGCAGCAGCTTAAATTATAACTCCATTGTAGTCAGAAATGCAGGAAAGAATGAAGAACAATGAACATTGTAAAAGATTAGGCAAATCTAAATGAATTTAACTAAATCAGAGATTAAAATACCTTTGTGGTTTAAATTTTAGGTAGAACTAAAATACATGAGTACAGTAGGTCTTAAGTAAGGAAAGGAGTACATGGAATTTAAGGTCTTCTGAGATCTTTGTATTAAATGGTGAGTCATGGAATATTTTTCTCTCTTAGATGTTGAAAAGTATCAGTGTTGTGATCTCCGGGATAACCACAAAGTTATAAAGGAATGTAAAAGTCAACTTAATATAACAGGGAGTAAATAAAGTATAAACAACTTTAGCAATCCAAAAGGGCAAATAGCAAATAGCGAGATGGCAGTTTAACCCCACTAATATCAGTGATTCCATTAAATATGAGCAGATTGCTCCAAGAAGAAACCAAGATTGTCAGACCGGGTAGAAAACAAAACTAAATCACTGCATGTAAGAGCATTAAATATAAACATTCAGAAAGTTTAAAAATCAAAGGATGGAAAAAGATTGAGCAAACTTTAAAAGAAGATCTACTATAGCTGTAGTAATATCATAGTTTAAGCTTTACTATAGATAAAAAGAAATAATTGTTAATGCTAAAAGGATCAGTTCATTAAGTATTTTATAAATAGTTGATAATACTACCAAAAAATATAAAACAAAAATTTAATAAAACTCAAAAAGAAACATACTTGCAATTATAATGGAATGTCTTAACATATCTTGCTGAATACCTGAAAGACTAAGCATCCAAAAAATCAGTGAAGATAGAAAAGATTTAATGTAGGGTGAATGCTTTTGTAGGCATCCAGTCTTCCTGCTCTTTTGGTCAGGCCTGATGCCTATATCAAATAAGATATAGAAATTTTTTTTATTATTTTTAAAAAAAATCATTTTTTATACAAAAACTGGGGTACAGGCCAGATGTGCGGGAGGGTGAGAGGATTCACCAGAGACAGAATGGGGAGCAGAACAGGCAGATGGACCGAAGACACTGCTGAGGGGAGCAGCGGGCGAGACAGGAGAGGTCTGCCAAGCCATATGGGTTTCTCCCCAGCCAGGAATCGAATAAGCGCTGCAGAGGCCGCGGACAGCTTCATAGTGCTGCGCTCAACCCTCTGCGCCACCGGGGAGGCCCTAGAAAAATTTTAAAGTAAATGCTTATTTGATATGTATAGATAATGCAAATTTGTTAAATTTGTTCATATACTGGGTCATAAGATGGGTTATATTTCAAAGGATTAGAATCACACATATTTCAATACCATAATGAAAAGATAACTGAAAAATACTTATATAACTAAAAATTAAGAAATGTATTTCTAAATAGTCTAGAAATTGAAAAGATTAGAAAATATATTGAACTTAATAAGTCACATACTAAAATCTGTGGGATGTGACCAAAGGTGTACTTAGAGGAAATTTTTATAGCTGTTAAAAGATTTTAAATCATTGAAAAGCAGTGATTTAAGTATCCCTCACAACAAATTGTAAAAATATTCCAAACTGAATCAATGGAAAGTAGAAAGAAGGAAATGAAGATAAAAGAGGAAATTAAATGAAAGTGAAAACAAACATGCCATGGGAGAGGATCAACACAGCCAAAAGTAAATAACTAGCCTCTCTTGAAATTAATCCAGGATAGAGAGAGGAATATAAATAACCACAAGTCCAGTGGTAAAGAGCACATCAATGTGGATCTTACATTTAGTAAAAAGATAATATGACATAATCCACAATTTTATGCCCATAAGTAGACTTATTTAAAAAACAACTTTGCAAAACTGACACAGAAGTATCTAATTCTGTAACTATTGAAGAAATTGAATATTTAATCAGAACTTTTCCATAAAGAACATTGTAAACCAAGATGGCACCACTGGTGAATTCTACCAACATTGAAAGAAGCAATATCAGTTTAATATAAACAGTTTGGTGGAATAGAGAAAAAAAGCAAACAATTATCCATGCATTTTAGGGGGCTAGGATTAACATTGATAACCAAATCTGTCAACGATATTATCAGACGTGGAAATTAAGGCTAGTTTCACTCATTAATATAGATTTAAACATTCTAAACAACTATTAGCAAATTAAATCCAGCAAGATGTAGTTAACAGGATAATACATCAGAACTAAGTGGATTTCTTTCCAGGTATATGTGGCATCTTAATCATCAATTGTTTATCTCATCTATTACCACATCAAAGATGATGAAAAAAAAATGCATGGTGATCTCAACAGAGTATCAAAGTATTTGATAGTTACGTATCCATGTTAAGAAAAATAATTCTCAGTAACTAGATATAGAAGGGGACTTCGTGATAAAGAATATTACAAATATTATATTTAGTGGAAATAGACTGAATGCTTTTCCTCTAAGATTGAGAAAAGGTAAGAATAGTACCTAAAAGTTTATAACATGAACATAAGCATATGACGCCATCTGTATGGGCAGTTAATATAAGAAATTATTTTTGTACTTAATAGTCATCAGGGAAATGTGACACCCTTGGACATTCACCAGTCTGACTAAAATGAAAAAGACTGATGATACAATTATTAAAGAGATACTGAGCAATAGAAAGTCCCCTAAACTGATGGTGGGTGCCTAAGTTGCACTTTAGAAAGCCGTTTGTCAGTATCTACTGAGGTTATATATGTGTAGCTAAGCCTCTGTTTTCCCTCTGAAAATGTAGACAAATGTATACCAAAAGATTCGTGCAGAAATGTTTATGATCACATTATTTTTAATGGCCAAAAATTGGAAGTAGTTATGATGTCTATCAGTGGTAGAATGGGTGAATAAATTTAATATAAATATTCCACAGCATTGGTTCTCAAAATGTTGCTCTTTCCCCACTCCTACTGATAGCATCAACATCACTAGAAGCTTGTCAGAAATGCAAATATACCTTACCCTACCCGTACTTATTTAGCAATTCTGGACTTAGGACCCAGTCATCTATTTTAACAAGCCTTTCATGTGATTTCTGTTGTACATATAAGTTGCAGATCTTTATCTCTGGAGCAGATTTTCGCAAACTTTAAAGGACCAGATAAACAAGTCTGTTAAGTTTTTTGGACCATATGGTCTTAACTCTGTTGTTACATTGAGTTAGCAGTCATAGTGCATAAATGAGTGAATGTAGTGTTCCACAGCCTTTGTCATACAGCAGTTAAAATAAATGAACTTTAGCTGCATCCTGTAACACAGACTTAACTCTGAAAATGATGTTGAGTTTTTTAAAAAGCCAATGAAAAGATTATATATTGTATGATTCTATTTATATAATATTGATAAACAGGTCAATCTTATCAATGGTGCTAGAAGTTAGAATGATAGTTAACTTTGAATAAGAGAGTCTGAGTAAGCATTGGTGAGGAAGGGTGAGGGAGGGGTTTTGGACGAATAGTAAGATCTTTCAATAGCCATATTCTTGCTTGGCTATGAAAAAAAGAAACTGAATTTTTTTTTTTTATTATTGCTTGGGAGTGACCTTTATATAGCAGTTTCTTATTTGTGAAATTATTAATTAAAAGGAGAGTGTTAATCAGTTACTTTCCCCAATTAGAATAATTAGAATTTATACTAGGGTCTATTTTTCTTTGCAGGATAATGACACGGAAGGAATGATAAAATAACAAAATCACTATTTTACAAAACCACTATATATTCAGAAGAGTAACTGATTTGTACAAAATGTTATTAAAGACTACTATAAAAACCATTAGGTGAACAGGATTTGTCCTTCATGCCTAAATATCAGAGCAGTGTGTAAAAGCATCGCAGTAATGAATAAAAGATTATTTCCTATCCAGAGAATCAGTAAGACTCATTGGGCTTCATGAGTAAGTTTTGAATAGTTACTAAAGATCTGAACTTTGAGTTCTCTAATCTTGGAATTTGAAACTTTTTGGAAAAATATTTTAAGGGTTTTATTTTATCTGATCTGAGACACAAATAAGACTCTAACCAAATCATTCGGTTGCATATACTTCTTAAAACTGAATATATACTATATTATCAAGGTTTGAACAACTGAAATTATGTTCTTTGATTGTGTGGATTAGAGTTTTAAAAAAGTTTAGACTATTTTAAGCCTGGTAAAAGTATCTCAATCCAGATAGTTATGAAATACTTACTATTTTTTTTGCAAGATAAAAAATCATTTGTTATTTCCTAGGAGGAATATAGAACTGAAGGCATCAGCTGGCACAATATAGATTATATTGATAATACCTGTTGCATAAATCTTATTAGCAAGAAACCAACAGGACTGCTCCATCTTTTGGATGAGGAAAGCAAGTAAGTACGATTCTTTCAAATTTTGTCCTTGTTAACTGTTCAGTATATCAAACTTAAATATAAGCCTCAGAAATAAAGTTTCATATAGCATTCTTCAGATTGTTCTCAGTGATCTTTAAAGTATTATTTATAGTTAAATTATCCTTAGAGATGGCAAGTCTAGAATTGGAGAAATCTAAGTGATGGCAAAAGAAATTGTATTGAATCACCCATTCTTAGCTTAATATTATAACCATTAATCTAGGACTGAAAATATTGGAGATTTACTATCCTAAGTAAGGTGACCTTATATCAGGTTTGCATTGGATAATCTAATATTTATTCTTATTTTCCGGTTTAGTTAGTAACAAAACCCCCTTTACTCTTAGAACAGCCTCATTGGGGTATAAGTTATATGTCACCCTAATACATGCCATAAACACAAAATTGTTACAAAGAAATATAATGTGGTAGTTTGCAAAGTGTATTGAAAAGGAAACTGTTAGCAGTTATATCTATTGACTCTATTACTAGACTATCTCTGTTAGTTTAAATGCAGTTAACACAAAAATTAACTTTTGTCCGATAATTTGTAAAAGTTTTTTCAGTTGCTCTGTATGTCCTGAAACATCTGTTATCTCTTAGAGAATTTTATGGTTAGTGGTTCTTAACACTGCTTTCTTTCATACCTCTGGTATATTTTGTTTTGGAAAACTTATTAGGTTATTTTAGTATTTAGTGTTGAGAACCAGGTGGTTGATAATGAAACGTTAACAGTTCTTTCTGTTTGAGTTATAATATGGTAACAAATAGAATAAGAATGTTTAAACAGTTCAAAAAAAGATCATATAGGTAGTAAATAATGGACTTGAGATTCAAACCCTCCAGGTATTTCTAACTAATAAGCTTGTGATTTGAAGTATTATAACACTTCATCTGTAGAGTCAGAAGTCCAGGGTTATACCCACACTTTATTAACTACCATTGGCAAATCTTTCAATAGCCTTGGTAAGCTCAATTTTCTTGTGTGAACATTAGCAGAAAGGGATGAAACCAGTCCTCTGGAGATACCAAGGGATGGCTCAGCTAACTTTTTTGGGAATCAAAAGTTATGAGTAGCTTTTTAACAACTTGTTGTGGGGTCGTGGGGGGGGCAGTTGCTGGGGTGGTGGGTTGGAATTTGTGTTTGCATCCCTAACCACCACATTTTTCAATGGTTGACTGTAATCCAATCTAGAATGACTAAATTTAGAGTTCTGGAAAGGAGAAGAGCTTGAATAGTAGAAATATTTTGAGGAAGGGGTAGTATTTGAAAGGAAAAGCAGACTGAAGTGACTAGTAAAATGGTAGTATTAAGAACATAAGAAAGTTAATAACATTTTTGTCATTCCTATAGGATACCAACTAGCATTAGATTTTTTTTAGTACTATTTAATTCTACTAGCACTGTGATAATCAGGAAAGGGAATGACCTTAGTCATAGTTTAGATTACCATTTCTAACAGTGACCCTGGGCACACTAGCTAAGTTCATTAAGAATTGGTTTTCTATTCCATAAAATGAGTACAATAAGGTCCAACATACACTATGTGATTAATGAATTTTTTTAAATTACGGAATAATTTTCATGCATCAGACCTGGCACTTAGCACCTTTATATTCTCATATCACTTATTTTTAGTTACTTAAAATGATACTTTGAAAGATACTTGTTCTATCCTTTTTCTGTCAGTGATACTTCCTCTATTTGAAACTCCATCCCAATCTTTAATATCTAGCTCATAATTGCCTTCTGTATTTTCTGCGAACCTTTCCATGATTCCCAGCCACGAGTGATTTTATTCTCTTCTGAATTTTTATATTCCTGTATTTGCTATTATGGAATTACTTCTTAATAGATATTATTTGAATGCTTCTTGGATATAAAATACTCATCAATGTGTATAAACCCATTTATGCAATTTGAAAAAATAATAGTTCTAAAAATGTAGTAACAGTATAGGTAAGAAAATTACATATTTATACACAAAGAAATAGGAAAGCAAAGAATGATTATGAATTTATCGGACCTATCCAAATTGAGAGATTATTCCTTTTTTAGAATTTCTTGACAAAATATAATTTGATTTTTTATTATCCTATCATTACTGGACAAAGGGTCTAAAAACTATTACAGGTTCAGAACCTCTCATTGGGCTATGGATCCAGCCACATAGAGCCACAAATGTAAATAACAGGGCCTTTGGTGCAGAAAACAAGCAAACAAACAAACAGAAACATGATTTATTCTAACCAACAGGGTGGAGGGACAGAGGTCCATTTTACAGGATGGTGCAAAGTGGAGTTGTAATTATAGGAGTCAGCAGGGTGTGATAGAGGCTGCAACTGTTACCCTCCTACCTCCTCCTCCATGAGTGAAGGCCCATCATAAAGCTGGCTGGCAGCTCCTACTGAAAAGAGAAGGAGCCCACATGCATCACTCTCTGTTAAAGACTCCCCAAATGACTGCTGAATTCTACCCCTTACCAGCAGTCACCTCACTCAGTATCAGGGGCAGAGATCAGACCAATGTACTATACAGGCGTCATTCCTTCTGGCTTGGGCAGTGTCAGGACAACAGTGGGTACAGTTGGACCTCTAGTTGTGGCACGCCAGCTCCAACAGTGGGTTTTAGAGTAGAGCAAAATGTAACCTAAGCTAAATATCTAAAAACCCTATTGAATTTCTCAGTTCTGCTACTTGAAAAGTTTGGGTTTGGGCAAATTACAACTTTTGATCCATCATCTCCAAAATTGGAGTATTCTTGTTATGCTCACTTTTTAGTTTATGAGAATCGGATTAGATTATAAGTTAAAACTCTTTATAAATTGCTAAATGTGGTAGATGATACTTTTTTAGAAAGACTGTTAACTTTCTTTGGTGTTATTAAAGATATATCTTTCTTTGGTGTTTTTGTTTCTAATTCAGCTTTCCTCAAGCTACAAATCAAACATTGCTAGACAAATTTAAGCATCAACATGAAGAGAATTCTTACATTGAATTTCCAGCTGTGATGGAGCCTGCTTTCATCATAAAACATTATGCTGGGAAAGTAAAATACGGGGTAAAGGTCGGTAGTTTCTCATTGACTATGTCTTCAGGGCAGAGTGTGTTCCCAATTATATCACCATCCTTGTCATATACCCGCTTTGTAGTTGTGAAGACTCTCGATCAGTAACAATTATAAAGATACTACTAAAATTAAGACTGTCTTTTGGTATATTACAATCTTAGGTGATGTTTTTGTTGGTTTCCTCCTATAGATAAACCTGATTTTTACTGTCTATTCTAATAGTATTTTTAGATTTGTAGGAATTGATAGCATCAGTAGCTAATTCAAGCCCACTAATTCATCTACTTAGTTTGTTGAATTTTTGTGATCTTTATATCCATGAGGTCTAACAGAGCATAATGTCTTCATGAACCAGTAGGAATTTGCGAGCTTACACTTCTAATGTATGTATTGAAACTCTTAAAGCTACAGAAAAGAATCTTGGTATTTTTCTCCATTTCTTGTTTTCCATAGATGAAGCCATTACTTTTTAAAATTTTTTTTAAATTTTTCCTTATTGTGGTAAAATTGGTTTACAAACTGTATATGATTCAAGGGAATAGGTTTTATTTATTTCAGATTTATTTTACTAACCCTACCCCCATCATCAAAACACACATAATTCTTTACGCTAGAACACTGGGCTCCCTCCCTCCCTTTTTCCCATTCCTACCCTTCCTCCCTCCTTAAGTGGCCTCAGTTTCTAGGGTTAGTTTTATTATACTTTTGTCAGTTCTTTTTTTTCCCTTTCTATATTCCATATATGAGTGAACCTTCCACTTAAAAAAGTTTCCTAGGTGAGGTGATAATGTAAAGAATAGCATAGCAATATATTTTGTACTCATCAACAGTCAAGTTTAAGTTTACTCATTCACTTATCCATGTACAGATTTACTTATTCAGGAAGTATTTATTAAGCATAGTATGTGTCAGACATTATGCTTGGTATTTGGATTGTTCTAGTGATAAAGTAGACAAATATGATCCTGGCTCTCTGCGTATTTATATACAATATCTACCTAAGTGCACATGTATGTATATACACAGACATATATGTGTATATGTATATATAGTAAAGGGGGTTCTGTGTTATATGTAATATGTTCTATGAGAGAAAGTTGTGAGATACTGGATTTTGAATTTGTAGATTTGTGAAGCTCTCTCTGAGAAACTTAAATTTTGAGAACCGACCTAAAATATGTGTTACCTTGGTGAAGAGTTGGGTGGTGAATATTCTAGGCCATCAAAATGTGAAAATATGAAATATTCTAGGCCATCAAATAGGAAATAATTGCAGGCCAGTGTTACAGATTGTAGTGGGTAAGGGATCTAGCATGAAATGAATTGAGACAATGGGCAAGAAGTTAATTCTTTAGGGCTAAACCAAGTTAAAGGAATTTGGGTTTTATTGATGTTGTTATGGGAAGCCATAAAGAGTTTAAGCAGAGGCTATGCTTTGTGTTTTTGAGACATTGCTTTGATTACTTTGAGGAGAAGGAATAACAGAAGGTAAGCGTAGAAGCAAAGAGATCAACTAGGTAGCTTTTAAAAATAATTGAGGTGTGACATGTTAAGGCAAAGAAAACCACAGGGGTGGAAGTAGAAATGAAGGAGATCTAAATTTTTGGTATATATTTCAGAGGTACAATCGATAATCTTATTGATGGATTCAATAAGGTAAGTAAGTGACTTCTCTCTAGAGCTGATGGATAGATTTGATGTGCTTTTTCCTGAAGTGGAAAAGACAGGAAAGAAGACATTTTAGAATAACAGAGAATAGAATGGTGGTTACCAGTACTGGGGAGTGGGGGAATTGACAAAGGATATTGGACAAAGGCTATAAGCTTGAATTTGGAAAATGAGTATATTCTAGACCTAATACAAGGCATTGTGATTTTAGCAAGCAATCTCTACATGTAGTTAAAATCTGTTAAAAGACTACTAAAAAGAAAAATTAAAATACTGATGGAGGGCCTCCCTGGTGATCTAACATTGAGGGGTTAAGCCTCAGTGTTATCACTACTGTGACCTGAGCTAACCCACAGGGAGCTAACCCACATATAGTGCAGCAGATTTTGCCTGTCTTGCCTGCTGCTCCCCTCAGCTGTGTATTTCAGTAAATCCACTTGTTCTGCTCCCCACTCTGTCTCTGGTAAGTCTTCTTACTACCCACACCTCTGGCCTACACCCAGTTCTTTTACAAAATAAATAAACATTTAAAAAAATACTGATGGAGGTGTTAGCTAGTGCTAAGGTGGTAATTATATTGCAGTATATAAATGTATCAAATCAACATATTGTAAACCTTAAACAATGTTAAATGTTACTTATATCTAAATAGATTTTTTAAATTTTTTTTTCAGTGATCGACTTTATTTTTCCATTTTTTCTTCTTTTTTATTTAAATTTTATTTTTTATATTCCCCATACAATTACAACCCCCTTATTTTGACCCCAAGCCCTCCTTCCCCACCCCCCCCCACCCGCCATAGAGTGTCTCGGGTTCATAGTTGTTTGTCGATTTTGATATTTTCTTTCTTATAGTTATTCTTTTTCCTGGTCCCTTATTTAAGTTTTCTAGATTCCTGCTATGAGTGAGACCATCCGGTATTTTTCGTTTTCTTTCTGGCTTATTTCGCTGAGCATGATCCCTTCCAGCTCCATCCATGTTGTTGCAAATTGCATGTGTGTATCTTTTTTGAATGCTGAGTAATATTCCATGGTGTATATGTACCACATCTTCTTGATCCAGTCATAAATAGATTTAAAAAAAAAAAAAGAATATGGTTTAAAGCAAAGCAAAAATCTTGATCTATAGGGCCTCCCTGGTGGCACAGGGGATCAAGCACCACACTATGAAGCAGTGCATGGCCTCTGCAGCACAAGTTTGATCCCGGCCAGCCAGTGAGCAACCCACATGGCAAGGCAGACCTCTCTTGTCTCGCCGGCTGCTTCCCTCAGCAGTGTATCTCAGTCTGCCTGTTCTGTTCCCCACTCTGTCTCTGGTGAATCCTCTCACCCCCTGCATCTCTGGCCTGTACCCCAGTTCTTGTATGCATAAATAAATAAATATTTAAAAAAAATCGTGATCTATAAAATCTTTTTTTTTTTTTTCAATTTATTTATACAAGCATTGGGTATAGTCAGAAGCGCAGGAGGGTGAGAGAATTCACCAGAGCCAGAGTGGGGAACAGAACAGGCAGACCAATGAAGTACACTGCTGAGGGGAGCAGCAGGCGGCAGAATAGGTCTGCGGTGGCCAGGGATCGAACCGGCGCTGCAGAGGCTCCGGGCAGCTTCGCAACCCAGTGCTCAACCGCTGCGCCACCGGGGAGGCCCTTGATCTATAAAATCTTATAGTGTGGTGCTTGAAGTGCATAACCTCAAGTATGCAGATTTCTTTCATGCCCCTTCTTAGCTCATTTTTCTCCATTTAAAGGTAACTACTATCATTATTTTTAGCCTTAGTTTCACTTGTTATTAAATATCAGATATGTGAAACCATACAATATAAACTTTTTGGTCTGTGATTATTCATCTGTAATATCAGGTAGCATGAAAGTAAAAGGATGGGGAAAGGATATACCATGTAAAACCTAACTGAAAGAAAGCTTATGTTATTGTATTCTCAGACACATACATCCGTCTGTCCATTTGATGGGTGTATGTAGACATACATAGTGATTGTGAGATACTGTGTTTGAACCTCACCATGCTCTGTGACACCATTTCCTCATCTATGAAATAGATAAATGATATTTAATCTTAAGGGGTTGTTGGAGGATGAAGTGAGATTAAATGAGACAAAATGTGTAAAATGCTTATATAGTAATTTCTCAATAAATGTTACTTGCTATTATCATTTTCAACACCACCTCAAACTTCACCTGACAAACATATCTCTTGGTTCTGATTTTTTATCCCCAAACCTTTTCCACTTTTCTTCATATTAATAATAGTACTTTAATTCACTTAATTAATCAATCCTGAATATATAAATCCTGAGGGAATTAACCTAATTCCCTCATTCTTTCACCATCCTCAGATTCATAAATGAGTTCTTTACCCTTAACTCAAAACATACCCCAATTAACTATTTTCTCTTTTTTACTGTTAACCACCACATGACCCTCAAGTCATTGTCATCTCTTATCTGGACTATTGCAATAGTTTCCCTTTTTCCATTCTTTGTAGAATTTATTCCTTTTCCAGCCACCAGTGTTGTTTCTAAAACAAGTTAGCTCATGTCCTCACCCTCCAGTGCCTTTCATTTACACTTGAATAAAGTTCAAGCTCCCAATTATTATTTATTTGCCTACTATTTCCCTATTCTCACCATTGCTCAGAATACTTAAGTCATGTTCCTATTCTTTTCTCTTGTCTAACTCATAGATAGTAGCTATTCTGCTTTGCTTGGAATCTTTTCTTGTATCTGGCTCCATTTTGTTACTCACTTCTTTTGTCATGTTATGTGATACCCCATCAGTGTTTAATAAGCTGCAGTAGAATTGTGGGTATCCATTCTTATTTAAATGTAGTAAAGGTTTTAATAGTTTCAAAGTTCGATGGGATTTTATAGAAGTTATCTGGTTTGTTTATCTACCCAGAACAGAAATCTCTTCTTTTGTCCTTATTTATTTATTTGTTTGTTTGTTTGTTTATTTATTTATTTATGCATACAAGAACTGGGGTACAGGTCAGAGGTGCAGGAGTTGAGAGGATTCACCAGAGACAGAGTGAAGAACAGAACAGGCAGACTGACTGGAATACACTGCTGAGGGGAGCAGCGGGCGAGACAGGAGAGGTCTGCTGTGCCCTGTGGGTAGCTCCCTGGCAGGCCGGGGATCCAACTCATGCCACAGAGGCTGCGGATAGCTTCACAGTGCTGTGCTAAACCCCTTGCGCTACCAGGAAGGCCCTTTTGTCCTTATTTAGCTGTTTAAACACATCACCCATTTCATCTTGTTAATTCCAAAAATAACACTGGTAATTTTTTAATATAGGATTTCCGGGAAAAAAATACAGATCATATGCGTCCAGATATTGTAGCCCTTCTGAGAAGCAGCAAGAGTGCATTTATCTCCAGCATGATTGGAATTGACCCCGTAGCTGTTTTCCGATGGGCAGTTCTCCGGGCTTTTTTCAGAGCCATGGTTGCTTTCAGGGAAGCTGGGAAAAGACACACTCAGAGGAAAACTGGTAAGCAGTTGACACTAGTATCTTCCTTGCTCCATCTTTTAACTTTTTGCCTCTATTTTTGTACAAGGAGCAGAGACATAATTTTATTCTGTTGTTTTCTTACACCTCAATATCCTGTTTTAGAGCTTATGAATTGAGTGAATTTTATATGACTATGTGAATATATGATGCATGTGTTGGTACATTTTTATTAATAAATACAGATGGGAATAACCTGGTATTTGTAGGCACCCAGTGAGACATTGGTATAATTTTTTAACAAAAAGTGAAATGATAATCACTTAACTACATAGAATTTAATATATCTTTCTCTATTTTCATTTTATACCATTGTCTTTACTATATGACAAAAATCAGAAGGCATAAAATTTAGGATGGAGGTGCGTAGTGTAGTGGAGATAGCCCTGCTTCAGTAATCAACTGTAATGTCTTGACTGAGTGTGTGACTATTAACAGTTTTTCTTGTACTGTCAATACTACCTTAAAAATTAAATAACCTATATGAAATAACTGTTTATGAAGTGGGTTTTTACCCTTAACTCAGTTCATTGACTTTTACTTGGAAATTAACAAATGAAAAGAGCTAGACACTTTTTCTATATACCTCTCAAATAATAAAATATCCCATTTTACATTGTGTGGGAGGTCGTCTTTATAAACACTTGTTACTTACTGAAAACTACACTGTTGCTTGTTGTAGCTCTAGCCATAGATAGACCATTGCTGCACAGTAAGGATTTTCTAATATGAAATTGCTTAAAATAATTTTTTTCTGCCCAGAAGAAATTCATGGGAAGTACACTAGGACACACTTGTGCTCTAGTACTCCCGGATTTACTTATATAGGTTTTGGCATGTGCACTAGCAGTATAACTTTAAGTTTAGTTTTTTAATATTTCAAATGAATAAATATATTTGGGAGATTGTATTTCTAAAATGAGAGGCCAAAACTAATTGAACTTCATTTCTGTATTTCAGGTTATAATGAGTAGTAAACTCTAGTCTTTATAGATAAGGAGAATTTCAGTATTTGGGGAAGTAAAAAGAATATCTCATACTTGCTTTTTTACCTTTTATAAAGTTATTTCTAAAAGATTATCTTTGTAGAAAGCCTTAAGGAAAAGCTTTTTTTTTTTTCTTTTAAGGTGTCTTCTTATTTATTACAATAGATTCATCAGTTTGAATATTGTAGCTATGCTCTCTAAGATAGTGATGACTAAAAAACTTTTCTTGTTGCTGATAAATATATTGCTCTTTGTAAAGGTTATTCCCATTGTTGTATGCTTCTTTGGCATTTAAAATATTTGTTATTAAAGATCAGCAAATTAAACCTGTATCATCTCTACTTCCATAATTTCTAGATAGTTTATCTTTCTGACTAGCATAGACCTCCCATCTAATAAAGTCTTTTTGAAAACTCTCTTATTCTGAGATGTGTACAAAACAAAAGTATATATAGCTCAGTGAAGTAATACAAATGAAAATACCCATGGCCCTACCACCTAGGTTGAGAACTAGAAGAGTACCAACTACTAGAAGTTGTAGCTAGAAGTTCTGCTTGGATAAATTTTTTAGATTTCACTATTTTAATCAAGATAAAGAAAAACTATAGTTTATTTGCATTCTGGGGCAATGGCTGAACATATTTGTTACGGGGAATAATTATTTGTATTTCAAATTTAAAGTGCAGCATTTCAATACATATGATAATGAAATATATATATGGGGTGTGTGTGTGTATGTGTGTATATATATATATAGTATTTGATAGTTATACCATATATATATATAGATAGTATATAGTAGATATGCTGTATTTTCTCCCTAGACACCACTTACCACCTACTATCTTCTGGTAGGTTTAGGATAAAAGGATACCATGAAGTTAGAACAGTGTGACATCACAAAATGAAAACTATCAGAATAACTGTGAAAATGGATTGAAATAGATTGAGAACTTTTATAGTGATCATAAATAATAGGTGAATATATCAGTGTAACATGATTATTTAAGCAGAAATAGAAGATATGACACTGCTCTATCTTTATGATTCTAGGGGGAAAAAGAGAACAAACTAAATCTAAAACAAGTATAGGAAGGACACAACAAAGAGTAGAGCTGAAATAAGTGAAATATACAAAACAATGGACAAAACAAATAAGTCCAAAAGTTGGTTATCTACAAAGATAACCAAAACTGACAACCCCCCAACTAACCAAGTACAGACTGGTCTGACTTTCAAGCATTCTTTCTCCAAGCAGCTTATTAAAAGTGGGGATTATTTTTTAGTGATAAGGATAGATTATTTTTATTGAGGTAGCTTTTGACTAAGAAATGATAGGTAATGTTAATATTTGTCTCTTTTTGAAAAATAAACATTTGCAACTATGGACAGTTCATATTCAATAAATGAGATAGTGTTTTATTAGACAACTTTTATTACTGTGATAAATTACTGTGATAATTTATTACTATGATAAAAATGCAATTTATCTTATTAAAGCCTGCTATTTCTGTGTATTTCTGTGTATATTATTATGTGGTACTATGGTATAAAAGATTCCATTTCCTTAACTAAAATGTAGATGCCTCTTCTCCGCTTATAGAAATGCAGTGCCATGCAAGTTGACTAAAAGGTGCTTTCACAAACTTCTCTTAGTTACTCGACCTGTTTGTGTAAAATGATCTGCCTTGAGAACTATTCATAAATAGTACCTCATCCCTAATTATATAGTACATATGCACTAGTAGAACAGCAGTTTATTGCTTATATGTTGCTTAATTTGCTTGTATCTGTTATTAAACTATCTACCTTTTTCAACTCAAACCCATATAAATTTGTACTTGATGTCCTCAGTCTAGAGGTGTTCTCTTAGTAAATGATATTCAACTCCCCTCAAGTTTGCCAAACCTGTATTCTTTTTTAAATCCATTTATTACTAATATTTACGGTACTGACATCTTCCGCAGAAATAGAAGATACAGCACTGCTCACTGTTTCAGTAGCACTAATCTATCATGCTTTTCTTCCTAATCTTTCAACATTGATACACTTGTTGGAATTCCTGCAAGTGTGGTTAGTTGCAAGATTTGTGAAATTGTTTAACTTTCACTAAATTGTTTTGGGTATATATTTCTTTGGGATTCCATCATTGTTCCTTGCATTGTTGCCAACTATGCTAATTATATTTCAGACCTATTAAAAATTAGTTCATTAAAGAAAAGAAACTAAATTACACAAATTTTGAGTTTTTCTAGGATTTTAAATTAGAAATTTTTAGTATGGTATTAACTCACAACAATGAATACTGAAAAGAGCACTCTGAATTCTTCAAAAGTACCTACCCTTTCCCCCCCTATTATTGGAAGAATCATTCACATTTAGCTCCTGATACTTGATATACTCTTACATACTTTTCAGATAGTTGGCAGCATTGTTCTTGAGTCTCTCTATTGGTTTGGGATTATATAATGTCTTTTTCTTTCTCCATTTTTTTGTTTTTCTTTTGCTTCCTAAGGACATGATGATACAGCGCCATGTGCAATTTTGAAAAGTGTGGATAGTTTTAGCTTTCTCCAACACCCAGTCCACCAGAGGAGCTTAGAGATTCTGCAGAGGTGCAAGGAAGAGAAGTACAGTAAGGCTGTAAATCCTAATAAATTCTGTGTTGTCTCATATCCATTTGGAAATGGTAACCAGGAGCATTCTACACCAGGGTGGAACATGAATTGCATAGACTATGTGACTTCCATAATCCTATTACATGACCACAGTTAGTCTCAGGGTATTTCCTTTGAAATTTAAGTTCTTTCTTTTGAAAATGTTCTTATTACCTGTTCTTTTAACTTAATTGACACTCCTATTTGCCCATGATCCTTGAGTTGTTAATTGCACTTAGTTATAGATTCTAAATTGGTTTCCATTTTTGACTGTAAAGTATCCAGGTGATGTGTAAAAATGAATAATACTTTTTTCCCTTCCTTATCTTCTATGTTTTAAAGTATTTTTTTTGAGCCATGAGATAAACTGCATGCAAAGCATACAGTTTGGTAAATGCACCTGTCAAATTATCACCACAATCAAGTTAACACAGCCAATGGTTTCCTCTGCCCCTTTCTAATTCTAGCTGATTTTTATGCTTATGCTTAAATTTCAGTATCAGCAACACTGCCTTTGTGTATCTTTTGGTAAACCCACTTAATCTGATTACACTTCTCTCATCAAACTTTCCTATGTCTGGAAAAAAAGCAAAGCTAACACATTGTTTTGGCTTAAAGAACTGTGACAAAATCATAATAGGTGTTTTTATTCTTAATTTTTATTTTTGAAGTAAAATTGGTGTAAAAGTGCCCTGGTCTCCAACTCCTGCCTTTCTGTTTGTGATACTTGTTTTGCATGAAAATTGGTTCTTTTCTTTTGTGAGATTATAGTTATTTGCCTATAGCTATATTGAGAATAAAGGGGTCCTTCAGAATATGCAAAGCTTGACTGCAATTTGCATATAATAGACCTAAAATTACTTACTAATATTATGTCCTGAACTTTTCAAAAATCACCACAGATTATATTTGCTAATATTACAGTTATGCAGTTAAAATTTTATGAGATTTAGTACTCAATTGTTAGTGAAAGGAGAATATATGTAGAATTCCTCAAAGCAAATGTTGTGGGTTCTTCATTTCTTCTATTTTTGCCATTATGCATTTTGAAAAATATTATTAAAAATATTATTTTAGAAAAACCAGTGGTAAGTATGTCATCTAAAAAACACATCCTTAAATGTTAATTTTTAAGTATTGCATTTGTTTCTGAATGGTGTTCACATACTTATTCTAATTATTCATCTTCCTTATATAAATCTTTTAATCTATGTTACATTATTTAAAACAGTCTACATATCTTTTTACCTGAGCTTAAATGAATTCTGTTTAGCTTTTAAATATTTGCAAAAGTTAAATATTTAACTTTTAAATAAATAATGCTTTATTTGCTTTGTTGATTTTTATGACTCTCAGGTTGACAACCCCAGGCCTGAGTGTATTGCTTAGTATTTATGGGTGCAGAATAGGAAGGCTGCTATTATATTTCAGCAGAGAGTACATGAGAAAATTGTAAATTTATTTGTTCACATGCGAATTTATTTCTACATTGTGGAAGTTGGACCTTTTCCGTTATTTTAAATGGCTTATTCCATTTTGCATTATAGTATTATCAATAATTAAAATTTTTATAACAGTAGGTTTTATATTTAGTTTTGAAATATTATTTTTAAAAACCAGGGATTTCCCATCTTTAGGTAATGGTGAATTGGTGAGGGGATCGAAATCTCCCACAGATAGCAGTGTTAAACCTAGAAATAATTTTTAAAATTATAAGCTGATTGAAAGCTTTGGGAGAAGAACAAAAGAAGCAGAAACCAGAGGAGAGTTTTATGCTTTAAAGTAAGTCAAGCAGTCAGAAAGAATTGTGAATTGTGGCTTTTTGCAAAGATGCTCCCTAACTTCCATAGATCCAGAGATTAAAAGAAAAACAAAAACAATACATAGCCATACTTTCTTGAAGTGACGGCAGCTTGGAACACAATTAGGAGGATAATTTAGGAGGATAATCATAGAATTTATAGAGCAGCCAAAGAACTAACACAAAGTTTTAGTATGAATTCTGCCCACCATACCTGGCTAAAAGCAGTGAGTATACAGTATAAGAAAGACTCTAGGTTTATTTCGCTGAGCATGATTCCTTCCAGCTCCATCCATGTTGCTGCAAATTGCATGAGTTTATCTTTTTTGATTGTTGAGTAATATTCCATTGTGTTTATGTACTACATCTTCTTGATCCAGTCATCTATTTTGGGGCATTTGGGTTATTTCCATAGCTTAGCTATTGTAAATAGTGCTGCTATAAACATAGGGGTGCAGGTGCCCTTTTGAATTAATGATTCTGTGTCCTTTGGGTAAATACCTAGGAGTGGAATTGCTGGCTTATATGGAAGCTCTATCTTTATAGCAGGTTGAGGAATCTCCACCCAGCTTTCCATAGTGTTTGGACCAGTTTGCACTGCCCCCAGCAGTGCAGGAGAGTTCCTTTTTCTCTACATCCTCACCAACATTTGTTGTAGCTAGTTTTTTTATGTGCCATTCTCACTCGTATAAGATGGCATCTCATTGTAGTTTTGATTTGCATTTCCCTGATGAAATAAGCCAGAAAGAAAAAGAAAAATACTGGATGGTCTCACTCTGCAGGAATTTAGAAAACCTAAATAAGGGACCAGGAAAAAGACTAATTATAATAAAGTAAAAGTCAAAATCAACAAGCAACTATAAGCCAGAGACACATTACGGGGCGGGGGGGGGAGGGAAGGAGGGATTAGGGTCAAAATAAGGGGGGTGGGAATTCTATGGGGACTGTAACCAAGATGAAAATACATACATTGTGCAAAAAATGAAAAATGATGTAAAAAATATATAAAATAAAATAAAAATAAAGTGATATAAAGTTAACACACACACAAAAAATAAAGTGATATAAAGTTATCACACACACACACAAAAAAGAATAAATAAGACTCTAGGAGCCTTGCCAGAAGAGCAGTGGAAACTAAGTAGAATATGACCTTTAAAAGATGCAACTGTACTTGGTGATATTTGCAAGTTTGCTGCTTTTTTGATTGAGGGCCTTTTGTACCTGTCATCGATCTTTTATGTGTATTGGGGTGGGGTAGGTGAACCAGAAATTCTTGCCTTATTTGGAATCCCTTAAGGAGAACATAGAGAAAGAAGAGAGAAATATTTGAAGAAATAAATGGTGGCTGAAAAAAATCATACTTGGTTAAAAACACTAACTCAGAGGTCCAAAAATATCAGTGACCTCCAAGCACAATAAATACAAAAAAGAGCCACAGTTAGGCACATGATAGGCAAACTTTTTAAATACCAAAGATAAAGAAAAGCAGATAAAAGAAAATATGATATCTTGAAAGCAGATAAAAGAAAATATGATATCTTAAATACAAAGGATAATGATATGCTTAACAACTGACTTCTGATATGGTAGAGGAAAGTCTGCAGATGAAAGTAAATGACACCTGATGGTAACCTGGATGTATAGTGAGAAGCTGAGCAGTATTTTAGATTTTCTGGCCATATAGTTTGTTGAAAAAACTATTTCTGATATGAAAGTAGACAAAGGCAATACATAAATTGATGAGCATGGGTATGTTCTAATAAAACTTTATTATGGGCACAAATTTAAATTTCATAAAATTTTAACATCACAAAAATTTTCCATAAAATGTTTTCCGTTGTTTCTTTTACTCAGCTGTAAAAAGCATTGTTACATGCCATACAAAAACAGGCCGTGGGTTTGATTTGGATATGGACTTTAGTTTGCTGATCCAATAATAATTGGAAGGAATAGAAACCAGAAAAATAAATATGTATAAAAATAAATGATTATACATATTTTCATTCCTTTTTAAAATTTCACTTAAAAGTTATATGAATTTTTAAGGTAAAAATTATGATAATGTTTTGGTAATTCAAAGTGTGTCTATAAGCTCCGATACTCCTCCCTTCAAAGGGCATGTGCTGTATTTAGTGACTCACTTCTAACAAATGGAATGTGGCAGAAATAACATTGTGTGACTTTAAAGATTAAGTATTGTTACTCTTCATGTTCATTTCTAGTGTGCCTGCCTCTCCTCAGTGACTTTTCTGAGATTTGGCAGGAAAAAAAATTAGTGGAGTGGGGAAGAAAATGGAATTCTAAGGAGCATGAGCTTCAGCCCCACTTCCACAAAGGTCAGTATACCTGGTAAGGAGAAGGAATAAGATGTCAGAAGGAAGAGAAAGGAGGAGGATGGATTAGAAGTGTCTCACTTAAATTTGAACTCCTGCATGGTCTTCTATCCATTCTTGGGACAATGGAGAATGTGATGTTCATTAACAAGATGAAGGATTAACAGTTGTCCAAAAAAGGCTATAGATTTGATACACTTACCCACTCTCACCGGGCTGACAGTGCCTGTCTTAATGTCTCTGACCTTAGGCATCAGTATGGTCACATAAATGTTGACTACTTAAAGTATGTTGTCTCACCAAAATGGAATTAAAATAGAAATTATGGAATTAAAGTAGAAATCAGTAACAGAAAGACATCTGAGATTTTCTCAAAAATTTGGGAAAAAAATGACATATATATAACTACTGAATTAAAGGAAAGTTTTGTAAGGGCAATCTGAAAGTATTTTGGTCTGAGCAATAATAGAAATACATTATAAAAGAAAATTGGTAGCTATAAATTCTTACATTAGTAAAAAAAAAAATAAGGTCAAATAGTAAATGTTCTAAGCACTAACCCTAGACAGTTACAAGAAGAGAATATTAGACCCAAAATAAGTAGAAGTAAATAATAACTAAAAGCAATGATAGACAGCAGACCAAAAGTAGAGAAAATCAGTGGAAATCAAAAGTTGTTTTTTTTTTTTTTTTTTTTTTTTGGCGGTGGGAAGTGACCCAACACTGTCCAATAGAACTTTTTGTAAATACGAAAACATGTTCAACTATTCCATCCAAAAGTGTAGCCACTTTTAAGCACTTGAAATTATAAAAAGGTTTTCACCTGGTTTTAATTTACATTTTGAGTTGTTACCTATGCTAATAGTTGCTATAATGGATAGTATGTAGTTTTATCCATTCTGATGAAGACAAATGAGAGAAGATAAAAATACTATCTGAGATGAAAGAGTGGACACAATTACATATTTCAAACATCAAAAAATTGAAGAGAGATTTATGCCAATACATTCACCAACTTAGCCCACTTAAATGTTTTTGAAATAAGATTAGGAAGAGAGGTGCCTAAGACTTCCATTTTCTCATTTTATGGATCGGTTGCAATTGTTCTTGTGCACTTATATATTTTTAGTGTTCAAAATATTTAATCGGCGATGTTAAAAAGTCACCACATAGAGGGAAACAAGGAAATAAAATAATATATAAAGACGGCCTACCCTAAAAGAAATACCCTATTGTAACTGTAGGGAAGATACTCCAAGAAAAAGAAAAAAATTCCTGTGAGCACTTTATGGTATAGAACAGTTTAAAAACATGAATCTACTCAAGCAAAGCACAAATTTGTGACTCTTAAGTACCATACTGATATTGGAAATAGAAATATTCCTACTAAAACAAGCAGAGGCACAAAGCAACACCATGTAAGAGCTCAAAAAAATAGAGGAAACAGTTGAAAATTGAGTTATTAATATTGAGGAAAGTCGCATATACTGTTTCAGTGTGCGGAAGAGAATGAATGTGGAGGACAGAAAATGATAATTTGTCATAGGGGTTAATTGGTACCCATGAATTAGGAACTGAATAGAATGAGAACAATGCATTTAAATATATAAGAAAATGAATTTGCTCAAACTTCTAATTGAAACTTTTTTTTATCACAAGGTATATATTTCTAGTAACACTTTTTGTGGTTTTGGACTTAGGTCTTTAAGTTCTTCATGCAAAAAGAACTTAAGAATGGAATTCTTTGGTCATATGGTAACTATGTTTAATTTTTTAATGAACCACTATAGTTTTCCAAAATGAATATCATGTCACATTCAGCAGTGTATGAAAAGTTTCAGTTTTTTTTATGCTCATAACAAGAAGTTAGTATTTTTCTTTTTCACAGTAGCCATCTTAGTGGGTATGAAGTGGTTTCTCTTCAAATTTTTTATTTGTTTTTCTAATATCTAAGAATGTTCAGCATCTTTTCATGTGCTTATTAACCATTTGCATGTTATCTTTGAAGAAATATTCAGTCAGATCCTTTCACACTTTTTTTTTTTAAATTTGTCTTTATTATTCATTTGCAAAAGTTCTTTTTATATTCTTAAGTCAAGTTTCTTATCAGATAATTGAATTGCAAACATTTTCCACCATTCTGTGGTTGTCTTTGTACTTTGATGTTGTGATGTCTTGATTTGTTTCCTTTGAAAACAAAAATTTTTAATTTTGATGATGTCCAGTTTATCCATGGTTTTCTTTGGTTGCTTGTGCTTTTGGTGTCATGACAAACTATTGCTTAATGCAGTGTCAGAAAAATTAACTTTCATGTTCTTTTTAAGACTCTTTGTTTATAGCACTTGTATTTTGGTTTTTGATCTGATTTAATTCTCTTTCATGTGGATATCTCTTGCGCTCAGCACCAGTTGTTGAAAAGATTATTCTATTGAATTTTGTTAGCACAGTTGTCAAAAATCAATTATTAATGGAAAGGATTATTTCTGTACTTTCCTTCCCATTTCATTGATCTAGTCATATATTCTTATGCTGGTGCCAAAATAATTACTCTAAGTTTAAAATTCAGAAAGAGTGAAACTTTCAACCATGTTCTTCTTTTTCAACCTTATTTTGCTACTCTGGCCCCTTGTGTTTACAAATTAATTTTTGGCTCATTTTCTTATTTGTTTCTGCAAAAAAAAAGAACTTAAATTTTAATAGAAATTACATTCATCTGTTGATCAATTTGGGGAGCACTGTCATCTTAATTATTACATCTTCCAGTTCTTAAGCATGGATGACGTTTCATTTATTTAGCTGTCCTACAACTTCTTTTAATGATATTTAGTGGTTTTCAGTGTTGACATATTATACTTATTTGTTAAATTTATTCATATCATATTTTGATGCTGTTATTACTGCAGCCTTAAACTTTCATTTAAAGGTTGTTTATTGCTAATATTTACACATACAATTGAATTTTGGATATTGAGTCTATATCTTGTAATTTTGCAGAATTCATTCATTACTTCTAGTAATTTATTATGGATAACTTGTACTTTTCCCTTTTCTCTGTGTTTTACCTGTATTAATTTTTTGTGTGTTTATGTTAATGCAAGTTGATAGCCTTATGCTTATAGTTTCTGTGTTTATTTCATTATTTGAATAAAATTATGACTTTGAAAATACTGGTAATCCTAAAGAAATCAGCTTGCTTCTTTGAGTCTCATTGTCTTTTTTTTTTTTTTAATTTTTTTAAAAAGATTTTTTATGCATATGTGTAGGGGGGTGGGGCAGGATTCACCAGAGACAGAGCGGGTAACAGAATAGGCAGATTGACCGAAGTACACTGCTGAGGGAGCAGCGTGAGAGTCAGGAGAAGTCTGCTGCGCCATGTGGGTTGCTCCCTGGCCGGCCAGGGATCGAACTCGTACTGCAGAGGCTGTGGACAGCTTCATAGGTTGCATCTTGTCCCACACCTTGCCCCACCAGGGAGGCCCGAGTCTCATTGTCTTTATCTGTAATTTAATGGATCTCTAAATCTATAGTCCTATGTTAGCAATTTATTTTTTTTAAGATTTATTTTTGTTTATTTATGCATACAAGAAGTGAGGTATAGGCCAGAAGTACAGGGGGCTGAGAGGATTCACCAGAGATAGAGTGGGGGAGAACAGACAGAGCTACTAAAATACACTGCTAAGGGGAGCAGTGGGCGAGACTGGAGAGGTCTGCTGTACCATGTGGGTAAACTCCTTGGCGGGATATCGAACTCATACTGCAGTGGCTGGCGATAGCTTGATAGCACTGAGACTTTAACCCCTGTGCCACCAGGGAGGCTCTCAATGTTAGTAATTTATTTCTGAATAATGAGGAATCATTATTACAAGTTTTATAATATAATCATTAGAATTTTTTTGATATTTTAGGAATCAACCTGTGAAAGTCTTTGTGTATGTTTTCATTCCTCTTAGGTTATTAGCATGCAACCAGGGGGAACCCAGGAACCCCAGATTGTTAAGGGGTACATATACTCTAAGATAGATCTGGCCATCTGTGTGCACAAAGAGAAAGGAAGCAAACTCATAGTGTGATAGGTCTTTAATAGAATTAGTGTGCATAGAGAGAGAAGAGTGGATATTCCTAAGAAAAGTTTCCCAATAAAACCCTCAAATTACCCATCCTCATGTAGGTAAATGCCTAGTCAAACATGATTTGCCCAAATTGGTACTGCTAAGGCCCAAAAACTCCACAAGTCAAGGTTCCTTCTGATGGGGAACAGCAAGAAATTAATCTGAACTCTTCTAGATCTTTAACCCAGTTACCTTAGTATTTCCTGAAAAGAACATATTATACAGTTCCCTAGTTCATTGTGAGCTGGTCAGATTTATAAGAGATAGCCATGGGATTGTTTAGATGTTTTCAACATTTAGCTAACATTTACTATTGGAGTATATAATTTTCTTTTGTTCTTGAAAAATTACCATGTATTTAGTTTTTCTTATCATTGATTTGAATATTTCTGCTTTTTATATGCCAGGTATAACTAGGAAAAATCCCAGAACACCTCTTTCTGATCTCCAGGGAATGAATACTCTAAATGAAAAAAACCAACAGTAAGTATATTTGATTGTGTTTACGAGGAAATACAGCAGAAATAACTAGCATTCCTAGTAATGCTTTTGTGGCTTTAAAAATATGAAGAAAATCAGATCTAATTGGCTTTTTATTTCTTAACAATTTTATAAAAGAATAAGTTAAGGGCCTTCCTGGTGGTGCAGCAGGTTGAGCACCACACTGTGAAGCTGTCCACATCCTCTGCAGCGCAGGTTTGATTTGCCGCTGGCCAGGGGGAAACCCATATGGTGGGGCAGACCTCTCCTGCCTCGCCTGCTGCTCCCCTCAGCAGTGTCTTTGGTCCATCTGCCTTTTCTGCTCCCCACTCTGTCTTTGGTGAATTCTCTCACCCTCCCATGCCTCTGACCTGTATCCCAGTTCTTCTATATATAAATAAATCTTTAAAAAAAACAAAGATAAAATAAGTTAATAGGGTTAGAGTTAATAAAACTGTTAAAACTAAATTATCTAAGTTGCCTCTGGTGAAATGGCTATACAGTTAGTCTTCTCTAAAATAATTGATTTTTTTTAAAGATTTATTTATGCATACAAGAACTGGGGTACAGGCCAGAGGTGTGGGGGGTGAGAGGATTCACCAGAGACAGAGTGGGGAGCAGGATAGGCAGATCTACTGAAATACACTGCTGAGGGGAGCTGCAGGCGAGACAGGAGAGATCTGCTTTATTACCATGTGGGTTGCTCCCTGGCCAGATATTGAACTCATGCTGCAGTGGCTGCAGATAGCATCATACTTCTGCATCTTAACCCCTTGCGCCACAAGAGAGGCAAATCAAAACCACAATGAGATACTCCTTCATACCTCTGAGAATGGTTCATATCAGAAAAACTACAAACAAGTGTTGGAGAGGTTGTGGGGGAAAAGGAACTGTATAATACTGTTGGTAGGAATGTAGACTTGTGTAGCCCCTATAGCAAGAAGTGTGGAGATTCCCCAAAAGGCTAAAAATGGATTTACCATATGACCCAGCAATTATACTCCTAAGTATCTATCCAAAGAGCACTAAACCACTAATTTGAAAGGAAACCTGCACTCTTGTGTTTATAGTAGCCGTATTTACAATAGACATGACATGGAAACAAACTAAATGCCTCAATACCGATTAGTGGATCAAGAAAATGTGGTACATACACACAATGAATAACACTCAGCGATCAAAAACACTAAACTCATGTCATTTGTGGCAACATGATGGAACTAGAAGGGATTATTTTAAGCAAAGTGAGCCAGAAGGAGAAAGATAAATGCTGGATGGTTTCACTTATATGTGGAATTTAGAGAAACTAAACCAAGGATCAAACAAAGATAAACTGTAAGACTAATCCTTGTTAGCAGATCTTTGATCTGAAACACTCAGGAGGGAGAAGAGAGTAGAGAACAGGGGAGGTGGTGAACTTGGTGTGGTGGAGGACTGTGGGCACTTTGGTGGTGGGAAAACTATTGTGACAGTACCTGAGGGAAACCCTATATTGTGAAAAAATAAACTAGGATGTTTAAAATATGTATATGTGTGTGTGCATGTGTGTGTGTATATAAAATAAACATTAAAAAACTTTAGAGATGAGAAGGGCAATTGAATTTTGGTAGGGGTGTAAAGGACATGTTTACTTAACATTTGAGACATTGTATTATAATATACAACAGTGAGAACAGAAGTAAATTTTTTTGAAGGATGAAAAGTGAAAATATTACTCAAGATTATTTTAGAAATGATCATATTTAGAATGATTTATAGATTTAGAATGATTTATAAAGATGAGTTGACTTCTAAGCTCTCTTAGAACCAGTGAGACTTGATCTCACATTAAACAGCTTGGTGCGATGTCTCATGTTACAGCTAGGTAAATTTCATGGCATTCCTTCATTCCTTCATTTCCTTTATTTTCTGGGGGAAAAATAGAACTTGGATATTAAATAGTTATATGTGATTAGCAATTATGTAACAATGTCAAATTATAACTACTGTGAAATAAAACTTATAATTTAGTTTAAATTTAAAAATTATATAGTCACTTCAAGTCCCTTCCAAGTTTTTTTCATGTTAAAATATAGTATGTTATTTTAATGATAGTTGTCTGTTTTTATGTAATTTTGTTAGTCATTCAGTATTTTTAAAAATACTGACTTTTTTACTCTACCATTTTTTGCATGACTTATTTTGAAGGTCATATGTTTGTTTTGTTTGCATTTTTCTTACATTGTTGTTCATTTTTGTAAAATATTTGATTTCTCTCCTCAGGTGTAGCCCCCATAAATCTCCCACCACCACATCACCCATGAGTCATCATCAAAGTCCCTGTGCTCTTCCCTCCTGTTTTGTCCCCTCACACTCCCCATTCCATGCTGTATGCCTCAGATCTATACTTAAGGCCATATGGTTCTTGAGAGAAAAATAAAATGATAGATTAAGAAAAACATAACTTAAGGTTCTGGCGGATCATTTGCTTATTTAACAAATACTTACTGACAGGTCATAAAGTAGAAACTGGAGATTTAATACTTTGTGAGATAGGTGTGACAAGTGATATGACCAAAGAAATATAGAACATTGTGGAAATATATACAGGATGACTGTATATGAAAATATTTTTTATTTTGATATAGTTTTAAAATAATTGAATTGAATTGCTTGGTGGTAGATGGTGACTGAACATTTGGTAGTGGATGTGGTTTGATACATACCAAGTTGAGTTGAGCAAATGACAGTGAAACCTGTGCAGTTTTGTAAACTAATGTTATTTGAATTTAAAAAGATAAGCATGGTACATGAGAAGATGATAGATAACATAGTCTACATGTCTATGTAAAAATTATGGAATAAATAAGGATGATTTCTAGATTTTTGACTTATTGCTCAGATAGGGAATATAAGAAAAGCAACATTTTTTGAGGGGGAATGGAAGTTTCAGCTTGGGTATGTTACTTTGAAGCTCTTCAAAGCATTCAATGTCATTTGATATACAGATACAATCAAGTGATAATTTGAGCTAGAGATAAATTTTTTAATTGGTAAGGCACCTCACCATTTGGTTAGTAACTTCCAAATGCCTGTATTTCTACATTGTTTCTGTTAGGTTAGTAAGTTTTCTCTGTCTACTGGTTATAAATCTGGGTGCTAATGTTCTGAGCAAGTGACAGGGCTTCTTATGATTCACATTTGCATACTTCCACTTAAATCCTATTTTCCATGTGGTACCTTACCCTTACCTTTATCTATGCTTATCTCCCTGACTTCTAAGATTCTTTTTCTGACTTCTTTATGAAGTAAATTTCCCATTTTCTATAGGTTTGAAGAAGGGAGTATTGGTTAATCACATAGGGTAAGGGAAAGAATCTAAGCCTGCTTTAAAAAGATTTCAACCTATCTTATTTTTGGCCCTATTCAGAGCACTGTGGCAGTGGTACAAATTATATCTAATAACTGAACCTTTCCCGTGTTCTGCATGAGAATCCACATGCATCTTGTTTTCTGCCACTTGTTCTGAATTTCCTCAGAGATCCATCTTCAATTAATTTCATCAGTAGAAATCTCTCTTGGCATATTTTTAATCTATACCAACTTACAGAGTTTGTTCTTGAGATCTGTAGCATGCATGTTATTGGTATTTTCCTTTACCTCTGTATTGGACATTGTTTTTTGTCATTCTTTTGTTTTGTAGCTACTATATTCTGCACCATTTCTTCTTCTTCTTTTTTTAAAGTTTACTCTGTAAATTTATGGAGCATATTCTCTGGTGTGTTCCTGAAAAAGTATGTATGGAAAGAAAATATTTTGGTTCTTTGCATTTCTTAAATGTGAGTTTATTCTGCCTTCATACTTGATTGGTATTTGGGTATACATAGGATTCTGGTTTGGAGATAACTTTCCTTGAGAATTTTGAAGACTTTACTACATTGTATTTTAATTACAGTATTGCTTATTTTTGAACCCCTTTATTTAAACAGCTTTATTTAAAGGATATAATTACATACCACAGAATTTCACAATTCCTTGCATGGGATGGTGCCCTCATTTCTAATCCACCTTTTCCACTACTTTCACTTGGAACCAACAACTCTGAAGCTTTTTGGGAGTTCTACAGAGCAAAAACGGATGCTTCTCAGCTTTCCAGTTTAGGATTGCTTTTTCAGGTTTCCTGCTGAGAAAGTAATCTGCTTTCCATATTTCAAAAATATGTTAGTGTTATTTCTTAGCACAGTCTCTTAATATTAAATGTTTATTCCTTAATTATTTTATTAAGTCAAAAGGAGAAAGACAAATATTGGATGATTTCACTCATATGTAGAATATAAAGAAATAAAGCAAAGTAACAGATAAAAACACACTAAAACAAACCCTTGAAATATGACTGCAGAACTGAGTCTGCTAGAGGGGGAAGATGGGGAGGTAAGGTGTATGAAGAGAGGAGGCCATTGGACAATAGTGAAGGATTCTTGGGGCTTTGGTGGTGGGTCTAGTGTGATAACTTACATTTGTAGGTCTGTGAACCTATATGCCTGAAACATACAGGGTTGTAAACCAATGTTACCAAATAAACATAATTTTAAAAAATTAATATTTTTATGGGTTTCTGGGGGAATCCAAGTTTGTGTCCAATTTGCTATCTGTACTGGTAAAAATCCTTTTAACTATTTTGTAATCAAAATAGTTTATCTGTTCTATTTATTCCTTTTTCTCCAGTGCCTAGAATAGTTCTTAATAATTTTGGTGGATATGTACATTAAGAATATGTGTGTGTGAATAAGACCACCTAGGTAGAAATTAATATTCTGTAGAGTAGAAAGGTCTGTTAGGATTGTAAATTCCTACAGTAGCATTTAGAAGTTGTAAAATGTGACAAATACAAAAACCATTACATTACATTATTTACTGATTGTTAAATGGTTAGTAAGTATATTTAGAGATAGCAGCTATATGATGTATATCTAAATGCGTGTTTATAAAGGGATGTACCAGATTCCATGGAAATTTTTTTGTTTTGAGTGACTATAAAGGTTAGTCCCAAATGATTGGTAATGTCTCTGATAAAGCAATTTTCTAGTTTTTCTTTTTTTCTAAATTTTAACTTTTGTGCTTGATTTTATTTTACTTACTAAGCAATTTAGAGAGTGTTAGAGCTGTCTTAGTGAGCTAAAACAAATTGTACCATTTTTAATTTTTACAGTGATACATTTGATATTGCTTGGAGTGGCAGAACTGGGATACGCCAGAACAGACTTTCAAGTACTACCTCCCTGCTTGATAAAGAAGGAATATTCACTAATTCAGCTAGCAGTAAACTCTTGGAGAGAGCTCATGGAATTCTCACGTTAGTATTAATCAGTATGTGGATTATTTTTTATGACTGGTTTCAAATTTCTGCCTAAATAAAGAAAAGGAGTGATAGTATTCTTTTCATGAGTAGAATTTTGAGTGAAGTAAGCATCAAAAATGGTCAGTATATTTAGAGTTATGAAGCTCACACATTAGAAAGGTATTTCATTGTTGTTGTTGTTTATATTCATCTCACCAGGAGAATTATGGTTGCATATATTCATTATGGAGATGATTCTTTATTGCTTTTTGGCAGACCCTACATCTGGAGAGAGAAGAAGCTGTTAGCTCTTTTTAGAATTCCTAGTGTTTAACTGAAATTATCCTTTAATTCTGGCAATCCTAACAAATATGGCTTGAAAGTTCCCTATAAAATGGTGAAAGAGACCATGTTTCATGGTATATAACTCTTACTCATGCCTGCCATCCTTTCTTTATTACCTGATCATAGAACCGGTATGAGGACATAGATATAACCATGCATAATCGACTAGTAAAAGCTTTTAGTTACCATATCAACATTTTTCAGATACTTTCCAAGTATATTTTTTGTTAACTATTTAGAGGTATCACTGAATAGAATTCCTTAATCCCTGTCTAAATCACTGCTTAACTCATTTATTTGTGAATAAACTCATTTATTCCTCACAAATCTTAAGACGTTGGGATTACCTTCATTTTACATTACAGTTGATTCTTGAACAACACAGGAATTAGGGGTGTGAAGCCCCACACAGTCAAATTCTGCATACAACGTTTGACCCCCCACCAAAACTTAACTATTTCCTATTGTTGACCAAGACTTACTGACAACATAAACATATCTTTTACATATTATGTGTATTAATATTGTATTTTTTATAATAAAGTAAACTAGAGAAACAAAAATATTACTAAGAAAACCATAAGGAGAAAATGCATTTATAATGCTGTACTGTATTATGTCAATACAGTTTACATGAAAATCTGTACATTAGTGAACTTGTACAGCTCAAACCCATGTTGTTTAGGGTTAATTGTTATGTAATGAAATCAAGATTTAGAAGGGATAAAATCCAATTTAGTAGATAGTAGAGCTTAGATTCAAGCCCAAGTATTTCTAACTCAACCTATGTTCAGAAAAAAGTATTGATTGAATTATTTTATGGAGTTATGAGAAGAAAAAAAAGAACAAAAGAGAAATTATAACTTCCAAATGTAGGTAATTATAAGTTTTAGTGAAAAGCATATTTAAAAAATTCATTAAGCATCTATTTGAAATCTTGAAATGAGAGAAACGTAACTACTGTGAGTTATAAGAATGCTGAGTCATGTTAACATTCAAAAGAATAGAACACTTTTGTTTTGAATATACAATATTAGTTAAATCTGTTAAGCCCCTGTGTTGCAGAGCAGGCACCTCTTTCTCCTATTTTCCTTGCTTAGCATTTTTCCCCCAAACATGCCTGCTTAGTTGAATTGATGTTTTCACAGAGAGGCTCTACATATTGGAATTGCATACATAGTTCTTCTTTCATTAGAAACCTTGAAATCATTCATTTCTACAGTAACTTTTTTTTAATGGATGGTTTATCTCCTTAGGAGAAACAAAAACTTCAAATCCAAGCCTGGCCTTCCTAAGGTAAGTTTGAAGAAACACTATTCCATTGGAATCCTACTTCATAATTTTATTACTCATGAAGGCAATCTTTATAAATCAGAGTTATACCTATATGTGTCTAAAATAGACTAGATTATTTGTGTATATTCACTTGAATACATTTTAGAAATAACACAGGGTGATCTGGCCAAGTTTAGTGGTTCAGGTAAATATTATTTGTGATACATCTCATTTTCTAGCTTGAAATCATCTGAATATAAATATAAATTTTTGTTGAGTAACTGCCTCTTTACATAAGATCTTTTAATTTCTCCTAGAGTCAGGTTAAGATCACATCTGAGTTTTACTTGATTTTTCAATAATTTCTAAGTAATATTTACCTAACTTTTATCATCGTTATTATGGGCTGACTATTTTTCTGTTTAGGTTCGGATAGGCTGTATTCTAACTACTTAACTCTTACTGAGCACAAATGCAGCTTAAGAATATACTGAATGACTGTGATAATGTTAATAAAACTTTATTTATGGACACTGAAATTTGAGTTTCATATAGTTTTAAATATGCCGTGAAATACTCGTATTTAAAATTTTTTCAACCATGTAACTATAGAAAAACAGTCAACAGGATGTGGTCCATGGACTGTCAATTGCTTATCCTGATCTACATTATTTAATGCAGAAACGGCATTCTAAAAATATTTTTTAATTTACTAAAGAAGAAAACTCTTACTATTTCTTTCTCTTATACCATAAAAGGGATCTTGTCACTTGTAATCTTGTTAATCACTGTAATTTCAATTTTTTATTTTATTTCTTTCTGTATTTTTAAAGATTGATTTATTGATGTATACAAGAACTGGGATATAGGCCAGAGATGGGGCGAGATGAGAGGATTCACCAGAGACAGAGTGGGTAACAGAACAGGCAGATCTACTGAAATACACTGCTGAGAGGGGCAGCCGGCTAGACAGGAGAGGTCTGCTGTGCCATGTGGGTTGCTCCATGGTGAGCTGGGGATTGACCTTGTGCTCCAGTGGCTGGCAAGAGCTTGATAGTGCTGTCTTTAATCCATGCACCACCAGGGAGGCCCAATTTCAGATTTTTAAAAGAATTGAAATAGAGCTAGTCATTGTCAAGATTCTCTAAATCAAATATGAGAAAGAAAATCTATTCCTTCTAGTTAAGTTACCTTAGGTTTCCAAAGAAAATTTAATGCATTTATTGATGTGCTGGTAATTTTAAACCACAAAGCACAATGAAAATTTGATTTGTTTATAATTATATACTTATGGGGAAAAATATGAGAGACCACATTGGTTATCAAACTTATTTATCTTTTCATTTGTTTTTTTTTTTTTCTTTCACTTTCTTTAGATTTTTTGTATTTTGAATGCCATATCTGGTTCTAGCTATTTGCATGATTCTTTTCACTGTCCTCAAATGCATAATTTCTCATTAAAATTCATATAACCACGTGAATATTTTGGATAAATATGAAGTAAATTATTTCATTCAATCAACAGTGGCTGAAATCCCATCTATTTCTCTTTTGAATTTTTTTATTTCATATATATATATTTTATATCATTCTTTCTTTATGTACAATGTTTGCTTTCTCCTCTCAGGTGTAGTCCCTGTAGAACTCCAACCACCAGTTCACTCGTGCACCATCACCAAGTCCCTTGTGCTCTTCCCTCCCCTGTTTTGATCCTTCTCCCTACCCCTCCCAAGCAGCATGGCTCTGATTTATAGTTGTCTGTTGATTTTTTAAAATTTATTATAATTATTATTTTTTTCCCTGATCCCTTATTTGGTTCCCCTGTATTTCTCCTACCAGTGAAACCATCCAATATTTTTCTTTTTCCATCTGGCTTATTTAACTGAGCATGATCCCTTCCAGCTCCATCCATGTTGGTGCGAATGGCACTAGTTTATCTTTTTAGATTGCTGAGTAATAGCCCATTATGTATATATACCACATCTTGATCCAGTCATTTATTTTTGGGCATTGGGTTGGTTTCATATATTACCTATTATAAATAGAGCTTCAGTAAACATAGGGGTTTAGGTATCCTTTTGAATTAATGTTTTTGTGTCCTTTGGGTAGATTCCTAGGAGTAGAATTGCTAGATCATATGAAGTTCCATTTTTAGTAGCCTGAGGAACCTCCACACAGCCTTCCACAGTGTTTGCATCCCCACCAGCAGTGTAGGAAAGTTCCTTTTCCTCCACATCCTCGCCAACATTTGTGGTTGCCTGTTTTGTTTTGTTTTTTGATATGTGCCATTCTCCTGCTGTGAGGTGGTATCTTATTGTAGTTTTGTTTTGGATTTCCTTGATTACAAGTGATGTTGAACATCTTTTCATATACCTGTTGGATTTTGCATTTTTTCTTTGGAGAAGTGTCTTTTTAACTCTTCTGCCCATTTTTTGACTTGATTGTTTACTTTGTTTTTGTGGAGTTTCATCAGCTCTTTGTAGATCTTTGTGATCAGTCCCTTATCAGTAGTAGTGTTTACAAAGATTTTCATCCAATTGGTAGGGTGTCTCTTTGTTTTGGTTAACTTCTCTTTTGCTGTACAGAAGCTTTTTAGTTTGATGTAGTCCCAGCTGTTCATCTTTTCCTTTACTTTCTTTGCTTTGAGGCATGTGTCTTTAAAGTTGTTACTAAATTATATGTTATGTAGTGTTTTGCCTATATTTTCTTCTATATATTTTATGGTTTCAGGCCTTATGTCCAATTCTTTTATCCATTTTGAGTTGTCTTTTTGTGCATGGTATGAGGTAGTAATCTGGCTTCATTCTTCTGCATGTAGCAGTCCAATTTTCCCAGCACCATTTATTAAACAGACTGTCCTTGTTCCATTGCATATTCTTTGCTCCTTTGTCAAAGATTAGTCGTCCATAAATATGTGGGTTTATTTCTGAATTTTCTATTCAATTCCATTAATCTGTGTGTCTTTTGTTCTAATACCATATAGTTTTGTTTGTTTTTTTAAAACAACTTTTTTTTTTAATTATTTATTTATTTATTTATTTATTTATTTATTTATTTATTTATTTTACACAAGCACTGGGTACAGTCAGAAGCGCGGGAGGGTGAGAGAATACACCAGAGCCAGAGCAGGGAGCAGAGCAGGCAGAAGGATCGAAGTACACTGCTGAGGGGAGCAGCGGGCGGTAGGAGAGGTCTGCGTGCCATGTGGGACCCTCCTCCGGTGGCTGGGGAGCAGCCGGGGATCGAACCAGTGCTGCAGAGGCTGCGGGCAGCTTCGCAACCCAGTGCTCAACCGCTGCGCCACCGGGGAGGCCCTAATACCATATAGTTTTAATTATTATGGTTTTGTAGTATAGCTTGAAGTCTGGGAGTATGATACCTCCATTCCCTTTCTTTTTAGTGAGGAGAGCTTTGGCTATTCGAGGTTTTTTTTTGGTTTTGTTTTGTTTTGTTTTTTGTGGTTCCATATGAATTTCATCAATATTTGTTCTGTTTCTTTTTTAAAAAAGATTTATTTATGCATATAAGAACTGGGATAAGACCAGAGGTACGGAGGTTTAGAGGAGTCACCAGAGACAGAGTAGGGAGCAGAACAGGTGGAGCAACTGAAATACACTGCTGAGAGGAGCTGAGGGTGAGACAGGAGAGGTCTGCTGCAACATGTGGGTCACCTCCCTGGCCAGGGATCAAACTTGAGCTGCAGTAGCTGCGGATAGCTTCATAGTACTGACACTTAACTCCTTGTGTCACCAGGGAGGCTCCTGTTCTATTTCTTTGAAGAATGTCATTGAAATTTTTATTGGAATAGGGTGAGTGTAAATTGCTTTTAGTAGGATGGCCATTTTGATAATGTTGATTCTTAGAATCCATGAGCAGGGGATGTTCTTCCATTTCTTTGTGTCTTCTATTTATTTGAGCAATGTTTTATAATTTTCTTTGTATATGTCCTTCACCTCTTTCGTTAGGTTTTTTACCAGGTATTTGATTTCTTTGTTTCAGTTATAAAAGTTATGGTTTTCTTGATTTCTTCTTCAGATTGATTGTTTGCATATAGAAAGGCTGCTGATTTTTGTGTGTTGATTTTGTATCCTGCTACTTTACTAAATGGTTGATTATTTTGATTAGTTTTTCTGTGGAGTTTTTAGGGTTCTTTGTGTATATTATCATATTGTCTGCAAATAGTGATAGTTTTACTTCACTATTTTAGCATTATTGTAGCTCAAATACCCAAACTATCTCATAAAGTGCTTTCTCAGATAACACAAAGTAGCCCTTTCTCAGATAACACAAAGTAGCCTTCCCTCCTTGATTCCTTGTATGTCTTTTTTCTCATGTCTTAATGCTCTGGCTAGGACTTCCAATACTACATTGAAAAGCAGTGGTGAGACTGGACATCTTTGTTCTTGATCTTAAGGGAAACAATTTCAGCTTTTCACCATTCAGAATAATATTGGCAATGTGTTTGTCATATATGGCCTTTATTATGTTAAGGTATGTTCATTCTATCCTGAGAATTTTGAAGACCTTCATCATAAATGGATGTTGACCTTTGTCAAATGCTTTCTCAGCATCTATTGATATGATCGTATGGTTTTTATTTTTCTTTTTGTTGATGTGTTGTATTATATTAATTGATTTTCTGATGTTGAACCATCCTTGTGCCCCTGAAATAAATCCTACTTAGTGATGATGTATTATCCTTCTGATGCATTGTTGGATTCTGATGGCTAGGATTTTTGCATCCATGTTCACTAGGGAGATTGGCTTGTAGTTTTCTTTCTTTGTGTTGTCTTTGTTTGGTTTTGGTGTTAGTGTATAAGGTTAAAACATATTTGGTAGTATTCACTCTTTCTCAATTTTTTTCAAAGTGTTTTGTGTAGGATAGGCACTAGTTCATTTCTGAACATTTGGTAGAATTCATTTGTGAAGCCATCTGGTCCTGGGCTTTTGTTTTTGGGGAGGGTATTAATTACTGTTTCAATTTCACTGCTTGTAAACGGTCTTTTTAGGTGTTCTGTTTCTTCTTTATCTAGCTTTGGATGATTGTATAGTATACAGTATACCAGACACTGCAGGGACAATGTTTTTAGTCTTCACTCTCTTGTAGCTTATCTTCCAGAGAAGAAAAAAACAATAGCAAGTAAGCAAATAAATGAAAAGTTAATTTAGATATTATGTGCAATGAAGAAAATGAGTTTACATGTTGACTTACAAGTGGGCTACTTTGTGTTATCTGAGAAAGTACTCTGTGAGATAGTTTGGGTATTTGAGCTACAAAATAATAATAATGCCAAGAAAAATAAATCATGGAAAATCTGGCTACAGAATATTCCAAGTAAATGAAAATAATTGGAAAGACTTCGAGGTAAGAATGAATGTGCTTCCCCCCCTACTTTCCAGTTAAATTCCTTGAAGGAAGGACTTTTTCATATACTATCTGTATTTTCCACAGTCCATATGATGCTTTTTCACACAGTGACATTTAGTAGTTAATTTTACCACCACTTTAGATGTGGTTTATAAAACAAAAAACATTTCCAATGTCTTTTTCTCAGAAGTATTTTAAATGATGTCAGTTGCCTGTTATGATGCACATTATTTAACGTAAGGATGGTGGCTCACTTTAGGTTTCAGTGTTGATTTGCTTTTGCTTATGGATAACTTATAAAATTCTTCTAAGTAAGTCTTGACCAGTTTGTGAAATTATTTTTTTCTGTATATGTACCGAATCTTCTTGTGAAAATTCAAAAATACTAGTAAAGTAAAAATCATTTAAAAATCAACACAAGCATGCACCATTTTACATAAATATTATTTGTGTGGCTTTTCTGGTATTTGCATTTATTTTTCTGTATTTTTATGAGATATATGGTATTCAATTGTGTGGAAGAATTCCAAATAATTGCATTCCAGTTTGTAAGTTTCCAGTATTCTTTGATGTACAGTGTCAGGAACAACATTCAGATCTTGTTTGATAATTTATCTAAATAAATACATAGATGTGAAATTGCTTATCTGATAGGTTATACTGATTTGCATTTAAATAACAGTGCAAACAACCCAAATGCCCAAAAATAGATGACTGGATCAAGAAGATGTACATATACACCATGGAATATTACTCAGCATTCAAAAAGATAAACACATGCAATTTGCAGCAACATGAATGGCGCTGGAAGGGCTCATGCTCAGCGAAATAAGCCAGAAAGAAAAAGAAAAATACTGGATGGTCTCACTCATAGCAGGAATCTAGAAAACTTAAATAAGGGACCAGAAAAAAGAATAACTATAAGAAAGTAAAAATCAAAATCAACAAACAACTATGAACCAGAGATACTCTATGGAGGGTGGGGGGAGGGGAGGGGAGGGATTGGGGTCAAAATAAGGGGGTCGCAATTATATGGGGAATATAAAAATAAAATTTATAATAAAAATTAAAAAAAAAAACAGTGCACACATACGTATTTCTATTTGTCCACATCCTGAATACCAGTCTTTACTATGTTTGATAATCTGATATGCTTATGTTTGAAATCTTTAGAAGAAAAAATACATTTCTTTGCTTACAAGTGAGATTGAATGATTGTCCTTATGTTGTCTTTTATACTCTGAGAATTGCCTTTGAGGGTCTTTGGTCAGTTTTTATTGAGGGATGTGTCTTTTAAGATTTTTCAAAATTTTTTTTATATACAGATAATAAATCTTGGAAACATTTTTTTCCTAGTTGCATTTTCAAAATACTGTACAAAGTATTGTACTTTTTGCCATGTAAGTGGTTTTATTTTTTAATATTTATGCTGTCAAACTCAATTTTGGACTTTTAAATTCGTTTACTTCTTAATCCTGTGTTTACAATAAAATTTTTACTGCTTTTTGAGTAACATTATATAGTATGTCTGTATACACATTCCTTTCATTGACAAACTTACTGCCATAAATATGGTACTATTTTAAAAATTGTGATTGGCTATTGAAATTCCCACTTTTAATACCCTAATTTATATTCTTTAATTGTTATATATATATATATATATATATATATGTATATAACTCCTGTTTCCTTATTAAGGTAAAAATTAGTACCTTGGGATGAGGCTTGATTTTATTTTCTCTGTATGTGTTCCCTGCATGCCTGCTATAACTTTGGGATTGGATCAAATTGAATTTATTGTCTCTCTTAGTCAGGATTCAGTTACAGATAACAATAAATTACATTAATTAGAAAGGGATGTAATCAAAGAGTTAGATGCTTACAAAATCATTAGAAGCTTTATTAGAGTTTCAGAGTATTAAAATACCAGTGCAGAATTGGCTTCCAATATAATGAGAAAAGTAGAAATCAGGAAGAAGCTATTATTAGATCTAGAGCTAAAGCACACTTAACTAGAGTTATAGTGACAATATAGATGTCCTGTACTCTCCCTCTCAGCACTTTCATAAGTAGTGCGTGGACATTAGGGTCATAGGCAACTAGTGGACTTAATGGTCATACTTGCTAGCAGAAACAGAAGCTATTTTCAAAGCCTCTGTCTTAGTTATACCTTCCCAGACAGGTGTGGAAATTCAGTTGGTGAACCTTAATTGCATCTAGTACTCAAGTTGCAGGAGAGTTTTTGAAATGTAATTTTCTTTTTAACTGGAGTGTTTCTACAGGAAAGCAGGAGGCTAGAAAGGATGTTGAATATCAGTCTTCCATATTTAGCACCGTCATTATAGATTAAAAAAAATAATGACTGGTATAATTTTGTTTTTCCTATTATTTTTAATGTGAAGAATTGACTTTCCCCACCCCCTTCTTTTCAGAACTTGCTAGAGGTAAATTCTTTAAAGCACCTGACAAGACTGACCCTACAGGATCGCATTACCAAGTCTCTTCTTCATTTGCACAAGAAGAAGAAACCTCCCAGCATCAGTGCCCAGTTTCAGGTTATTTCCTATTTTACTTACAACAGAGAGGAATGTGTTTTGTTATGATCTTCATTGAAAGGTCAAATTGATTGATAAAATACCTGAAAGGGAAATGATTCATGTTACTAAAAAGTCGTGCTTGACTCGTTTTTTTGGAGAAAAGTACCAAAGATGGAAAAAAGTAAGCTTTTTTTTTTTTATCTTTGTATCTCTGAAAAGTGGCTATCCCTAAGAGTAATTCATTGTTTTCTTTTTTTTAAAAAAAAAAGATCTATTCATTTATGCATGCAAGAGCTGGGGTGTAGGCCAGTGGTATGGGGGTAGAGGGGGAGGTGAGAGGACTCACCAGAGACAGAGTGGAGAGCAGAACAGGCACATCTACTGAAATACACTGCTGAGGGGAACAGCAGGCTGGAGGTCTGCTGCGCCATGTGGGTCACCTCCCAGGCTAGGGATAGAACTCATGCTGCAGTAGCTGTGGAGTGCTTCACAGTGCCAATGTTTAATCCCTTGTGTCACAGGCCCCTAAAGAGTAATTCATTGTTTTCAGTGTTAGGAAAAAGGCAAAGAGAATTGATAATACAAACAGAGACAAAACTGATAATGCAAACAGAATCTGCCTTTAAATCTTACTGCCCAGATAGAGTCACTGTTCACACACTTGTTAGGGGGTAAGGATATCCTGAATAAACTCCACAAACAGGTTTTTTTGACCCTAGCCCTCACCCCAGACCAAAGAGATCCAAGACACCAAGGACTCCAAATCCGATAATGTCATCACTACTGAAGGGAGGATTGCTGGGAACTGAGGGTGTTATAGGACTCTAAGTGTTACGGAGCAACCCCGATATAAAATGGGTTACCTGGCTGTGGGTCCTCACCCGCGCGCTTAAAAGGGTCTTATTAATACTCCACTGCAGGCACACACAAAACGTTAATAAAAGGTTTATTTACAAGGGAAGGGGAAATGAGGAAATGTACAATTTAGGGAAAAAATAGGGAAATAAAGTCTTAAATACGTCCTACCCATTCTGCCGACCTGGAAACCCAATGGTACTCTGAGAGCTGGCAGCGAGCCTAGAGCTGTGAAGCCAAAAAGCTCCCGCAAGACCCACATGTCTGGTTTTATACCAAACCTGGCTGCTTAACTCCACCCTCAGGTTCCAGCAACCTTCCCTTTGGTGGTGATGAGATTTGTCTTTCCCAATGTCCTGATAGCTTTGGTCTGGACTGAGGGTGGAGTCCACAAAGCCTGTATGGAATTAGCTTAGGACATCCTTTTCCCCCTAACAAAATCACTGAGACTGAAAAAAAAAAAAAAAAAAAATAGAGAAAATTCAGTGAGTTCAAAAAGCTGGCTCTTTGTAAAAATACAAAAGTTGATAAACTTCTATCTAGACTAACCTGGAAAAAATAAGGTACAAATTGCTGAATTAAATTTACTCTAGGAATCAGTGAGTTTGGATAAAATTATTGTTTCATGAATATAAAGAATAAAAATTATTCTAGGCTTAAATTGTATCTGAAATGCATCTATTGATACATCTATCTGAAATATACCTGTAGTATTTACTGTTGCCAAGCTATCAGCATTAAGATTAAACTGTCTTGTCCTTAATTACCTAATGTAATCTGTATGGGAATATATAAAATTTGCTTTTCAGAAACAAACCTATTTCCATATACCACTAATTTATCATATTTTGTCAACATTATTGTGTATATTTATAAATCACTCATTTGCCAGTTTGGAATGGTATAACATGACAATGTATCTTCCTTTAAATCACAGGCCTCATTAAGCCAGTTGATGGAGACACTTGGTCAAGCAGAACCATATTTTGTAAAATGTATTCGTTCTAATGCTGAAAAGGTAAATAAGAATTTCTTCATCAACTTTTTGTAAATAAAGCTTTAAATTCTTTCTATGGATTGTAAGTGAAGGGAGGAGCTATCTGTAATCTTTGCAGCAAAGCGTGTTATATTTTCTATGCATTTCCTTTTAACCTATGTAGTTATTAACCTGTGAGGCATTTAATGTGGGCATATTTAATCCTTCTGGAATTTGAGAGGCAAATATCTCTTGGTCATATCATAGAGGAAGTGTTTTATGCAAATTTTTTCAACCTTAAGATTAATCTTTCTTATTTGGATATAAGCTTTAAGAACTTAAAGAACTTGTTTGGCATTTTCATGTTTAGAGATTCTTGTAAAATAGGGGAGATTCTGTGGACATTCTTGATTCATTTCTGTTTCCTAATTAGAGTTTTGCAAAATATACCTGATTAGTGTTAAACAATGTCATCTTTATGTTTATCATAGGAAAAAGTAGTTCCAGTATAGATAAAATGTAGTAGGAATTATGCTGAATATGTTAATTCATTTGTCTCCATCTCTCTATTTGATATTTTCATATGTGTAACAATACACTGCAATTACAGAGGCAACCGCAAAGTGTTTAGTGAGTATATGAGTCAGTACCTTTAAAGTTAGAATGTTTCTAGCCCATACTTAATAAATATTCTTTTAGAAATAAAAAGAAACTATTTTATTTACAGTTAAGTATAGGTTTAGTTCCTATTATTAATTGAGACATTGATATACAAAGAGTTTAATTCATAAAGTATTTCAGGGTACAGAATGAATACTAAGTAAGTGTGAACCTATATTATTTAACAAAAATTGCCCATTTGACTTTTTTTCCTTCAGTAAAATATGTCTTAGGGCATCGTTGAAAATAGTATTTAGAGAACAGGGAAATATTTTGAATGTCTAAAAGTGTATCTGCCACTACCCTTTTCCTTGTTCTTCCCTATACAAAGAGAACAACTCTCAGGGACTGTGGGGATTTTTTGTTTTTCAGTGTTTCATACTGGTATCATCAGCAAAATCTACTTAGGAAAATAAAGTACTCTTAAACTGTACTAGTCCTGAGAAGAATTTATCAGCTCTCAGTTAAAGGCAATTGCATTTTTACTTGAAATATGGAATTGCATATATGGTTTCTTAGTGAGATTATATGTAGAATGATAATTAAAAAAAAATAGACTGACTTTATAAATAGGTTAATCTTGTTACAGATTTTACAGCAACTATATTATAAACATGTAGCCATTTCTGTGAGCAACTAGATTCAATTTGAGCTTGCAAGGTCCTCTCCTTCTAAAACTAGAGAAGCCCAAAAGCTTGGTTTCGCTCTTTTGCCTTGGGTCAGGCAGTCAGAACTTTACCAAAGCTGCCAGCTGGGGAGATAAAATTGTTCTATCTCCTCTGTAATAGCTTACTGGACAACCCCCAGTGAATATCTAGATATTCATAAGTTATCCAGACTGCTAAGACAAATTTTAATTTGGAGATCTGTTCTTATGGGTTCATCTTTTTCTCCCCACTGCTATATTTTAGCTGCCATTACGGTTCAATGATGCCTTGGTACTTAGACAGCTTCGGTACACTGGAATGCTGGAGACAGTTCGAATCCGCCAATCAGGATATAGCTGCAAATATTCTTTCCAGGTTGTATTTTTATAATGATATTTTAATATATATTCACATCCAGTAAATTGTTTTTTGCTTAGTTTTTCTTTTTGGAGATCACTTATTTATTTTCCTTAATTCCTCTCTTCCATTTCATCTTTTGTCTATTTGGGGTTGTCAGAAAAATCATGGCGTATTTTTTCTATGTTTTCAAGTAAAAATGCATCATGACTTTTCTGACAACCCAATAGAATTGAATAGGAATAGAGAATACTCACTTCATTTAAATAACAATTTCATTAAGCTTGTCTTGTAATAGAATCTAGTACTTGGCTTTTCTCATTTGATCTGAATGTTTGCTAATCCTAAGTTTAGTCATAATATAGCAGTTCTTCACACTGATTACACCAGTAATTGAAATAGTTCAATCAGAATTATTTAGTTTCAAAAGAATTACATTAGATTTGAATTACATTCCAATGTAATTCAAAAGAATTACATTAGTAATACAAAGTTTTAGAAAGATTTCTAAGAAACCCACAAGGCTTATAGCTATACCCTTCGACTACTATTTGTTTGTTTGTTTTCCTGTTTGTTTCTATATAGAAAATATATTGAAGTTTTCCTGCAACTGAGAAAGCCTTTGGTATTACTGGGATGAAAAGTTTCATTCTCAGTGTACCCTATAATGGCAGCCACCTTTGTTTATTTTTCAGCTAAAAATTTCAGATTCTTATTAAATAACTTATTCTTTGATCTTTACCATCACTTTGTCAAAGGAATAATTAGCTTATACCATTCTTTTCCAAAGTTCTACATAACAAAATATGTACAACTATCTTCTCTCCCACCCAACATTTTCTAAAGTAACCTTTTGTTATATTTTAAATTAACAAGTACTTCCTTGGGTTCACCTTTAAAAAAGAATTTTAATAAAGGATCAATTAAAAAACAATGAACTTGTATTAGACCTTGTTTACATATAATTCTATTGTAATTTTACAACTTTTTTTTTCATTTTTCAGAATTTTGTGAGTCACTTCCATGTACTTCTTCCCTGCAATATTAGTCCATCCAAATTTAACATTCAGGATTTCTTCAGGAAAATAAATCTTAACCCAGATAATTATCAAGTTGGAAAATCCATGGTAAATATAATGTCAAAATTGATTGCATTTTTATATTTAAATAATAGCAATGACCTTTGCCTATGGGAATGTTGATTAAAAAAAATGGTAGTGTAGGAACAAGGACAGTCTCTTCAATATATGGTCCTGAGAAAACTGGACTGCTACATGCAAAAGAATGGAAGTAGATCTCTACTTCACGCCATACACAAAGATCAACTAAAAATGGATAAAAGACCTGAATATAAGACCTGAACCCATACAATACATAGAAGAAAACATAGGCAAAACACTACATGACATATATATCAGAAACATCTTTAAAGACTCATCCCTCAAACCAAAGAAAATGAAGGAAAAGATAAACAGCTAGAACTACATCAAACTGAAAAGCTTCTATACAACAAAAGAGACAATAACCAAGATGAAGAGACAATCCACAGATTGGAGAAAATATTTGCACTCCACAAAATCAATAAGGGACTGATATCTACAAAGAACTTATGTAACTCAACAAAACAAAATAAAGAATCCAGTCAAAAAGTGCCAGAAGAGCTAAAAAGACACTTTCCCATAGAGGAAATGCAGATGGCCAACAGGCATGTGAAAAAATGCTCAACATTACGTACAATCAGGGAATTGAAAATCAAAACCACAGTGAGATAGCACCTCATACCAGTAAGAATGGTCCACATTAAAAAAATTAACAACAACAAATGCTGTTAAGGATGTGGAGAAAAAAGAACCCACTTACATTGCTGGATTTATCATATGCCCCAGCAATTCCACTTCTAGGAATCTACCCAAAGGACACAAATACAATTCAAAAAGACACTTGCATTCCTATGTTCATTGCAGCAGTGTTTACAATAGCCAAAATCTGGAAACAACCTAAATGCGCAAAAACAGATGACTAGATCAGGAAGATGTGGTATATATGTGCAATGGAATACTACTCAACAATCAAAAAAGATAAACTCATGCCGTTTGCAGCAACTTCTATGGAGCTAGAAGGGATTATGCTTAGTGAAATAAGTCAGAAGGAAAAAGAAAAATATCAGATGGTTTCACTTATAGGAGGAACATAGGGAAAACATACAAGGGATCAGGAAAAAAAAAAGACAAAACTAGTAGTTGAACTATGAGTGGGAGACATTCAGCAGGGGAAGGGGAAGGGGAAGGAAAGGGATCAAAATGGGAGGGAAGAGCATAAGAGTCTATGGTGATGGTTCATGGGTATCTTGGTGGTGGTGATTTTATGGGGACAACACCTGAGAGGAGAAAGCAAACATTGTACAAAAATGAACGATGAATGTAAAAATATATAAATAAATTAAAAAATAACAGCTGGACATTAAATGTTTTAAATTGTTCTAAAAAAAAGGGTAGTATACCAAATATAGGATATTGATTAAGCCAAAAATTTTTTTTTAAAGATTTATTTACTTATGCATACAGGAACTGGAATGCAGGCTAGAGGTGTGGAGGTGAGAGGATTCACTATAGACAGAGTGGGGAGCAAAACAGGCAGATATAATGAAATATACTTCTGAGGGGAGCAGCAGGTGAGGCAGGAGAGGTCTGCTGTGCCATGTGGGTCACCTCCCTGGCCAGGGATCGAACTTGTGCTGCAGTAGATGCGGATTGCTTCATAGTGCTAGGTCAGATTTTTTAAGTAATAATACAGTCAATGTTAATTGAAGAACTGGACAACGCTATAGTTGTGACTATAATTTTAACTACCTAAAAACCATTTGTCCTTATATATCCTACTAAAATCTTTAGCTCAACTTTCCAAAGTAACCTTATCTAAAGTCCCCACTATCATTCATTTACCAGCTGCTTTCTTTTTCTGTCTCCCTTCTTCCACTTTCTTAGGCTAGAAACCTTTGGCATAGTTTTCACTTTAGCTCTTTTATAATATTCTGTTTCTTATTTTTCCTTACAAATGATTTTCTCCATTCTCAGTGCTGTCATTTTAGTTCTATTTTTTTGTCTCTCACATTTCTCTTACAGAAAAAAACTTGCTCATCTGATTCTAGTCTCTTTGTCATTCCATTTAATTCACTCTACCCATAATATCAAAATCATCTTAATATACTTATTTCTATTGTCTGCCTACTCATTAATAATCCCTGATAATCTCATTAAATTCAAACATCTTTCTCTTTATTAAGAACCTCCACATTGTGAATTATTTCATTGTTCCATATGTATGCTTTGGTTATTATTTCCAATGCCTCGTTTTGTTCAGGTGGGATACTTTGTCTCTTGCCCTTATTAGTTTACAGTTTTCCTCTTTGGCTATCTCATATCTATCTAATAGCTTTTTTTTTTTTTTTTTTAACAAAAATGGAGTGATGGACAAACGGATTAGTTTGATTATGATAATCATTTCACATTTCATCAAAACATCACATTTTATGCTTCAAATATATACATATTTTAGTGTCTAAAGGTGAGGGCACATCCTGTTTCCAAAGGGATGAGGTAGATTATGTTTGTATCTCTGTAAGTCCCTAAAGATTAATATATGGAATCATAGAGTAAATAATTAAACTGATTATAGCTTTGGGGGCAGTAAGAAGCCTTTGATGCATGCTGGGTTTCACAAAGACTGTTGCTATTGGTTTATTTCTGTGGTGACCAAACTTCAAAGTCTATGATTTTCACCTTTCCCCCGCACCCTAAATCCCTTATAAAATATGACATATTACCAGTAGTACTTTGGCTCATGACAGAAGTAAATTTTCTGAGAAAATAATGTATCACAGTCTCTGGCACTGGAATTTTTACACTCATGCTCACATTCCCATTTCCCTTCTTGTATTTTGGTGTCTCTTGTCTTCTTTCTAATTTGAAAATGACTTCTTCGAATAAATTGGTAGAAATGTTTGTTAGTATTGGTTTTACAATTCTCCCATTATATTTGTTACTCTCTAAAACCATAGGAAGGATGATACATGAATTATTTTTCTCATGTTACAGATTTCTTCTTATGCTGCATTTCTCATCCTTCTTTCTTCTGATAGGTCTTTCTAAAGGAGCAGGAACGACAGCACCTGCAAGATCTCCTTCACCAAGAGGTGCTCCGCAGAATCATATTGTTGCAGCGGTGGTTCAGAGTCTTGCTGTGTAGGCAACATTTCCTCCATCTGAGACAAGCATCCATTATTATCCAGGTAGGAATAAAAGGTTTCTTTGTATTAGATTGGCTAATTTATTTGTTCTTTGGGTTGGTAACAAAACTGTATTACTTTGAAACATTTAAATATGAAAGAAATTTTCTGTGGAGGTGAGATTGTGTACAACTCATTTTTGAAATGTTCTTAGCACCAACAGAATACCTGACATTTAATAAAAGATTGTTAGTAAATATGGACAAAATTTAATATAAATTAAGCTTATAGTGTTTTTCTTATGGAGTATGAGTTGGGGCAAAGGAGTTTTATTTCTTAATTTTTGTAGACATTTTTATTTGATAGTTTCTTTTTTTTTTTTTTTAAAGATTTATTTATTTATTTATACAAGCACTGGGTACAGTCAGAAGCGCGGGAGGGTGAGAGGATTCACCAGAGCCAGAGCGGGGAACAGAACAGGCAGACCGATGAAATACACTGCTGAGGGGAGCAGCAGGCGACAGGAGAGGTCTGCGCACCATGTGGGACCCTCCCCGGCGGCCAGGGATCGAACCGGCGCTGAAGAGGCTGCAGGCAGCTTCGCAGCCCAGTGCTCAACCGCTGCGCCACCAGGGGAGGCCCTAGTTTCTTTTTTTTTAAGACTGTACCTTTCTTGTTTTGTTTCTTTCTTTTTTTTTTTTTTATTTATTTATATAAGCACTGGGTACAGTCTGAAGTGCGGGAGGGTGAGAGAATTCACCAGAGCCAGAGCAGGGAACAGAACAGGCAGACTGACAAAATAGATTGCTGAGGGGAGCAGCGGGCACAGCAGGAGAGGTCTGTTGCGCCATGTGGAACAGAACAGGCAGACTGATGAAATATACTGCTGAGGGGAGCAGGCGGGCACGCAGAGAGGTCTGTCATACCATGTGGGACCCTTGCTGGCGGCCAGGATGCGAACTGGCATTGCAGAGGCTGCTCTCAGCTTCGCAGACCAGCGCTCAACCGCTGCACTACCAGGAAGGCCCTATTTTGATAGTTTCTTTAACACATAATTTATTATTATTATGTACTCACCTTGGTTGATAGGAATATTTTTTCACATACATCTATTTTATTTTCTCTTTCAGTGATTTATACTATAGCTTTTCTCCATACAACCTTTTCTATTTATACAGGAAATCTTTAGTAACTTCATCTTTGAAATGTGTACATGTTAACTTTAAAGCCATTAACATTGATAGATTGTAGCATGAGAATATAATTTGTTAAAAATTAATTTGTAGGAAATAAAAACATAAAATCTTAAATTATTTTTCATTTTATATTTAACTTTTTATTGAGGTTATATTATCTAATATATTTGTTTTAGTCAAGCATATCTGGGAAATATTATTTTAGTGACACGAATTTATGTACTTAGCTACTTTTTCTAATTATGACATAAGAAATTTATTTTTTCTTTTTCTTGAAAAATATGTTACATGATATGCCTATTGATTCTATTGTTTTGTCTTCTCTACAGCGATTCTGGAGGAAGTACCTAAATCAGAAGCAAGCCAGAGATGAAACTGTGCAGAAAGATGCTTTGGTTATAGCTAGGGCTGCCTCTCTCCTCCAGGCTTCGTGGCGTGCATACTTAGAGAGGCAACGGTACTTGGAACTCAGGACTGCAGCCATCATCATCCAGCAGAGATGGAGGGAGCACTATAGGCGGAGGCACTTGGCTGCCCTCTGCATTCAGACAAGATGGAAAGGCTACAGGGAAAATAAGAAGTACCAAGAACTAAGGAGCAAAATTATCTTTTTGCAATCAACATGTAGAGGATTCAGAGCAAGACGAAGGTAATTTCTGTTGCTATAATAATTACTCCTTCACTCTTACCAGGTATCTTGTTTATCTCTAATACTTGCCAAACTTGAATTAGAATTGTTTATGTGCAATTAGTCTTTACTAGACTGAGACATGTAGCAGTTTTAACCCACACTTTGTGGTCTATAATAGAAACTAAGTGTATGTTTATTGAATTAAATTGAGTTGAAAGCCTATATGATCTGTGGTTGTAACGACTAAAAGTTAAACCTTTACATTGGGTTGGATATTTAAAATGAGGCATTATTAACTGTTTTTAACTTCAGAAACTTTAGTTTCATTTTTAGGGTTTATTTTAAAATATGGCTATTATTAAAATGAGAGTTTTATTTCTGAGTCATTTTATTTTTAGACAACAATGCCAATTAGGAATAGTACACTTAATAAAAATAATCTTATTCATGAAAATTGGAGAAATATATACCTGTTAAAGAAATACTTAGATACTGTATAAAAAGAAAATTTGGGGACTTTCATTTATTTCTTATCTGTAATCTCTCCAGTGATAACCAAGAGGTATCTATAACCATTTCCCCCCTGTTTTTATATAGATTTAAAGCTTTAAAAGAACAAAGAGTGAGAGAAATAAAACTAGAACCTGGGTTAATGGATTTTGAGTCATATGGACCTCTGGAAATTCAGGGTTCAGACCCTTCGGAATGGGAGGATTGTTCCTTTGACAACAGAGTACAAGCCATAGAGGAATGTAAAACTGTGATAGAGAGTAATCGAATCAGCCATGAAAGTTCATTGGATGGTTTGAAGGATTCCCCAAACAAGCGACAGGAGAGAACAAGAAGCCAGAGTGGCATAGACTTGGAGGAAGATGTGATTGTAAGAGAAAGGCCTAAGTCCTTGGAGGATCTCCACCAGAAGAAAGTAGGTCGAGCCAAAAGAGAAAGTCGGAGAATGAGAGAACTAGAACAAGCTATATTTAGCTTAGAATTGCTGAAAGTCCGTTCTCTTGGTGGAGTATCTCCTTCAGAGGAACGTAGATGGTCCACGGAACTGATACCTGAGGGCCTTCAGTCTCTCCAGGGTACACCTGATAGTGAAAGCTCTCAAGGAAGCTTAGAACTTCTGAGCTGTGAGGAAAGTCAAAAGAGCAAATTAGACTCCGTAATTTTAGATAATGAGGACTTGCAGCCTTTATCATATGAGGTATCTGCCAGTCCGACATTTGATTCACAGAACAGTGCCCCCAGTGCTTCAACTGAGACTAAATCTGTATTGACTCAAAACGGAGCATCCTCTGACTCAGTTTATTTGAAGAATGGGACTATGAAGGCCAGGCTGCTTTGCAGTTCTGAATCTATTACTTGTAAGCCACAGGTAAGAGACTCCGTTATTTCCAATAGTCTGCCTACTTTTTTTTATATTCCTCAACAAGATCCCCTGAAAACAAGCTCTCAACCAGACACGTGTATCCAGAGGAACAAAGTGTTGGAAAGTGAAGTCAGGCTTCCAGCTCTTCGTTTGGATAACAGTGGGGAAGCCAGAAAGTGTCATTTCTCAGGAGAAAATGCAGTTGTCCCTTCTTTGAATACTGATTCTTCTAATACTGTGCTTAAGAAGTTAGAAAAGCTAAATACCGAGAAAGAAGAAAGGCAAAAGCAATTGCAGCAACAGAATGAAAAAGAGATGATGCAACAGATTCGACAACAAACAGATATTCTAGAGAAGGAACGTAAAGCATTTCAGACAAGTGAAACATCAAGAATTGGGGAGTCTCTCCTGGCACCATCTTTTCCTCAATCCAAGCAGAGAGTAGAAAGACCGTCCTCTCTCCTCATCCTGAATACACCCAATAAGGGAGAATCCAGTATACTAGGATCTCAGTCATTGACTATAAAAGATGCAGCTCTTGCTCCCAAAGGCAGTTCCTCTACTCACCTACCCCTGAAGGACCGACCTGTGACCATGTTCTTTGAAAGAAAAGGTGGCTTGTGCCAATCTAGTACTGTAAAGGAATTACCCAAGACAGATAAAATGTTCACCCAAGTGAATCCAGCCTCTAAACACTCCAATAATCGCATCTCAAAAAGAGAACACCTCAAGCCCATTCAGTCTTACAGCCACAAATTTGATGACTCTTCCAGAAGTGGAACAACTAGGGAGATTTTCTTCACGCCAAAGGACAATACAAATATTTCCTTGTAAGTGAAGTGTTTGTTTATTCTTACATATGTGGGAAGCTTCTTGGAGAATTTTATTACAGTAACTGATCTGTCTCAAGTATTTCGGTGGGTGCTACCCAAATTAGCCATTTTCTTTGTGTAAAAAAAAAATCCCTTAGTTGTTAACTCCACCAGCTATCTGAAATTGGATATAATTATACTCTGGATCTCTGTGCACAGATAGCAGAGTTTTTGGTTTCTCTCTACTAAGGGAGAAAGCATAGTGTGTCTGGAAACAAACTCTGTTGCCCATTAAACAACAGGAAAAGATCTTCATATCCTTTCCCCCAAATCCCTGGAATTTATCATTCTATTTTTTGTTTCTAAGAGACTACTTTAAATACTTCATAGTCTTTTTATTTTTAAGTTTTCTCAACTAGTGGTGGCCATTAGAAAAGCATTTTTAAGTGGTACATAAAAACAAATACAATAAATTTAAGATACTTATATTAAATCCTCATACATAGTTCTTTCAGTTTTTTTTTTTTTAAAGATTTATATATTTATACATGCAAGAGCTGGGGTACAGGCCAGAGGTGTGGGGGGTGAGAGGATTCACCAGAGACAGAGTGGGGAGCAGAACAGGCAGATGGACTGAAAGGCACTGCTGAGGGAAGCAGCAGGCAAGTCAGGAGAAGTCTGCTGCGCCATGTGGATATCTCCCTGGCCAGGGATTGAACTTGTGCTGTAGTGGCTGCAGATAGCTTCATAGGTTGCATCTTAACCCCTTCACCACCAGGGGGGCCCCAGTTCTTTCAGTTTTTATAGGAGAATATCACTTTAAATGAAAGAAGGGCTATATCTTAGGGCTAAAAAATTAAATTTCACAAAAAGTATGAAAATAACTTTTTTTTCTTTCTTAGTCTGAGACTTTGAATCTTTCAGCTTTAGATGTCCATACAGATTTTATAGAAACCTTTTGTAAATATGGGTAAGAGATCATTGATATTTATTTTTCTACTAAGTATCATGAAATACAATTGGACTAAATAACAGTTTGAGGTCCTATTAATTTAAAAGATTGTGCAGAAGTTCAAGGATTTTGTTTATCATATAAACCATGAAGGGGATGATAAAAACATATTTCCCGTCATTCTGATTAAGTTTAGTGATATGAAATATATGTGTATAACTGTTGATCTAAGAATACATTTTGTATAAGACTTAGTTGTAGATTTCAAAAAAACAGGAATTCTCCTTGTGAATTATTCCTTTTATCAGTTTTCTAAGATAAGCAATCTAACAGTCTATGTGATCTGGTTTGCTCTACCTCATTAAGATCTATTCATTTTCAAAATGATTACATATTAGATTATGTGAGAGCTTATTAAGTTCATACTTCAGATATGCTTTTGTTCTGTAAGTAGTACTGGAAACCTTAGCATTTTTTATTAGAGTCGTAAATATTGGCATTTCTAAATTATCTAGTCCAGTTCCCACACTGGACTATAGGCATGATTCCTGGAAACCATAGTGGTAAAATGATTTGTTCAGCATCACATATTTAGAGAAATAAGTGAGACTAGAACTTAAGTTTCATGATTTGCAATCAGCTTTGGGTTTCATAAATAGGAAGTAATAATTGTGTTTTTTCTATACTACAGTGGTAATAAGTACCTACTTACTGGTCTTCATCTGGTTAATGGGGGAGAATGAAAAAAAATCTTGGAAAAATGTAAGGAAAATGATATGCACAGGTGCTGTCAAAATTCCTGTTACTTGTTTCTGACTTTGGAGAACAAATCAAAGCCCAGTAGGCTCACTTAAATGGCCTAAAGGAATTCTTTTAGGATAAGCTAGGATTTCCAGTGTTGATCATATATGCTGGTCAGAAAAGGAGATCTGAGAAGCTTTGCTAGGAAAGAGTATCATCCATCTAGGGTTTTTTAGGGAATACTACATAGAGCAAAGGACAAGGTAATCTATTATGGCCCCTAGGCCTTCATTTATAAAAATAAAATAGAAGAATTTGAATGGTGTCTGCCAACTTCTATTATAAGTTAGTATCTACTTTGAACCCAGCATTATACTAGAAGGTAAAAACGATTTCTCACTGAGCTTACTGCCCTGTGGAAAGATTAGCAATATGTTGGTGGTAAATTGTAAAACTCTTTACTGAGTTAATGGGAATTGGGCCTTGAAAGTACAAGGTTTTGTTCAAATTTTCATTAGACACTGGCAATCATTTTAGTAGAATGTAATGATAAATAATTTACTGACACAGAATTTAATGATTAAATAGTCACATGTGGTTATTCAAGTAAAATTAAAATTTTGCAGGCTAATGCTATACCTTCTGTATAGATTAGGGCATACTTCTTTTAGCTTGATAGCAATTTCTTACCCTACCAGTAAAAGTTTTATTCTGTACAACCTTAAGTTTGAATTTAAGAAAACAAATGAAAACTGCAGAGATTTCAGGTAGGAAGCTTACTGGACAATGGGAACCATCTCAACACAAAACAAAGTGTAAGGTCCTTATCACTGGGTGGCTACTTAGGTGTTTTATAATGATTAGAGTAAAAGACCTCTTGTAAGACTAATTCTAAAGATTTGGGGATTAGGTTGTTGTTTCCCTTTGTCACCATAAATCCATTTTACTTTCACTGACTGCTGCTGCTATTCTTAAAGCTATATTATTCTTAAAGCTATAGTGGAATATATTAGGATTAAAGTGGCAGGGCCTGAATCAGTAATTCAGCCATACATGTAAATTCTGATCATGTTAATTAAGGAAAGCAAGGAAAGTTTCATGCATTGTTTTGGGAATTAAATAAGATTTTGAAATACGGGATTTGCAGAAATTTTTTGACCTGGCTTGTTAGGCGTTATTTCATGCTATTCTTGAAGATTTCTGCCTTGGAATTTATCTGCTAGGAATTAAAATGTAATCCTCTTGTTATATCTTAAAGATTAAGCAAGGAATCCTTAAACAATGGAAATCCTCAATGCCATAAAACAGATGAACCAGCTTTTAAACCTGTGAAGTTAACTGGGCCAGGCCAAAGAGAGGTATGTATTCAGTCTTTTCTGTGTGAAATAGATGTACACTTTTCTGGAATTTACTGTTCATGTAGGTAGAACTCTTTACCCAATTACTCCCAAGTATTTATAGAAAAAGAAGTCATGAGTAAAGTTTTATAATTAGGGATGTATACTTCAGGCAAGGAGTGGTTCTTAAAACCCCAGATTGTATTTAGGAAAAAGTTGCTAAGAAAAAAACGGGAATTTATGCAAGTAACTTTGGTGACTTAACATGGCAGTGAAAGATGACTTCCTTGGCTATGGAGAAGAACAGTATATTTTTAGCTTCCATTCTTACCCTTTGTTCAGAGTAATATATATAGATTGCTTTTGGTTACCCTGCTTACTTCAAGTAGAAAGGGCCTGGTGGGTTGGAGGGATGTTTTAAGAAATTCATGAGCTCTCTGATACCTTTCCTTGGCATCATCTCCAAAAAATCCAAAACAAAACATTGTTGTATTATTTGTTTTATCATTTGGTCAAGCAGGTTGCCAGACCGGCCCATAAAAAGAAAGCTCGAATGGCGCGGACGCGCTCCGATTTCTTGACTAGAGGTACTTTTGCTGATGGGGAGGGGGATACAGAGGAAGATGATTACGATGACATAATTGAGCCCCATCTCTCCTTTGACCAAGCTTCTCACTCTGAGCTAGGGCCTGCACCCAACCTCGGTCAGGCCTCTCACAGTGACTCCGAAATGGTAATTTTACAGCAATATAAGAAAAATAAGGGACAAATAAATCTGATGGGAATAGTTTTTGCTAACCTAAAGCTAACCTTCACAGCTTCTTCCCTGTATCATGGTTTGTACTTGGGAAACCTCAGTGGACACAGCAATGAAAGCTAAACCTTAATTTGACAGGCCTCAAATAATGGGCACTTTAAGAATGTGTGTCATATAATAAATAGGTAAAATTAAGGTTATTTACCTTAGCTCTAATGTAGAAATCTTCTCTCTGAGATCTTTAAAGGTGTAGAATCGGGACCCTCATTTTTTTCTAAAGTGGCCAGATAGAAAATATTTCAAGCTTTCATGGGTCGTATAGTCTCTTTTGCAGCAACTATGCCATTATAGGGTAAAGATAGCCAGAGAGAGTAAGTAAACAAATGGGCATGTTGTGTTAAAATAAAAGTATTTACGAAAACAGGCATGGGGATGACTATATTTGGCCAGTTGCTGATTCCTAGTCTAGCGAGTAGGGTATTTTTTAAATAATCCGGTAACTTTGAACTGAAATAATAGTCTCTTTCTTTTTTTTCCTCTCTCACTTTTTGCCCCTAAACTTGCTTCCCTCTCCACCATTTTTAGTAATAGAAAATAACAATAAATTTTAAAAAATTTAATGAGCAGTGCCAAAAGTTTCTCAGCTTAAAATAGCTCAGCCAAGTAGAAGAGAGTATATAATACACATTTGTATTAATTACAAATTATAGCATTGGAATTATGTTTTAATGAAACTACTATTTTGACTAAGAATATTAATTTTATCATCCATACCTCAACAAAAATAATGTGTATTTATAGTAGGGCAACTATGAGTATATTTATGGATAAAAACTGTTTGATTTTGGAATTATCCTGGAAAATATATAAGGACCCTGTGTAGCTAATATGTATTGAAACTTGATGAAATGGAGTGATATGCTTTTAATTTCCATGCATATCTTTAATTAAGTTGTGTCTCTACTATTCTTTAGTATCTGTTTATTATAGGAGTAAAATTTTAAGATGGCCTTTCTTTTTAATCTTTGTACTATTTTAAACTGAAGACCTATTTAAAATTTTTGCTAGTTTCCAGAATGCCTTCATTATCTTTATATTTTGTTGGAGATAGACTTACTTTTTAAATGCTAACACTGACATTCTACAAAAGAAAAACAAAACCAAAATAACCAGAAAAAATGTATGACTAGCTCCCTAATTAGGCAAATGAGTTGCTAACCTGAACCAAACTGTAGGATTATAAAAGTTGGACAGTATATATCTGTATCTATATGTATATAGATACAGATGTAGACCTGTATCACTATCTATCTATCTATCTAGCTATCTATCTATCTATCTATCTATCTATCTATCTATCTATCTATCTATCTGATTTGATGCAAAGCCCTCTTCATTGTAGGATAAAATAACTCCATTTGGGGGTGCCCTGTTTCTGAGCTATAAATAATGAAGCATACTCTATCATATGATTATTAGTTAAACATGCAGTTATGTAATAGAGCAAACTAATTTTCATGAAAAGTACTACTTACGTTTTTTTTTTTAGTGTACATAGATTTTTTATTTGTGGAAAAGCTTAACATTTATTATTGCTGTTTTGTTCCTGATGGTTTCCTTTGTTACAAACTGTAGTCCTTTTGGTGGTAGAATTCTCACTGGGAACTCTTACTGAGATGTCAGGAAGTTGGACTTTCTGCTTAGAGCATTTAGCCCCTTTACGGGTTCTAGCTAGTAGCCTCTGTCTATGATTCACCTGCTTGACAGCCATTGCATGCCAGTAGATGTAGATTCCCCCCTCTGCACAGTGTTGTTAGTCACTTTTCCAGCTTTCTCACTGTTCCTGTTTTATCACTGGCTATTTTAGGAACAGGTGGTGGTGTTTGTTTCTGGTGGACGCTGCATGAAGAAGCTATGCTTTCTAGAATATGCTTATAGATACTTACTGGGGTTGGGTGTGGGGAGGATAGGAATGGTTTTAAAGTGTTTTCTGTTTGTCTGGGAAATATGTCATGTTCTCATGTTATCTGTAAAGATGAAAACAGTTTCCAAATAGAATCTACTGAATTTTCAGAATTTTGAAAGAGTTTGACTTTTTAGGTACATGGATTTAGAAAACTTGGGTAGTTTATGTACATTTCTGGACAAAGTGATCCCATCAACAAAACATTTGCTAATAAGTGTGTCATTAAATCATAATAAGCAACCATCTGATCTTGTCAATTGTGAAATAAAATGATGTAATGTGTATGATGTAATGTGATGAAGATGATTAAAAATTAATTACCTGGGGTCTCCCCGGTGGCACAACAGTTGAGCACTGGGCTGCAAAGCTGCCTGCAGCCTCTGCAGTGCCGGTTCGATCCCTGGCCTCTGGCGAGTGTCCCACATGGCATGCAGACCTCTCCTGCCACGACCGCTGCTCCCCTCAGCACTGTATTTCGTCAGTCTGCCTGTTCTGTTCCCCGCTCTGGCTCTGGTGAATTCTCTCACCCTCCTGCACTCCTGCCTGTACCCAGTGCTTGTAGAAATAAATAAATTTTTAAAAAATAATGAATTACCTGTGCGGATTTGATAAGCATTACCTCCTGAATAATGAGTAAAATCAGTTGATACCTGGTGTGTAGGAATAGAGGCAAGGGTGGTCATTTCCCTTCTTAAGACTTCAGTAGTGTTTTTTTCTTTTAAATGTCTCACTTTTAACTCTGCCATTTTAATAACTGTTTCATCTCTGTATGCTGCTTTCACTCTGTTCTTATACACACTGCATTTTGGCTTTTACCCAAGAAAATGACATGTTTTGCTAATCAATATTTTGAAGGTGGCTTTCATGTATTTTTTTGGCTTTGTTTCACAATCTTCTGGATGGTGAGTTAGTAAAATCAATTCTATCCTCTATTTGTAATAGAAGTAGTATAGGTAACATAGTTTTGTTGTTGTTGTTTATTATATAATTTCTTCTAACTTTTGCCAGGCCTGAAGCAATCGTCTCTTAAATAGCTCTCCGGATTCTCAGTCTCTTTTACTCCAGTATGGTACAACTAAATTCCCTGTGCCCAGAGACTGCTATCACTTTGTAGATACTTATTTTTGCTTGGACATCTTGTTAGTCTTTCATTCACTTTTAATGTCTTTCTGAGTTCTTTGTCTTTATTTTTTTCTGATTTTTGTTTGTTCATTTCTAGTTTAAATTTTTTAATTTCTTGGTGCTTCATATATAGGAGCTATTTAATTCATTTTTGAGCTATAGTTTTTTTGCTACATGCTGTGGGTTTTTGTACTTTTTTTGGTGGGAGCTGAGATTATTATCTGAGTTGTTTGGCTCTAATTTTCCTTTTTTAAAAAAAAGATTCATTTATTATTTACGCATGGAAGAACTGGGGTGTAGGCCAGAGGTACGGGGGGTGGGGTATAAAAGGTTCACCAGAGACAAAGTGGGGAGCAGACAGGCAACCTACTGAAATACACTGCTAAGGGGAACAACTGTTTGGTTCTAATGTTCATTCCTATTTTATTTTCTTATTGTAATTGTGTGTAGATTTTGTATGTTTTAATTTATTTTCTCTGTACATTTGGAGTAATTCTTAAGATAATAAGTTCAAGAATTTATTTATTTTTTTGTCACTGTAGCAAAGTACAGCTTGTTTTCAGAAGCCCCTTCTTCCTCCTTTTTGATATATATATATGTGATGGAGGAGGCAAGTTTTTTTTCCCTTCTCTTTTACCTTGTTGGATTCTGAATTTTCCCCTTCTAGTTCTTTTCCTTCCTTACAATACTCGGTCTCCAAAGGGCTCCCCTACCTTTTTACTTTCTTTTACTTTGGAAACAATGCCTTTAAAAATTTGTCACTTTGTATCAGATGCAGTTTTAATTCTTTTCCCTTTAGTCAGTCCCTAATCTACCCATTGTCTGTTAATATTTTCATACATAGAGCGGACCTTCTCTGTGATTTTAAATCAATTCCAAACCTATTGCTACTTGTATCTTCTCCTTTGCATAATATTTCTTGGACTGCCTTGTTTAATGCAAAAGCTTCAGTGGGATATTAAGGAGAGGCTTGCTAGGATTAATGTATTTTTCTGCCTACAGGTAATTTGAAATTTGAGTGCTTTTTTTCCCCCCTAGTTGATTACAAGTGTAGGTTTCCTGTAATTTAATTTTTCTTCTGGTTCTGTATTGTTTTTGGAGAATATGTCATGATGTTTGTATTTAAACAACTTCCATTATCCTCAGCTTCCTGGAAGTCATTTTTAAGACTCTAATAAATTTCCTTTCCCTTTTTTCTGTAGCAATTTATTTATTGAGGACATGAGATTATTTGTTCTAATGCATTTCCTACATTTGAGTATTTTGCTGATCATAACCCTGTATTGTCATTTTAATTGGCATTATATGTTTATAGGAAACATAGGGATAAATGCCTATATAGATTGAGTGTTAATCACATTTGCGTTTAAATTTTTTGAGGAAAATACTTTATAGGTAGAGGTAAGTATATCCTGTACCATGTTAGGGACCAAATCTCTTGTTTTCTGATAAAGCTGATCATAAAATTAGGTATTGTTGGCCTAATTCTGGGTTTATTGGTATACTTTCATAATGGAGGCAGAATACATAAAGTGAAAAGCACAGACCTTCAGTGTACACTTTGATGATTTTGACATATGCATGCAACCATGTGCTCTGTACTCCTGACTAGGTTTCTCGCACCAGAGTACATTTCTTTTTTATTTCTATTTAATTTTTTCTTCTTTTCATCTGATCCTCAGAAGCAACCTCTATTTTAAAAATTTATATAAATGCAATTATATAATAATGTGTCCTGTGGTAGGCAGAATTTTAGCACGGCCCCACAAGATTCCCAACCTTAGTTGAAAACACATCTTTTCTCAATCCATTTAATCAGACACTTACCTAGGTTCTGCTGAGAAAGAATATTGCCTATACTATTAAAGACCTAAATCAGCTGACCTCAACATAAAAATGTTATCCACGATGGCCTGACCTAAATCACATGAGCTTTTAAAATAAGGAATAGTCAAAGATTTTTAGTATGGGAAGGATGCCGTAGCCTGCTCTTGGCTTGAAGTTGTCTTCATGTTCATCCATCTTTTCTTCTACAATGTCAAATCTGCTGTTAGTTTCATTCAATGTATTTTCCATTTCATACTGAAGTTTTTCATTTCTATAGATTTGATTTAGGCCTTTTTTATATAACATTTTTCTCTGCTAACTTTCCTAAGCATTTGGGACTAAACTATAATTACTGTTTTAATATCTGATTCCATAACATTTGCATCAGTCTTGAGTCATTTGAGATAGATTTGTTTGGTTATCTGTCATATATTCTTATTTATTTGCATGCCTAGTTATTTCTTGCTGGATTGTAAGTTTTGCCTTATTGAGTGCTGGATATTTTGTATTTGATTAATATTCTTGAGATTTAAATGTCTGTAATGTTCCAGAACTTTGTTCTGGAAGTATTTGATCCTTTCATGTCTTCTTTTTAAGATGTGTTTGGCTCAGTGTATTGAACTGTAAATTTGTTAAGATAGTAAATTTCAGGTGTTCTCAGCACTACCCTAAAAAAAGTAGGTGAGGAGATATGTAGTAATCATTTTATTATTTATTTGTATATCAGATTATGTCATTCACATTAAATATTTACAGTTTTTATTTTGAAATAAAGATTTGCAATACTCATAAAGAATAGCATTACATCTAGGCTCATTATCCTTAACTATTCAGGTATAATCCACTGTGTATTTTATTAAATGCCTTAGAATCATGCAGTTATATACTCTGACGTGGGCTTAGGCACTATTATTACTAACCTTTTTTTGAGCGGTGGGCTCTAGCAACCATTAATCCTTTGAGATGATTCTTCTCTTAGAGAAGTGTTGATTAGTACCCAGTTAAATACTCAGTGGGGACCCTCTGATGATCTCCACAGTATTTGTGTTTGTGTGTGTGCATTTCTCTTCTGTCTCTCTTGGTTTCTAGTCACTGTGATCACTCTGCACTTTCATTTTCATGAGTTCAACCCAGAGAGTCGTTGAGGCTCACTGCGTTCTCACCTCTGTATGATAGCCTAGACACTATCTTATGGCACCAGGTTAGGCCACATGTTGAATTCTTCCTTTGTTTCTCATCTTGAAGGGATAACTGTCCATCCCCTGATAACTATTATTTCATATTATTTTGACTTTTTTTGTTTTTAATTTTGTTTGTTAATTTTAATTTTCGTTTGTTAATTTTGATTTTGGTTGTGTCATCCAAGAGAATAAGACGAGTCACTATTCCATTTTGGCCAGAAGCAGAGTTCTGTTCTCTAAATTGTAACAACTTAGCATACTTTCTAGTTCTGTTAAGAAGACCATAAACAAACGGACCACAAGAATAAAGAAAAGAGATTGTAACTAAAATGAAATGTTAGCAAATGACTGAATTAGGTAACAAAAAGCTCCTCTCCTCTGAATGGGAATGTCTTTAAAGTGACACACTATAAACAAATGGGAAAGATTACCTATAGAAATTTAGGTCCCAGTTTGATAGCCATGTAGATTATTTATAACTCCCACCGTTAATGGTTATAATGGTATTTTATTCTTTGGGATTTTTTGTTTTTTTTTAATCTTTGTGGGTTCTAGTTATTTTAAATCATTGACTGGAAATAATGAGAATCTATAGTAGCAATTAAGCCATAAAAATAAGTATCACCTCTTATAGACAAATGAAAGAAGTTATGAAAAATTACACTTAGCTTTCTAGATTTATTTTAGATTTTTAGGTTTTGACTTTATCCTTGCCTTCTCACTTTAAATTGTCAAAAAAAAAAACTAGAGTTGGTACATTCTGTACAAAAGTTTCTTTGATCTGAGTTCTCTACTTCAGATTACTCTAAAAGTTTTAATAGAGTTTTTAGTAGGTTCTTTTATTTCAATGGATCTCTGAATAATATGAATGTATTTTTGTACATTTTTAAATAGGTATGATTCTTAAATTGTTCTATAAGCCAAATTTTAATTACAGTGTTATTCTGTTACTTGGTTATAAAATCTTTTACGTATGTAATTATTACAGACTTCACAGAGATTTTCTTCAGTTGATGTAGAAGCAAAACTTCATAAGACTATGTCTCAAGGAGAGATTACAACATTGGGAATGAGACAGAAGGCTTCAGATTCAGATATAAGGTACAAAGTGTTCAATGAGTGTTAGTGGGGGTAGTGTTGTTTTATTTGCTGAGTGACTCTAGTTAAATACTGAATCTCTTTTTAAAAACAAAACTGATAAAACAGCTAGTTTGAAATGAAATTTTTTAACCAATTTTTCAACAATGTGACAGGCACATTGTGTGCACATGTGTGTATGTGTGTACACATGTATATATAAAATGAACTTTATCTTTCTGTGTTGAGCAGTGTGATTTCGGCAAAGCCTTTAATTCATTATATGACCTGTGATTTTTTTGTTGAGATTGAAAATATTTTCCAATTTTGTACTTGGATTCTGTTCTGATTTAAGAGTTTTATAAATGGAATTGGAAAAATTCTCAGGAAATAATTGTTCTTTTTAAAGATTATATGGTATTTTTACTTGCCTGGTAAGTATTTTGTCCCTTATTGTGTTGTGTAAGGCACATGAGCCCTCATTGGACACTTCAAGATCACATTGAAATCTGTCTGATTCATAACGTTATTAAAGACCACTTCCTCAGTGACTGTAGAAGTATAAAACAAAATAATCCAAATCCAGAGCAGATTATGTTGGAGTCAAATTTTGGGAAATGAAGTATATAATGTAGTAGAAAGAACATATAGTTAGAAACTAGAAGTTTAAACATAATTTCCACCTCTTCCCCCAAATTTGCTAAAATGACAAAACCTGTACAGAATTTAAAAAAAGGTCGGTGGGGGAGCAGGAGAGACAACAACTACTATAAAATTTTGGACTCCAAAAAGTAAATAGAAAAAATTTAAATGTCTTAATAGGAGACACTGAATCTTAAATCACTGGGTAAATCTAAGAACGAAGCATCTGACTGACTGATTTTCCTCAACCCTAGCTGAAAATAGAATATTTTTTTTTTGGGAAAAGGATGAAACAGAAGGTCTCTACACTTGGAGGTTACAGATAACGGCTGATGAGTAGGGCACATATTTGGAACAAGGGGGATTCAACTAAGGGGGACTTACACATTGAATGTTAAGATCCTCGAGCTTTTATCCTTTACTCAGCTTTCACATTTCACAAACCCTCTCAAAAGATGATTCAAAGAGTCCTTGGGCATTTTGTCTTAACTCTCAAGGAAAAATGTAAAGAAACTGTTATCAAGGGCTCTCTTTACAAAATAGACCAGCCAGATAACCCTGCATAGAAGACTACATCTTGGAAACCCCATCATTGTGCACCAGAGCTTTTTATATTAACCCTACTTTTGTTGACCACATACTTGAGAACATACATGAAAGAAACTAAAACTAACAGATAAAATACAACTTGGAGGAAATAAACTGCAAGACAGACAAATAAAAGTAACTATAGACCTTCTGCATAAATAAATATAACTGCATCCTTAAAACAAACAGAATGCATGAAATAGAAATATTTATAATTAAAAAAATCTTTGAAATTAAAAATATATAGTATGAAGGAACAGCTCAGAAAGAATTAGAAGAGTTAGAAAGTAAGTTGAGGACACACCTCAGAAAGATGAGCATTAAAGAACAGAGATGAAAAAAAAATAATAAAGGGCAAAAAGAGATGGAAAAGAACAGAAAAATTATTAAGAAAGTTACAGAGTAAGTTCTGGAGTTCCCATAGGAACTAATGGGAAGTAAAAGCCCTGTGAAGATAGAACAGTGAAACAGAGAAGCTCTAGTAGAAGTTCTGTGAAGATTGAACAGTGAAACAGAGGAGAAAAACATTAAACAATTCATGTAAATATCACAAAATTGATGGATATAAATTTACAGATTGAAAGGACCTACTAAATGCTGAGTGTCCCAAGATTGTGGACAAAAATAGACCCATACCAAAATACAGGAAAACAAAAGACACAAAAGTAATCTCCATTATGATAGTGAAAGTAGCTTTGCAAATGACAGCTGTTCAGCATGCATTGAGGTAAATCATGCCAGGCTAAAGCAGGTTGGAAGGCTCTGAAAGAGATTTCTTCATGAACATGAAACCTGTAGATTACTTAACTATGTTTGAACATGTTGAGATATTCACAAATGGGAAAACTGTTGGAGATGAATTACATTTGGAAAAAAATGAGCAAATGTAAAGCAAAACATTAACTTAAAGTAAATTATGCAGGGAACTATATGCCTCTGTTATCAGTCTTATTTGCATAATAAAACTAGTGAATAATGCTGTATAGTGATCTAGCTAAAATTACAGTAGTTTGTTCTGTTGGGTGCATACATGTATTTGTGGAGTGAATGGGATAGAGTGGTAGAACCTGCCTAATCATTATTTGTGGTCACAAGAGTGATAACAATATAAGTATGGTAAATATTAAAAGAATCAAGTCAAAATTATTACCTTGAGGGAGCAGAAAATAGCTTGAAAAAGGTAGATGGATGCTATCCTTTGTAATAGGCCTGTAGAACAATTTCTGTTTATACTGTATGAATGTATATTACCAATAAACTTTAAAAATTGGAACAGAGAAAAAGCTGGTCTTCAAAACTAGATAGACCTGAGTTTTAACTTTCATGTCCATCAGTGCTCTAATTTCAGTTTGCATATGCGTGATGTGATGGTTGTGAAAATTAGGGGTATAATATATAAGATGTAGTGCCTGGTACCTAATAGATGCTCACAATTTTTTTTTGACTGATTGAACATGCAAATGAACAAAAAGTTAATGTATGAATCAACCTCCTGTTATAGAGTTAAGGTACCCAATATAGTGAAAGTGAACTATTGTTATTATCTTAAGATGTTTCTTTGATTTATGAAAAGGGAGAGAGTATATCAGCATTAAGAATTAGGCAGTGATTCACTGGCTATATAACTATGGGACTTACATAATGGTTAAGCCTCCAGTTTTTCATCTATAAAAGGTTATAGTAGTTTGTAAGTAAAATTTTTAAAACTTCTAAAAACTTTAAAAATTTTTTAAAAACTTCTAAAATTGACTGAGGTAATGCTGTACAAACAGCATTGTGCCTACAGTAACAAATAAGTGGTTGATTTTGTTAAATGATAATAATGATTACATGTGAATATAAAATAATGATGTTAAACCTTTTATTATATAATGGTAAGTTGGATTTAAAATCATGCATGTAACATGATTATAGTGATGTGAAATGTGTGTGCTTATGGATAAAAACTGAAAGGATATCATCCAAAAAGTGAACAGAATCATAGTATGTCAGTAATTTCCTTAGGAAATATTTGTTGTTGGCTTTATACTAAATCCAAACTAGGAGGAGGATGAGAATGAAAAAATACCAGTTTAAGAATCAGAAAACCTGAGTTCAAATCCTAGTTCTACTGCTTTGCAGCTGCTTTAGTTTAGGGATTATTATATGTATCCAGGTCTAATTATGTCTGTATTCAAGATGAAGAAACTCTACCTTCCTGGTGAAACTTACATATGATTGAATTTAAGTGTGAAGGTTAAATTAACTAATACACATGAAAGGTAATCATATGAAATGGAGCAAATACTGTCACAAATACTATCACAAATACTGTCTTCAAATACTGTCACAGAGATATGCTGATTTCATTTTCACCTTTTATGTTTTAAATAGACCTCACAGAGCTAAGATGAGGTTCTGGGCCAAAGGGAAACATGGGGAGAAGAAGACTACCAGAGTGAAACCTGCTACCCAAACAGAGGTTTCAGTACTCTTTGCTGCCTCAGATGTGATTCCAGCTCATCAGGTTCCAGATGGTAAAAAATAAGCAAAGGGTGGCAATTGTTTTCTTAGTATCTGTCCTTCCTCCCTTTCCTTACTTATTCTTCCCTTTACTTCCTTTTCTTCTCTTTATTTTTAATTACGGTGATATTAGGATACCCCCATCAGGTATTGCCACCATAGTTCACCCACCACCAAATCACCTATAGTTCACCACCATAGGCCATTGTCCTTCCTTCCTCTTTGTTCTTACTCCTCTTCCACCCCTCCTACCTCTGGATACTTCAGTTTGTTTATTCTTTCTTAAAGTTTGCTATTCTTCCAGTGTTCATTTCTGTTGACTAGAAATTCTAATGTGAAAGAACCAGGATTGTTAAATCCTTCCTTAACTAAGTGATATAAAATTACATTGAACCTATAATAGATGTTCAAAGAAAATGTTGTACAGTGAGCAACAAGAACTTTAAAAATGATTATGAATCTTTGATTAGTCTGTTTCTGAAGTATAAAAATGTAAGCATCTTTCATTCACTTAACAGATATATAGATTTGTAAATAATTAGTAAAATAGTAGCAGCTAAGAATTTGAGTGCTTGCTGTGCACAAATCATTGTGCTAGCATGTTGTATTTATTAATCGATCCTTACAACAATTTTGTGAGGTTGGTATGATTGTTTTTGCCAATTTTTTTTTTTCCAAATCACCCCTACCCTATCTGCTTCCCTCTCTCATGCCCTCCAACATTTCCCCTATTCCCTAACATAAACATCTTCTTTTTGATGAGTTCAAGTTTTTTTCCTTCTATTTTTTACATATAATTGTTTTTGAATATTTATTTTCTGCAGATGAGTAGAACCATCAAAACCTTTCAGTTTTTGACTGACTTCACTCAGTTTAATCACCTCAAAGTCCATCCATTTTGTCCCAAACGCCACTGCTTCATCTTCACAGCTCTGTAATACTCCATTGAGTATATGTTCCACAGTTTCTCTATCCATTCATCTGTTGAAGGGCAGTTGGGTTTGTTCCATAACTTGATAATTGTGATCAGTGCTATGAGATATATATATATATATATATATATCTTTGTATTAGCGTTTTCATGTTTTTTGGATAAATATCTAATTGCAATATTACTTCAAGAGTAAGTCTGGGGCCTCCCTGGTGGTACAGCGGTTGAGCACTGGGTTGCGAAGCTGCCCACAGCCTCTGCAGAGCCGGTTCAATCCCCGGCTGCTCCCTGGCCACCGGAGGAGGGTCCCACATGGTGCGCAGACCTCTCCTGCCACCCACTGCTCCCCTCAGCAGTATACTTCGGTCCTTCTGCCTGCTCTGCTCCCCGCTCTGGCTCTGGTGAGTTCTCTCACCCTCCCGCGCCTCTGACTGTACCCAGTGCTTGTATAAATAAATAAATAAAATCTTAAAAAAAAAACCAACAACACATTTAAAAAAAAAAAGAGTAAGTCTGGTGGGATACTACACTGACTTCTGTTTGTCTGAGAAAACCTTTATTGATCTTTATACTTAACCTTTATTGATCTTTATACTTAAATAATTTTGCAGGATAGAGAATACTTGGCTGTCAGTTCTTATATTTTAGGATTGCAGATATTTCCTTCTACTTCTTACCTAGAGAATGTCTAAGCTGAAATTAGGGGGAATCTTAATTTGGGAGCCTTAGAAGTTATTTTTTTTCCTTGCTGCCCACAAAATTTTTTCCTTCTTTTGATTTTTGATAGTTTGACAATGATGTGTCTAGGTGTAATTCTTTTTGCATTTAAGAATATAAGTGTTATCTCTGCTTGCTGGACATCCATTTTTAAATCATTCTGCAGGCTTAAAGATGTCTTCTCTTACCACTGCTCTTCAATATAATATTGGCGGTCCTAGCCAGAGCAATAAGATAAGAGAAAGACATACGAGGAATCCAAATAGGGAAAGAAGAAGTAAAACTATCACTATTTGCAGACTATATGATAATTTACGTAGAGAACCCTAAAAACTCCACAGAAAAACTGCTCAAAATAATCAACCAGCTTAGTAAAATAGCAGGATACAAAATAAACACACAAAAATCAATAGCCTTCCTATACACAAAAAAACAATATGAAGAAGAAATCAAGAAAACCATCCCTTTTAAAATTGAAACAAAAAAAAAAATCAAATACTTGGGAATAAACCTAATAACAGAGGTGAAGGACCTATACAAAGAAAATTATAAAACACTGTTAAAAGAAATAGAAGAAGACACAAAGAAATGGAAAGACATCCCCTGCTTATGGATTGGAAGAATTAACATTACTGAGAAATTCTTAATTGCTATTTTTTTGAGTAAGGTTTCTGCTCCTATTTCTTTTTCTTCCCCATCTGGGAGACTAATCATTCTTAAATTTCCTTGCTATATGAATTTGATATTTCTTGTAGTTTCCTTATTTTTCCTTTGTCTTGACTCTCCTCTTTGAGCTTGTAATTTGTTCATTTGCGTCTTCTACAGCTGATATTTTTTTCTTCTTTCCTTCATTCAGAATCTCTCGTTTGATCTTTTTATATATTCAATTCTTTGGTGAAGAGCTCTCTGTGTCTCCATCTCATTTCTGACATTTTGTGCCTTCCTGTCTGCCTTTGACTGATGTTCTGGTATCTCATTTAACATTTTTAGTATTGTTACTTTGAAGTCATCAGATAGTTTGTCTATTTCCATCTCCTTTATATTTCTTCTTGGACTTCTGACCTTGTTTTTCCATCTTGTGTTGGGTCATTCCTTGCTTCCTATGCGTGTATACAGCCTTATTTGTGTGCGTGATTTGGTAGTGGCGCTGTGGTAGTAGGATTTAGTTTTGCTTTTACCTTGGTGTGAGGGGAGGTAGAAGGGGGATTGGGGTTTTAATACTAGATTTCAGTTTGATGAGTGATGTTAGTTAATCACTTCTACCTCTTGTTTTGTTCCACAGCAAGCTTTATTCTGTGCTTAGATTGTCTTTACTTCCCACCTTATCCATTGTTCCTTTCTTCGGAGAGCTGCTATCTATTGAACTTGGATCTCCCAGTAGGGAGGATAGAACAGACCTGTTACAAAAAGCAAACAAAAACTTCTTGTATCTGTAATAAGATAGAAGGACAAGGAGGAAAGTTCATCGAGGAACCTGTAATATCTGTGTCAGAAGGAAAAATGGTAGAGATGTAACTAGCGCCACCCCCCCTTTTTTTTTGGTCTGTGGCTTTGTTCTTATCTCTTGGCAAACTGATAAGGATTAGACCAATAATAAATTGGTTTATTTGGAATATTTAGAATTTCTCACCGTTACATTACCGAGAGGATCACTTTTATCTGGTTTATAATAATTATTCAAAATTTTTCATTATTCACAGTCACATACTTTGTTACTTATTCCCAAGAAGGAAGCATCCAGCTTTTTAGTTGAAGCATATATTAAAAATAGATTTTATTGTATGTTTGCTTCATAAGGATTCGTGTATAAAAATTAAGATTATAGCTTTTTATTTATCATAGGGTAGAAATTTAGTAAGTAAAATTTGTTTTTTTTTTTAAAGCTTTTTTTTTAAGATTTATTTATTTATTTATTTATTTATTTATTTATTTATTTATACAAGTACTGGGTAAGTCAGAAGTGCAGGAGGGTGAGAGAATTCACCAGAGCGGGGAGCAGAACAGGCAGACTGACGAAGTACACTGCTGAGGGGAGCAGTGGGCGTGGCAAGAGAGGTCTGCGTGCCACATGGGACCCTCGCAGGTGGCCAGGGATCGAACCAGCGCTGCAGAGGCTGTGGGCAGCTTCTCAACCCAGCACTCAACCGCTGCACCACCGGGGAGGCCCTAAAATTTTATTTTTAATGCTGAAATAGGACTATAGACAATTTCTTCAGTAAATATTATTTCTTTTAAGAAAGATATTAGCTGATACATGAACTAACTACTTAGATATGTAGGTTATATAAAGGAATTGAAATCCATTAAAATCAATTGAATATACTTGTATCCTATTACTTTGATATGATAGCTGAGATTGGGTTTTTCTCAGTTTCTGTATGAGGTGGTATTAAGCATGTAAGGGGCTTTTTTTTTCCATTTTCAGAGTTAGCTTTTAGATGGAATGGAGATGTACCATTGGGATAGAGGATAAGAGAAATAAACGTGTGTGGGTGGGTAGGGGAGAGTCGAGTAGGTAAGTGAAGGAAGGGAGCAATATTGTCATCAAGTCCCAGATAGAGTTTTGGCAGACCCATTGTAGTTCTGGATTATAACAGACTACATGGTAGTTCAATTTATTTAGTATAAACAATTATAGGGAAAATTTTTGTGCTCTCCAATATTACATATACAAAACCAATTCATTCCAAGAATTCTCTGAGAAATCCAGAGTTATTTGGGAAATGTATAAGGAAATTTTAAATGCTAAAGGAATCCAAGCACAAGTGAGCCATTTACCCAGCTCCATAAGATTACCAGGCTACCACCAGGTAGTATGACTGACTTTAGACCTTAGTAAAGAAATAATAGTACTTAAACTTCACTAGTTTGTTAGACTGTAAATAGCTGGGTGTTTTTTCAGAGTAAAGCTGTGACTGGGTTAATGGTTAGTAGGTTAGTATTTTAATATGCTAGTGTAATTTTGAACTCTCCTTTGTTTTCTTTGGCTTCAGTTCTATGAAATACTTCTGACTTGATTTTCAGTGTCAGATCTCAGGCTCTTGGGAGACATGATACCATTTCCCATTGAAAAGAGATAATTATTAAATGTGTTTTCTGGACAAATGTGTAATCTGGATTTATTACCTATCTGCCTGGTGTCAGATGTTAGTGTTACTTTGCTTTACATATATTTGTGCTTGTTTCCTTTAATAACTTATTAAAGGAACACAAAAAGAAGCGTGTGGAAATTTCAATAATTTACAGATTTTTTTCTTTTACACTCTTCTTGAATTTTAGAATTACCTCAGCTTCATCCAACACCTCCTTTGAGCCCAGAATTGCCTGGTAGTTGCCGGAAGGAATTCAAAGAGAACAAAGAGCCTTCTCCAAAGGCAAAGCGTAAGCGAAATGTAAAGATCAGCAGTGTGGCTTTGGAATCTATGCATTGGCAAAATGACTCTGTCCAGATCATAGCAAGTGCCAGTGATTTAAAGAGCATGGATGAATTTCTTCTGAAAAAGGTACACTTTGCTTTCTGGGTTATGCCCCTGAGCAGCTTTGACTATGAAGTACTTGCATTATTATATCAGGATAATGCCCTCTAGAGAGCACAATTAAATATACTTCAGTAAATTAGATGATCTGTTCTTTACCAGAAAGGTGCCTGTAATAGAATATGCCTCCGTCAGACTGAGTAGATAGGATTTAAGGTTTTAGGGTTATTGTTGACTTCTACTTCAGTTGTTACTGTCCTGTTATATTCCAAATGTGAAAGTGAAACTTATTGTACATATGGAGTTGTTTTTCTGGTAGCAAAACTATAGAATTGTACAGTGTTGGAAGAGACCTCAGAAGTCAGCCAATTACTGTAAAACTTTTGCTCTCTAGTCATACCTTTACCTGGGTCCCATAATATCAATGGTTTGTACTTTTAGGACTATCTTGTTGAGCAAACAGTATGTATCCACTGTTAAATTCACCTCTTTTCAATTAGTTGATTTTGTACAAAAACTTTTTCTCCCTGTGGTCCCCAGATGAATGACTTAGATAATGAAGACAGCAAGAAAGATACATTAGTGGATGTTGTATTTAAAAAGGCCCTGAAAGAATTTCGGCAAAATATCTTCAACTTTTATTCATCTGCATTGGCGGTAAGTTGGACCTTGTTAAGAGATACTTAGTCAGCATATGAAAGACATTTTGCAGTGCTATAGAAGATAATGTAGAGGTTATGTTCAACTAGAGATTTCTCCTTTTTTTGTTTTGTTTTGTTTTAGGGACAGGTACGGAAAAGCACACTGATTAACCTCTGATCAATAGCCTTCTTGAATTTCCTTGAGTAGTCTCCTCTGTGCCCCTGAGTATATTTTCATCTTCTTAAGACATTGAATTCAGACATTGTGCATATGATTCTATTTTACCCAGTGTCGCTTTACTATTTTTATTTTTCATGAACCTTTTAGCTTTAACTTCTAATTCTAATTCTAATTCTTTGGCTTTTTTGTGTGGAATTGCATTATACATTTTCTTTCAGTGATATTTGTCATGTTTTAGAAAATTTATTTTTGGTGCTCAAATGTATAAATTAATGCTTTGATCTGTAGAATCTTTATTAGTACCTGTGGATTACCATATTTATTCTACTAAATAGTTGTATTTAATTGATTTTCCTTGTTCAATCTGTAATTCATTTTGAAAAGAGAAACCAGAAAAGCTTATTATTTATCCTCTACTTTTTCTTTCTCACTATAAGATTTTTTACCTTTTAAAAACAAGAATGAGACACTGTGAGAGAGCAGAAATTTCAAGATCATAACAAAGAAGTATCAGCCTATGGCAGGTGACTAGGTTTTGCTAGGGACAATATTGACCACATTTTCCCAGTCCTGCCCAACAACTTACCACTCTCATCTCTGTCTCTGCTTGACCACCTGCAGTTCCAATTGGGGAATCAGAGTTGTTGGATCCTTGATTACACTTTGAATCACAGGAAGAGCCAGCGTTATGAAACAGAACTTAACATTGGTTTTCAAGCCTTGGATCAAAAAAGATAAACTTGTAATTCTAAAATGTGAAAGAGAAATAAATGCCAAATATTTGTGGCACTTTTTGTCACTTATGAGAAAAAATCTCTTTTTCTTCTCAGATTTCAGAGCCTCATTTAAACAAACTAACAGAAGTTCCATGAGGTTTTTTTTTTTAAAGTAATGTGGTATTCTGAGTATAGCAATTTTTTTTAGAAAAGTAAAACAGAGATGATTACCTAGTGTATCATTAGGCATGTATTCAAGAATTTACTCCTTTAGTTTTAGAGTGGCTCTGTCTAAACTATATTCATTTGTGGGAGATCAGTAGTTAAGAGGAATCCGGTAATCCATACAATCTTTATAATAAAATATAATTTAAAAAAAAGACGAGAATTTCCCTGGACTTGCTCAAATTATTACAGTTTTTATTTATTTATTTTATTTTGTATACATTTTACATCATTCTTCCTTTTTATACAATGTATGCTTTCTCTTCTCAGGTGTAGTCCTGTAAAATTCCCACCACCAATTCACCCATGCACCATCATCACCATGGTCACTTGTGTTCTTCCCTCCCCTGTTTTGATCCTTCTTCCTACCCCTCCCCTGCAGAATGGCTCTGATTTATAGTTGCCTGTTGAATTTTTAAAATTTATTATAATTATTATTTTTTTCCCTGATCCCTTATTTGGTTCCCCTATATTCCTCCTACAAGTGAAACCATCCAATATTTTTCTTTTTCCTTTTGGCTTATTTAACTGAGCATGATCTGGCCTCCCCAGTGGCGCAGTGGTTGAACACTAGGTTGCGAAGCTGCCTGCAGCCTCTGCAGCACCGGTTCAATCCCTGGCCACCGGGTGAGGGTCCCACATGGCGCGCAGACCTCTCCTGCTGCCCGCTGCTCCCCTCAGCAGTGTACTTCATCAATTTGCCTGTTCTGTTCCCCGCTCTGACTCTGGTGAATTCTCTCCCCCTCCCTTGCTTCTGACTGTACCCAGTGCTTGTATAAATAAATAAATAAATCTTTAACTGAGCATGATCCCTTCCAGCTCCATCCATGTTGCTGTTAATGATATACGTGTGTGTGTGTGTGTGTGTGTGTGTGTGTGTGTGTATACCACATCTTCTTGATGCAGTCATCTATTTTTTGGCATTTGGGTTGTTTCCATAACTTAACGATTGTAAATAGTGCTGCAGTAGACATAGGGATGCAGGTATCCTTTGGGATTAATGTTTTTGTGTCCTCTGAGTAGATTCCTAGGAGTGGAATTGCTGGGTCATATGGTAGCTCCATTTTTAGTAATTTGAGGAATCTCCACATAGCTTTCAATAGTGGTTGACCGGTTTGCATTCCCATCAGTAGTTTAAGAGAGTTCCTTTTTCTTCACATCCTTACCAGCATTTGTTGTTAGATTTTTAATATGTGCCATTCTCACTGCTGTCAAGTATATCATTGGGGTTTTGATTTGCGTTTCCCTGATATAAGGGATGTTGAACATTTTTTCATATACATGTTGACCATTTGCATTTCCTATTTGGAGAAGTGTCTTTTTAGCTCTTCTGCTCACTTTTTAACTGGATTGTTTACTTTGTATTTGTTGAGTCCTGTGAGCTCTTTATAGATCTCTGTGATGAGTCCCTTATCAGTTGTATGGAATGCAAAGATTTTCTCCCAGTCAGTAGGGTGTCTCTTTGTTTTGGTTAATGTGTCTTGCTGAATAGAAGCTTTTTAGTTTGATGTAATCCCAGCTGTTTATCTTTTCCTTCACTTTCTTTGTTTTGGGGATGAGTCTTTAAAGATGTACTAAGATGTATGTCAGGTAGTGTTTTACCTATTTCTATATATTTTATGGTTTTCTATATGTTTTATAATTTCAGGTCTTATGTTCAATTCTTTTATCCATTTTGAGTTGGTTTTTGTGCATGGTGTGAGGTAGTAGTCCAGTTTCATTCTTTTGCATGTGGTGGTCCAGTTTTCCCAGCACCATTTATTGAACAAACTGTCCTTGTTCCATTGCATATTCTTTGCTCCTTTATCAAAGATTCGTTTTTCCATATATGTGTGGCTTTATTTCTGGATTTTCTATTTGATTCCATTGGTCTGTGTGTTTTTGTTCCAGTGCCATACTGTTTTAATTATTATGGCTTTGTAGTATAGTTTGAAGTCTGGGCGTGTGATACCTCCTTTCTCCTCCTTTTTAGTCAGGAGAGCTTTGACTATTGAAGTTTTTTGTGATTCCACATGAATTTCATCAATATTTGTGCTATTTGAAGAAAGTCATTGAGACTTTATTGGGATTGCATTTAAATCTGTAAATTACTTTCAGTAGGATGGCCATTTTAATAGTGTTAATTCTTCCAATACATGAGTAGGGGCTGTCTTTCCATTTCTTTGTGTCTTCTATTTCTTTTAACAATCTTTTATAATTTTCTTTGTATAGGCCACTCACCTCCTTTGTTAGGTTTATTTCCAGGTATTTGATTTATTTTGTTTCAGCTGTAACTGGGATGGTTTTCTTAATTTCTTCTTTAGATTGATTCTTTGCATATTAGAAGACTACTGATTTTTGTGTGTTGATTTTGTATTCATCTGCTTTACTAAATTGGTTTATTATTTTGATTAGTTTTTCTGTGGATTTTTTAGGGTTTCCTATGTATATTATCATATCATCTGCAAATAGTGATAGTTTTACTTCTTTTTCTATTTGGATTCCTTGTATGTCTTTCTCTTATTGCTCTGGCTAAGACTTCCAGTATTATATTGAAAAGCAGGGGCAAGAATGGACATCCTTGTCTTGTTCTTGATCTTAATGGGAAGGCTTTCAGCTTTTCTCCATTGGGAATAATATTGGCTGTGGGTTTGTCATAGATGGCTTTTATTATGTTTAGTTTTGTTCCTTCTATCCTGAGAATTTTGAGGACCTTCATCATAAATGGATATTGAACTTTGTTAAATACTTTCTGAGCATCTAGTGATACCATCATATGGTTTTTATTTTTCTTTTTTTGATGTGTTGTATTATACTAATTGGTTTTCTGATGTTGAATCATCCTTGTGCCCCTGGAATAAATCCCACTTGGTCATGGTGTATTATCCTTCTGATGCATTGTTGGATTCTGTTGGCTAGGATTTTGTTGAGGATTTTTGCAGCTCTGTTCACTAGGGAAATTGGCCTGTAGTTTTCTTTTTTTGTGTTGTCTTTGTTTGGTTTTGGTATTAGTCTAATGTTGGCTTCATGAAACATATTTGGTAGTATTCTTTCTCAATTTTTTGAAAGAGTTTGTGTAGGATAGGCACTAGTTCATTTCTGAACATTTGGTAGAATTCATTTGTGACTGGTCCTGGGCTTTTTGTTTTTGGGGAGAGTATTGATTACTGTTTCAATTTCACTGCTTGTAATTGGTCTGTTTAGTTGTTTTATTTCTTCTTTATCTAGCTTAAGATGATTATATAGTTTTGGGAATTTGTCCATCTCTTCTAGATTGTTGAACTTGTTTGCATGTAAATGTTCATAATAATCTCTGATTTCTGCTGTGTCTGTCATAATTTTTCCTCTTTCATTTATGATCCTATTTATTTTGTTTTCTCCTATTTTTTCTATATAAGCTTGCCTAGAGGTTTGTCCATTGTTTTTTTTTTTTCCTGAAGAACCAACTTCTGTTGATCTTTTGGATTGTTTTTGTAAATTTCTATTTCATTTATTTCTGCTTTGAGTCTTATTATTTCCTTTCTTATACTGGCTTTTGGGTGTTTTTTTGTTTGTTTTTCTTTTTCTAGTTCTTTGAGATGGGTGATTAGGTTGTTTCTTTGATTTCTTTCTTGTTTCTTGAAGTGAGCCTGTATTGCTATATACATTCCTCTTATTACTGCTTTTGCAGTGTCCCATACATTTAGAAAGTTGTGTCCTCATTGTCATTTGTCTCAAGGTATTTTTTAATTTCTTCTTTGATCTCCTCATTGATCCAATGGTCTTCCAATAGTGTGGGTTTCAATCTCCATGAAATGGAAGAGTTCCTTGCTTTCCGTGGTTTATTTCTAGTTTAATGCCTTTATGATCAGAGAAGATAGTTGGTATGATTTTGATTTTAAAGTCTGTTGATATTTGTCTTGTGGCCCAGTATGTGATCATTCCCAGAGAATGATCCATACACACTTGAGAAAAATGTGTACTTGAATTTTTTTGGGTGCAATGTCCTATAGATGTCTGTTAAGCCTATGAGATCTAGGTCCTTATTTAGGACTCTTGTGTCCTTGTTTATTTTTTGTCTCATTGATCTCTCCATTGGTGAGAGGGGGATGTTGAAGACTCCTACTACATATGTATTTTCTGTAATGTCTGTTTTCAGAGATGATAATAATTGTCTGATATATTTTGGTGCTCCTTCATTTAGTGAGTATATGTTGATGAGTATTATATCTTCCTGATGTATTGCCCACTTAATCATAATGTAGTGACCATGTCTCTTTTTACCTTTTTTATTTTTAAGTCTGTTTTATCTGATATAAGTATAACTGTTCCTGCCTTCTTTTATGGTCCATCAAATTATTACACTCTTTAAACTTAGGTTTTTTACTAAAATTTAGCAGGTTTTATTCTGCAGATACTCAAGTAGTTGTGCGTTTACAAATACCACATGACTTCATGGGCTTACTTATTGGAAAGTATATAAAATTATACTAAATTCTTATACTAAATTCTGCCCAATACAAGTTGAATCAATCTTCTATATTTAAGGAATTTCTTCATAAAACCTTACCTTTCTATTTTATTATTTATTTTTAGATAGATGATGGGAAAAGCATACGTTATAAAGACCTCTATGCACTATTTGAGCAGATTCTGGAAAAAACCATGAGGCTTGAGCAGCGTGATTGGAGTGAATCTCCAGTTAGAGTTTGGGTCAATACTTTTAAAGTGTTTTTGGATGAATATATGAATGAATTCAAGCCTTTGGATTGCATAACCACAAAGGTAAATATGGTATATTTTGACTTCTTTTTTTTTTTCTTTTTTTTAGTTTTTTTTAATTGATTTATACACAAAAGAACTAGTTGTAGGGCAGAGGTGTTGGGGTTGATGGGGGTGTGATGAGAGGATTCACCAGAATAGAGTGGGGAGCAAGAGAGGTGGATCTAGTGAAATACGCTGCTGAGGGGAGCAGTGGGCAAGACAGGAGAGGTCTGCTGCACCATGTGGGTTAGCTCCCTGGCTGGGGATTGAACTCAGGATGTAGCAGTGACAGCGCTGACACTTAACCCCTAGGCCACTAGGGAGGCCCCTATTTTGACTCCTAAAAGGATTCAATTGTGAATATTTTCAGTCTGAGACAGTTTGTATTTGACGAGCATTGTGTTAAGCATGTCAGCTTAGCATTACTGTAGATCTTCCAGACGCCATTCTTTCTTATAAATTGATCAAACCATGTTATCCAAACCTTTTGCAATTAATACTTTCTTCACTGAGTTAAAATATAATGTTGTGCCATCAAGATTATATAGCAGTCAGTATGTGCATTTCTTTTTTGAAAAACAGTGGTTAAAGATGCGATTCTTTGTATCATCTTTACCTTTAGGTAAGGATCCACAAATTATGTTTCTTCTGAATTAGGTTTTAGAAAATGTGTGTTTCTAAAAATCTATATAACAATAATAATCACATTAAGTGCTAGGTATTTGATATTTTATAGCAATTAGACTGTTAAGCAATAGCAGCAAAAGGTAGACAGATTGATTACTAATACAGTTTTTTTCATATCTCTATGTATTTTCAAACTTTATCACACTTCAATCTAATACACCATAAAGTTAATATTATTACTTTAAGGGCAGAGAAAGTGGAATTTAATTAATTTCTTCAATATTGATATTTTATTCAATTCTTGCTTTAGCTCTGATAAATACTATGAAATCCATACTACACAAAATTATCAATGTATTTCCTTTCAGTACCCCAGGTAAAATAATTAGGTATTTAATTACTACTAAGTATCAGATATATTTGTAGTCCTTTTTATTGATTATTTTCCATTTTACTTTTAGTAATTCTACTTTGTATGTGTTTAAATTACTTTCAGTGTGAACTCATTTTGAAGATCTAAATAAATGCTTGAAAGTTCTTCTGTTCTACACCTAGATTAAGCTCTTTATGTTATACAGAGACGGTTTGTTAAAAATTTTAAGTTAGCTTTGGATTGTTCTATATTATGGTTATTTGGAAATGTCATATGTAAAAGAGCTTTTCCATGTCCCAAATAACAACATTTTATATTTAACTCTGGGATTAAGACTTCTTTATAACCAAAATGTAAATTACGATCTTTAAAATTAATTACAACTAGTAAAATAAAATAATGAATTAATATGGCATGACTTCTGGACAGGACTGAGGTTTAAAAAGACAGTCTGTTGCTTTTATGAGCTCTGTGTTTTACCAAACACACACAAAAAAATTCTCATTTTACTGTCACTGCTCAATTGCTCTTTTGGAATAAAGGAAATCTGCTTACTTTCTTCTCTGTTGAGCAAAAATCTTAGTATTTGCAAAGAAGTTAGAAAGTAAATTAATTTTTGTTGTATTACAGTTTCTGTATGTCTTTCCCATCAGGTGCCAAAAACAGAAAGAAAGAAAAGAAGGAAAAAAGAAACTGATTTAGTAAGTTATAATATGTTGGGATTTTTTCATTTGTTTGTTATAAAAATGTAATTTTCAAACCAGCAGCTTGAAGTATACACAAAATTTTTTGTGGCTATAGTTAAGTAATAGGTTTGTCAAGTAACTGAGGGTAATCATTTATGCCTTTACAAAAATTTAGGATGAGAAATATTTCTTGAATTCTGTGACTTGTTATCAATAGTAGCTTCCTAAAATGCCAGAAAACTGCAAATTTTATTCATAAAGGGTAAAAATATGATCCCTTTTAAGTATTAGAGATAAAGGTTTTGCTTTTTATGAATTTTCTCTCTCTTCTAAAGAAAGTAAAACTATTTAGGATTTTGCAATTAAAGTTACTTCTAGTTGGAAAGTCATTTCCAAAAGCATTTGAGCTTATCTTACTATTGTATGTATTATCGTGTTACATGCCTCTGTCTTTATAATAATCTTTTTAATTGCAAGGATGAGTTTAGCATAGAAAAGTTCATAGTCTATTATTGAGGACAGTTATTTAAAGATTATTACTGTTAGATGTGCTACATACTATAGTAGAAATGGTGCAAAGTGCTTTTTAAACACAGAAAGGGAGCATGAAGATATATTTTATAGAAGAATTCTTGACACATGAATAGTAGTTTAGATGGGCTAAGTATCTGGCCAGAGAGAAAAAGTCTGTCCAAATACACATGAGTGAAACACCTGGCATATTGCTCTAACAGCTTTGATTGACTCAAGTGTTGGCTGTTTGTAATGGGGGAAAGAGGATGGTATTGGAAAATTAGATACAAGTCTGGACACTCTACCTTCAAATTATATCTAATAGTTGACCATTTTATACAGTAGTGCAATACAATGCATATTCTTTTTTTTTAAGATTTATTTTACAAGAGCTGAGGTACAGGCCAGAGGTACGGGAGGGTGAGAGGATTCATCAGAGACAGAGGATTCACCAGAGACAGGATTCACCAGGGGAGCAGAACAGGCAGACGGACCAGAAGCACTGCTGAGGGGAGCAGTGGGCGAGACAGGAGAGGTCTGCCTCACCATGTGTCTATCTCCCTGGCCAGCTGGGAATCGAACCCATGCTGCAGAGGCTATGGACAGCCTCACAGTGCTGCGCTCAACCCGCTGTGCCACCAGGGAGGCCCTACAATGCGTAGTCTTGCAATTGGTCTGCCTTCTTATACTCGTTCCCTTTCCTTATAACTCTTTAGTGATATTCAGTGTTCTTAGGCTAGAATATGGAGTTCTTACCATGTGTACAAGATTTAACATGTTCTTGCACTGATTATCTTTCTAAGCTTCATTTTCTTCTCTTTACCCCTATTCTCTCTGCCTAAGCTCAGTTTGCTGCCTTTACCTCCTCTTTCTTCTCCCATATTCATTTTCCCTTTCTAACTTTCCCCTGAAAATGTTAAGTTTTAGGGTCTACAGAGCCTGGATTCACGACCCTGTCAAATTCTAATTCTAGAATATTCATTGTTGACCTTAGTAATAAATCAGAATTGCAAGTCCATCTCCCTATCACTTGTAAGCCAATCTCTAAGGTCTTTTAGATCATTGCTTATAGCTTTTCCACTATGATGTCTTTTACAGCTATTTGCCTGTTGAAAGTTTCTTCCTTTTCTTAGGTACAGAATTGTGAAAGTAGTATAGTATGTCTAAGCCCCTGGCTGAGCTTACATCTGTTCCTCAAAGGAGGATTTTTGAATTGAAAGGCTTAGATAAGACTGAGCCTCAGTTTCCTAAAAGTAGGAATAATGCTTCCATCACTAGATTTTTGTGAAGATTAAACAAGATTGTATACAAAGGAAAGGGTAGGAAGGCTTATTACTAACAGGTACTGTTTAGGCATCCTATATACTTTAAGTCTTAAAAGAATAATCTTTCTCATTTAGGAAGAAATACCTAAAGATAAAAATGAGCAAAGAATATGAGATAAAAGACAAATTTTTCATTGTATTCTATTTTGTGCATTTGATTCACTCAGAATAAAGGAAGTTTTTTTTATTTTTTGATACTTTTAAAAATCAAGGTAGTATTAGTTTACAACACTGTATATGTCTCAGAAATACAGGATTCCCATCTCTTCAGATATGTTACGACAACATACCAACCACCATGGCACCCACATTCTTCTACCATATTCCATTGTGCCCCTTCCTCTCCTCTCTCAATTCCTCCTTTCTCTCTCTAGTAACCTCAGTTTTACCTTCAGATTTTCAAGATTTGTTTTTGTTTTTGTGTTGTCTAAATATTTATTTCTCTGTATCCACATATGAATGAAACTATCTGTATTTCTCTTTCTCCTTCTGTCTTATTTTACTTAGCATAGAATAAATTTTTAATGAAAATTTTAACATTAGATTTCTATAGAAGAAAATAATGTGCGTATGTGCAATTTACAACTTCACTGGGTAGAATGATGTTTGTGAGATAAAATATCAATATCTGGGAATATTTGAGACATCCTAGAGCAAAGCCATATTATAAAACTGGGATAGATGAACCATAGTTGATATTATTTCACTTAGTTACTTATTTATTTAAATCCTTGAGGAAAAAAATGATACTCCCCTACTATGTATATTTTTTTGTTTTTTTTTTTGATTGATTGATTGGTTTGTTTGTTTGTTTATACATACAAGCACTGGATACAGTCAGAAGCGCAGGAGGGTGAGAGAATTCACTAGAGCCAGAGCAGGGAGCTGAGCAGGCAGAAGGACCGAAGTACACTGCTGAGGGGAGCAGCGGGCAGCAGGAGAGGTCTGCGCGCCATGTGGGACCCTCCTCTGGTGGCGGGGGATTGAACCGGTGCTACAGAGCCTGCGGGCAGCTTCGAAACCCAGCGCTCAACCGCTGCGCCACCGGGGAGGCCCCCTACTATGTATTTTGATACACTCAGTGTTACCTCAGAACTAATTCTTCTATAATTGTATAGTTCATTGATTTTTAGTATACTTATATAGTTGCAACCATCACAGCAATCAGATTTTAGAACATTTGTATCACCCCAAAAGAGTTTTTTATGCCAGATTGTAGTCATTGCCTTTTACCACCCTCACACCCAACAAGTACTAATGTGCTTTCTGATTCTATAATTTTGCAGTTTGGGGACATTTCATATAAATAGAATTATACAAGTGTGGTGTTTTTGCATATGATTCTTATTATAATTTTTTTTTAAGGATTTATTTATACGAGAACAGAAGTACGGGCCAGAGGCACGGGAGGGTAAGCGGATTTAACAGAGACAGAACAGGGAACAGACCAGGCAGACTGATTGAAACGCTGCTGAGGGGACCAGTGGGTGAGACAGGAGAGGTCTGCCACGCCATGTGGGTATCTCCCTGGCCACCCAGGAATTGAATCCGCGTTGCAGAGGCTGTGGACAGTTTCACAGTGCAGCGCGCAACCTGCTGTGCCACCGGGGAGGCCCCCTCTTATTATAATGTTTTGAGGTTTATCAGCAACTTGGTCTTTTTAGTGCTGAAATACCATTCTCTGTTATGGGTATAGCACATTCTGTTCATCATTTAATAGATATTTGGGTTGTTTCTACATTTTTATTTTTATGAATAATGTTGCTGTGATCCTTTGTGTATAGGTTTTTGTATAGACATGTTTTTAATTCTCAGGTATAAACCTAAAGTGGAATCTTTGTCTTATATAAACTCTGTTTAACATTTTGAGAAGCTTCCAATCTTTTTTTCAGGTGATTTGTCGTTTATAATTCTACCCGCAATATGAAGGGTTCCAATCTTTCCACATTCTTACCAACAGTTGTTACTACTATAATACCCAGTCATTTTAGTGGACAGGAAGTGACATTTCATCATGTTTTTAACTTGCATTTCCTTGATGATTAATGATTTTGAGCTTATTTCATTTACCAGTTAGCTTTTTATATTTTTATGAATTTTCTATTCAGAATTGCCCATTGTTAACTTGAGTTATATTCTTATTGAGTTGTAAGTTTTCATATTTTCTGGGTAGAAGTCCTTTATCCAGTTACATGATTTGCAAATATTTTTTTCTTTTGATATTCTTAATGGTACTTTGAACTTAAAAGTTATAAACTTTAATGAAGCTTAGAACAGTGTATTTTGATGTTACAAAGAATGAAGAGTTCATTGGTATAGTTTTAGATCTTATATTTCAGTTAACCTTTAACTAATTTGTCAGTTGTAGAGTTTTGATGTATTATTATCTGACAGAACAAATTATTATTCCACTTCCTAGTTCTATATCTGTACGAAACTGGATTATCTTTTTTTTTTAAAGACCCATTCGTTTATGCATGCAAGAACTGGGGTACAGGCCAGAGGTGAGGGAGGGGTGAGAGGATTCACCAGAGACTGAGCAGAGAGCAGAGCAGGCAGACTGACTGAAATACACTGCTGAATGGAGCAGTGGGCGAGATTGGAGAGGTCTGGTGCCCGATGTGGGTAGCGCCCTGGCTGGCCAGGGTTCTAATTCCTGCTGCAAAGGCTGTGAATAGCTTCACAGTGCTGTGCTTAACCCCTTGCGCCACCAGGGAGGCCCTGGATTATTTTGTTATATGTCAAACTCAGCTGCTTACTATCAGCAGATTGAATGCAGAGGTAGATAGAAGAATCCAAGTGTCTTTTTTTGAGCCAGACATTAGAGATATTTATAAAAATGTAAAACAGTACTCCTCATCTCATTAATTTGTTTTAAAGAAACAGTTGTTTTTCCTGAAGATGTTACTTATGTAACATGTAGTATGCTTAATGTTAATTTTAAGGGAATTTAGCAAATACATTTTTTCAGTATTAGTTTCTAGTGTTGTAAATATCAATAGGTTTAACTCATAAATAGGAGTTATTTAAGGTCATCAGTTTTCAAAAATATAAAAGGCTCTTAAAGTTAAAAATAAAAATTTGGGAACTTCTGCTTATTCAGAGTCATAGAAAACATCCCTTATATGTCTGTTGTATTGTTTTCTGATTTTCATATAAATTGGTCTCTACTAGATTTTTAGTTTTTTGAAAACAGAAGCCATGTATTTTAGTCTTTATTTCCCGGATGATCAAAAATCTGTAATAAGTGCCCAGTGAAGATTTCACAAGAATTTGATGGATTTCCCATTGACTGAGCATGTTAGGGCAGTGTTTATTGTGTTGCCTTTAACATAAATAGCTTTATTATTTTCATTCAGGTGGAAGAGCACAATGGTCACATCTTTAAGGCTACCCAATATAGCATCCCTACATACTGTGAGTACTGTTCTTCTTTGATATGGATAATGGACCGAGCCTCAGTTTGCAAATGTAAGTATGAGAGTCCTTTTTTATTAACCAGTTGACATTTGTATTTTCTTAGTTTCTTGTATCTTCTTTAACATAAGGGAGTAATTCATACTCTGTATTCTTTAGCCCCATCTCTCATTATACTCTCATTTATTCTCTGTAGCCAAATAATATATTTTGGTGGATTTTGGTCAGTGTATATGTAATTCTATCTTAAATACTCTTCTAGATATTGCTGTACTTACTGTTTCAATTAATTCATGTGTCCACCAGGAATTACCTCTTAGAGAACTCTCCGTACTTTCCTATCTAAGATCCACCCTGTCCCCAAATTCTGTCCCCTTACTCAACTTTAAGAGTTTTTATAGCAGTTATCAGCATCCCAGATTATATTATTTTCATTTGTCAGTCTGTTCCTCTTGAATGTATGTTCTGTAAGGTTAAGAAACTTATTGTCTTCAGCATCAATGCCTAGAATGGTTCTACATATTGTAAGTTTCAATAAATATTGTTAGGTAGATGGATGAATGAATTAATGAAAAGATCCATAGGTATAACCAAAAAGGACTTTTTCCTATTGTGAATCTAAGAATGTGTGTAGAGATTTTTTTGTAGGTGAACTTGGATCTGGTTTACAGAGGTCCTTTAGCTTCCATTCCCTCCATTGTGACATCAACTCTGGTGCATTCAGTAATTCTACAAGGCTTTGAATGGAAAGGCTTGGTGTTCAGTATAATAGCATGGGTAAAAGTCACTTTATCATAATGAAATCACCACCATTGTTGGATATTTCCACAGTTCAGCAGTGGCTTTCCTTGTTTATTATCAGTAGTCCAAAAAATTATAGTGAAAGTGAAAATAGGAAGTACATTGACATGTTTAATGTTAATCTGATTCCTGTGTAAGTTTTGGTATTGTTCTCTCTGTAAGTTGAAACTACAAGTTTGAATAGTCTGCTTTTTTATGGCTTGAATGTAGTTGGTTAACTTTCTTTGTGATTATACTTGTGATTTTCCCAGTACAATGATACAACCTCTCCTACTTGATCTTAACCTCGAAAACCCAAGTTCTACTTTAGAAATTTAAAGATATTTGGGTGTTGGTGTGCAGGAGCCAGAGCTGGTACAGGGAAATGACATAAATCAAGTATGTTCTCAGATTCAGTGTGCCTCTTACTAGCTACCAGCTTCTTAGCCACCTGTTACCTTTTGCTACAGGAAGATATTTCTGCTCCGAACCTTTTCTATATATCATTTCTCCAAGTACAACTGATATTCTTTAAGTTCTGGTTGCTCAAAACTCTATCTAGACCTTCTAATATTATAAATAAGTCCTTTCATGTATCTTAATGTGCTACACAATTTGTTTTTATTTCAGCAAGTTTATTGGCAATAAAGCCTTCCTTGCACACTGGTATATCTGGTGTTTTAGCAAATTATAGAACAAATATATTAAGAGAACATGAGTACTAAATTGTGAGTCAAACCGCAAAGATAGATATTTTCCTTAAGTATGGCAGGGGCTGATGGAGGGATGGGAAATCTTGAAAGAATAAAATTTTTTTCATAAATAGTGGTTAGAAATTTTAGGCACATTTTCAGCTCCATTTTTCCAAGTAATATGTGTTTCTTATTACTTTTTTATTCTAATGCCATATAAAGTGTGTGTGTGTGTGTATACATTGCAGTAGTCTCTAATTTAAAGAATTCATGTCTGGAATACAGTTGTAAACTAGTTGTTTAATTGATACGCAGACTTCTAAAAATACTGCATTCTTAACCTGTTTTTCAGTATGCAAGTATGCTTGCCATAAGAAGTGCTGTCTAAAAACCACAGCCAAATGCTCTAAAAAGGTAAGAAGTTGACCCCTATGAATAATAAATAATAAATCTGTTAGTTTTTTGTGCCTCATGGAAAGAAATAAGCCTCTTGCTGGATTAGAGCAGTGGTTCTGAAACACTTTGACCACAAATCACAGTTATAAATACATTTTATTTTATGATCCAGCATACATACCCTAGAGGGATAAGTATATAAAACTGATAGGATTTTCTTGGGTAACTATATTTACCCTTACTTCATGGGAGCTACTAAACCTTAGTGATTTTACCACAAAAAAATTACAGAACACTGCTTTTAAAGGTTCCTGTGTCTTCAGACACTCCTAGGAACTGTCTTGAAAGTGGTAAAGTATAATTAAAGATTTTTCATTTGAATAGCAAAATTCACCCCCATAGTTGATATTTTTACACATTTCTACTTGGATGGTAGATACTGAACGTGCATTCGTGCCTTACAGCTCAAAGAGGAAACTGTTTTTGAAAGATTTCAAACTTTGATTGAATATAACCACTTTTTTTTACTTCTTAGTCACATACTGACAATTGTAACAATTCTCTACAAATCTGAACTATAACATACATATGTCTGTGTATTGTTTACAGTCTGCATAGAGTTTGCATCTGTTTCAAATGAGTATACAAATCATGGTAAAATACAAAGAGAAATTTCATTAGGGACTTAAAATATAATGAAAGTGAAACAGTAGCTTCCAATGGAGTCACTTGTGGCAAAGTGATGCTCCTGCTGAGAACACTGGGGGGCAGGGGTAGGGTGGGAGTGGGGTGGGGTGGAGTTTGTTACCAAGCATCAGAGAACTGCCCAGGCAAATTGTACCTTAGGAGACCTATATTGTAAAGAGAAGATAAATGCACATAGTAAATCTGTATTAGTGGGATGGTTTTTCTCCTAGTGGGAATTTGTCAGTTCTTATAGGGCAAGAAATCAAACTTCTAGGCAGAGGGGCATATTTAAGAGTCAGAAGCCAGCGAAGTTTTTAGGGATCTCATAGGACTCTAAGATACAAAAGTACTTAGCTCCACACACTAACACTAGCAGCTTAGCATTAATTTTAGGGTAAGGTCTGTGTCTTTATTTTCCTCTCACCTGTCACATAAATGACATGTTTATAATAAGACTGGAAGAAAAATTAGCATCAACTCAAGTAATATCTTGAATTTCAGACTCAAGAATGTTTGTAACTTGATATATACTAATTAGACACTGATAGTTTTTGAGGATAATAAATAGATTGTATATACAATAGAATATATTAAAAGTGGAGAAAGTGGATATGCGGAAATTTGTCAAGAAACTGTCAGAATAATCTAAGTGGGCAGTGATAAGGGTTTGAATTAGTGTGAGAACAGAAAAGAAAAAGTAGAGTGTACTGATGGACTCAGAGATCTTGGGACTGGACACAAGCTGAAGGAGACAGCGAGGTGTACAATGTTGAGTTAGGGAAGGAGAATTTTACAAAGGAAGGAAAGAACAAGAAAGATTTTCCAAAAAAGGTTACAGTTTTCAGGGATAATGTCTGGCATTTTTCCCTTCTTTGAATTACCTTGAATAATCTTAAGGTTAAGCACTTCTGTTTCAGTCACATAAATTTTATATATTTAGTAAGATATGCTATCAGACACACTCCTGAAACCAATTAAAAAAAGAGCTTAGATCACTAATCATGGGTCAGTGTGCCTTTACCTGTTGTCATCAATGTCCAGTTAAACTTCCCTAATGTTTACATAAACATCAAAGCATTCTTATGTTTCAGAAATTGACAATTCTAATTCATATGAAATGATAGATTTCCTAATGATAACTGGTATGTAAATGTTTAGCATACAAAGTCTACGCCCCTTGTCCCTTGCCCAAATATCACCTTTACATTAAGAGATTTTTATTAAGAAGGGAAATAGTACAGTTACAATATATTCATTTGCAACTCATTATTTTTTTTATTCTTTTATTTGTATTATTTTTTATTTGCGTAACATTAGTTTATAATATTGTACTTGATTACAGGGTATATTTTTACATCTCTTTAGATGTACATTACCACATCACTCTTACCACCAAAGCACCATAATCCTCTACTATAGCCCATTGGGACCTCTCCTTCCTTTATTCCCCATACCTGTTCTTTCCTTCAAGTAGCCTCAATTCTACAATCCAATTTCCAGAGTTTGTTTTGGTTTAGTTTTGTCTGTTTCTTTATATTCCACAAATGAGTGGAATCATGGAATTTTTTTAAGTGAATCAGTGTTGCTTTTACATCACTGTTTATATTTTGGGAGTATAGGATTTCCTCCTTCCCTCCCTTTCAGGTATTACTGCCTTTTCCCTTCTGATATACTTTGCTTCACGAAATCCCTTCTGGTTACATCCATGTTGTCTAAGATGAGAAGATTTCATTTTTTTTTTTTTAATAGTTGAGTAGTAGTCATTGTGTATATATGCCACATCTTCTTAATCCACTTATCTGTCATAGGAACACAGCTTGTTTCCATGACATGGTTATGTAAGTAGTGCTGCAATGACCATAGGAGTACATATATTCCTTCAAATTAGTGTTTGTGCATTCTTTGCATAGTTACCTGGGATTGGAATTGCTGGATCATATGGCATATGTATTTTTAACATTTTGAAAGACCTCCACACTGTTTTCCATAGGAACTAGACCAATGTACATTCCCACCAACAGTGTATGAGGGTTCCTTGTTCTCTACATTCTCAACAACACTTGTTGTTTCTGGTCTTTTTGATATGGGCCATTCTCACAAGTGTGGGGTGATACCTCATTTTGGGTTTTGACCTGAATTTCCCTGGTGATAAGTAACGATGAACATTTTTCTGTGTGTGTTCCTGTTGATCATCTGTGTGTCTTGTTGGGTGAAGTGTCTGTTTAGCTCTTCAATCCCATTTTTTAATTGGGTTATTTTCATTTTTTGAGTTGGGTAAGCTTGTGTATATCTTGGCTATTAGCCCTTTGTCAGCTGTATTATGTGCAAACATTTTCTCTTCTAGTAGGGTGTCTTTTCATTTTCATCATAGTTTCTTTAATTGTGTAGAAGCTTTTAGTTTAATGTAGTCCCATTTGTTTATTTTTGCTTTTTCAAATCTTCTCATTACAGTTGAGTCCCCAAAGACATCTCTGAAGCTAATGCCTCAAGGTTTTTTTGGCCTATTTTCTTCTACATATATTATGATTTCAGTTCTTAGATCCAAGTCTTTAATCAATTTTGTTACTTTTTTTGCATGGTATGAGGCAATGCTCTAGTTTCATTCTTTTGCATGAAACTGTCCACCTTTCCCACCATTATTTGTTGAAGAGACTTTCTCAATTGTATATTCTTGGCTCCTTTGTCATTAAATTAACTGTTCATATATATGTGAGCTTATTTCTTCCCCCATTATTTTGGAGGGATGCCTAGTAGGGGGAACGGGGACTTATAGGTGAATTGGGACTTACTTATACTCTCATCATTAACCATTATTTGTTTTCCCTCCGTTGCTCATAAATGTGCACATAAAACTCAGAGAAGTAAAATGTAGTCCCCCTTGAAGAATTTATTAAAAACGTTTAAAGATATTTGAATACATTTGGTAACAAAAAATTGTCTTCCATTTAGTATGATCCAGAGCTGTCATCTCGGCAGTTTGGAGTTGAACTGTCCCGTTTGACCAGTGAAGATAGAACTGTTCCTTTAGTGGTGGAAAAGCTCATAAACTATATTGAAATGCATGGGCTGTATACAGAAGGTATTTACCGAAAGTCTGGTTCAACTAATAAAATCAAGGAGCTTCGACAAGGTCTAGATATAGGTAAGATACTACCCTTCGAATCAAGACCGAATATTTTTTATTTAAATACTTCATTTCATGCTGTTAAAGTTTTCATTGCATATTTATCCTTTTCTTGAAAACAGAAGAAAGCAATCTTTTCTGGGTTTCTTGTTTTGTTACTTTCTAAAGAATCTTTGTATTTATATGGTTAATTCAGCAAACATTGATTGTGTGTCACTTGTGCAAGGAATCATTAGGTACTTCAGACAGATGTCATTTAATCTTCCTAATGATCTTGTAAGATCATGCTATCTATAGTTTACAAACAAGACTATTTGGATTCAGGGAGATTAAATTGTTGCTGATACATGGCTCTGTGCTTATGTTTTTATATTAATCCTCACAACAATCTTATGAATTTGGAATTATTATCCCTATTTATAAATGAAGAAACTGAGGCCTACACAGGATTTGACTACCAATAAATGAAAATGCTGGAATTTAACCCCAGACCATTTGAATCTGTAATCTAAACTATTATCTATTCTAATATTCAGACTAATTGTTCTTCCAGTGCATCTGTTGCTATTCTATATTAAGGACATAGTTATTTAAGCTGATAAATAGGTTGAATGTGTATCTGTGTAGAACTCTACCCTCAGTCCTGGAATGTATTCAGGGGTATGTCTTTGATTTCATTTTCAGCTTCTACTCTTCACCATTGTTAGGAAGGAATAGATCTTTTTGAAACAAATGTAGGTCCAGTGTTTATCTTGTGCACATGCTTTTTCTGGATTAATGAACAAATCAGGTATTTTTAAATGAACAAATCAGCATGGAAACATGAATAAAATTTCCCATTAAACTCAAATAAGCTGTTCTGCGTATAGGAGACTCAGTTTAGTTCAGTTTCAGTGTAGTGTTTAGTTGTCTCTTGTACCTCTTCACTTGCACAAGTGAAAAATCTTTCATCTTCTATCCTTCCTATCGTCTCATCTATTTAACCTTAGGAAGTTTCTAAGTGAAACAGTGTAATACATGTAATGTTTTCTTTATATTTCACAAGTTCAATTATTACTGTTCTTTCATTTCTAAGAATCACTTCAAATCAGACGTACTTTCAGAACATGTCCTCTGGCCCTTTTTTTCATTTGTCATATATAAACTGCTACTGAAAGTGTAATTCACAGACCATTCTACAAGATAAGTGCAGAAATTGAGAGGACACATTTAGAAACAGTGGTTTAACAGTGCTTTCACAGGAAAATATGTAATATTTTATTTTATACATCTATCAGTCCACAACAGATTTGGAAAACAAACAAGAACTGTTCCTTTGCCACAGTTAGAAGCATTCGTTCCAAAGCAAGGAATTGGATTGTAAGGTCTAAGTAAGCCAGTTTAAGAACTTGAAGGCTTCGGGCCTCCCTGGTGGCGCAATGGGTTAAGCACCGCACTATGAAGCAATCCGCAGCCTCTGCAGCATGAGTTTGATCCCCAGCCAGCCAGAGAGCAACCCACATGGTGCAGCAGACCTCTCCTATCTCGCCTGCTGCTCCCCTCAGCGGTGTATTTCAGTCAGTCTGCCTGTTCTGTTCCCCACTCTGTCTCTGGTGAATACTCTCACCCCAGCTCTTGTATATATAAATAAATAAATCTTTTAAAAAAAAAAGAATATGAATGCTTCTTTTGATAATGATAGTTTCTAAAGTAAGTTGTTTGAATCCCTTTGCATATTTTGGCCTTGCTATCTAACTTTTGTCTCTAAACAGATGCTGAAAGTGTAAACCTCGATGACTATAACATACATGTCATTGCAAGTGTATTCAAACAATGGCTTCGTGATTTGCCCAATCCTCTCATGACATTTGAGCTTTATGAGGAATTTCTTAGAGCTATGGGTAAGCACATGCTTCCTGGGTTCAAGGGATGGCCTGTACTTGGGAAAGGGCTACCAAATTCATAATATATTATTTAGCAGTCTTCTCCTGTTTGGTCTATATAGATCCAAAGGTAAACTTTTGACAGTCATTATGAAACTGCCTGTTTACTTTCACCTATTCAAATAGGTGTCCTAAATTATTAATGTCCTAAAAACTTTTCTGACTAAGTCATTTAGTTGCTTTTCACAAAGAGATTGAAAGACTAGGATTATAAACAAAAGATTAAACAGGTTATTTAAAATGATTTATGTTCATTTGTGAATCTAAACTAAGCAAGAACTCTATATATGCTGACTGTCTTTTATGCCAGGCCTAACAGGTTAGGAAGTTTAGTTTCTAACACCTCACAGTTTTTAGGCCTTGAGGCATATTCCTCAAATTTCTATAAGACTGATTTATAAATTCCAAGAGATCCTCTTAAATAATGTTATTTTGTTTAATGTTGTTTTATTATGTTGGGAAAATAAAAACATTGATTCCCTTTCTGGTCCACTGTCCACGTTGAATGTGCATATTCCTCCATTTTCAATATGGGATTCTCCAGCTACTCTGGTTTCTTCCCACTTCCCAAATATGTGCACATTAAGTTAGTTTGTCTAAATTTCCCAGTCTGAGTATGTGCCTGTAAACTACATCCTGAAATGGAAGGGTGGGGATCAAGGTTGATTCTTGCCTTGTGCCCTGAGCTATCATACCATTGGCTGCTTGTGACCCTAAAATAGAATAAGCAGGTTTGAAAACAAATGAATACAAATTATTGTTTAATTTTAGATGTCTTTTGGATCTTTAGAAGTTTGGTGATGTTTTTGTGACCTAGTAACTTAAATTCTTGTTTACATTAATTAGCCTGTGTTAAAAATGGTTTCATTATACATCATTTTACTTAGTTGTAGTTTCTGAGAAAGAATCTATTGATGACATTAAATGAGCGCTTACTGTAGATGATGATTTATGGGGAATCATTCTGTCAGAAGATGCTGGAGAACTAGGGATCTCTAGAGCCTTTGCTCTAATCAAGGATTCCAAGGATGTAGATTGAAACTCCATAGACTGCTCAGTAAATATAGGACTCAAGCAAAAGAAGATTAGGTTTTCTCTGCTATTTATAACTAGAACATTTTTATTTGGTATGATTTGGTATTCTCTTTTTTTTTGGGGGGGGGCCTGGGAATGCTACTACCATTTAACATATATAGAAAAAATTTTGAGTATACCGAGACTGACCATATTAGGCTACTCATGGCCCTTCCTACCTATTGTCTGTTCAGAAGGAAGATGTAGCATCTGAGAGGTGATATTCAGTGTTATTTGTTACTGTTACTGTTTTCAGGCCTTCAGGAGAGAAAAGAAACTATACGTGGTGTATACTCTGTGATTGACCAGCTCTCTCGAACTCATCTCAGTACACTGGAACGCCTCATATTTCATCTAGTCAGGTAACTTCATAAAGCATAGGAAAGTTTAATTGTTCTCTTGGATGTTTAAAATGAATGAAGAAGTCCTCTATTTGGAAAATTGATAGTTTTTTCCCCCTATTTATAAAAAGTCAGTGCCTCAAACAGGTGGTTACGATTCCTTGGAGCAGAATTTTTCAGCTGCAATGCAGATGCTTCTCTGCCCTGTTTGAGCCATGTAACAACTTCAGCCTCATGGTGGCACTGTGTCGCCTAACCTGTAGTCTAACTACTGAGCTAGAAAAGGATGTGTATCTGTTGACATAACCTAATTCATAGGAGATACTTTCAGATTGTGCTCAGGAATTGACTGACCAAAAGATTTCAGGAGTAGTCTCTTCTAATTGTAAACATCAGCAGTAGTTAGTAATAAGGCCACTTTTATTTTTGGATAAATATCTTATATGATGGTTTCACAGTGCCTTAAAGTCTCTACACTGCTTTTTTCAGACATGTTGATTTAGTAATAATGACCTTGAGCAGAGGGTCACAAATTTCCTTTGATCAACTGTCTCTGCACTACATTACTTCAAGAAGAAGCGAATGAAAGTGCATTTTCTAGAGGCAAAGGAAGAGCTTTGGGGAAAGTCTGAAGTATCTCCCTATAACTGATACGTATTTTCAAATACTCTGCAGTCAATGTCCTATGTCTTCTTCTATCTCTTCTGCTTTACCTTACTGTTTTCCCTTTATATTCTCCTTTTGTTTTGTTTTGTTCTTAGGATTGCTCTACAGGAAGACACTAATCGAATGTCTGCTAATGCTTTGGCCATTGTGTTTGCCCCTTGCATTCTCCGCTGCCCTGATACCACTGACCCACTACAAAGCGTGCAGGACATCAGTAAGACTACCACGTAAGGCCATTCACCATCACCTCTGCAAGACCCAGGGACTTCTGAGTCAGTGTACTCACTTCATCCAAATACCAAACATAGTAGTGATTTCTTGAGTTCTAGATACCATTAGGTTTCCTTATTCTAAAGAAGAAAAATTCTTTAGCTTCTATTCAACTGAGTGTCATTAGTTTCAAAAGGTATTATTTTTTAATTTTGGTTTTCTTTTTTTTAATCATCCCATTGTATATTTTTAAACATTTTTTTTTTTTAATTTTTTTTTTTTATAGAGGCATGTTTTTATTTATTTATTTATTTGTTTGCTTGTTTATACATGCACTGGGTACAGTCAGAAGCGCGGGAGGGTGAGAGAATTCACCAGAGCCAGAGCGAGGAGCAGAGCAGGCAGAAGCGAAGTACACTGCTGAGGGGAGCAGCGGGCGGCAGGAGAGGTCTGCAAGCCATGTGGGACCCTCCTCCGGTGGCCGGGAGCAGCCGGGGATTGAACCGGCGCTGCAGAGGCCGCGGGCAGCTTCGCAACCCAGCGCTCAACCGCTGCGCCACCGGGGAGGCCCCCATTGTATATTTTTTATTTTATTTTAATTTATTTATTCATACAAGAACTCAAGAACTGGGGTGTAGGCCAGAGGTGAGGATGGTGAGAGGATTCACCAGAGATAGAGTGGGGAGCAGGATAGGCAGATCTACTGAAATACACTGCTAAGGGGAGCAGCGGGCAAGACAGAGAGGTCTGCTGCACCATGTGGGTCAGCTCCCTGGCTGGGGATCAAACTCAGGCCACAGTGGCTAGCAATAGCTTGATAACACCGAGACTTTAACCCCTGTGCCACCAGGGAGGCCCTAAATTTGGTGAAAGAAAACTTAATTCCATTTTGCCAAGTTACATATATTTTGTATCTTCCTATAATCTAGTCTAACTTTGATCTTATAACTCTGAATCCCTTTGGTTATATTTCTTCAGTAGTATTGTATTTCACCATGGCCTTTTTCTCTGGGCCTCTACTTTCCTTCTAGATTAGTTAACCATGACTGCAAAAGGACATATAAAGAAGTACTGGTATATGTCCCGTCCCCAGATAGTCTGATTTAATCAGTATGGAGTGTGACCTGGGTATTGAGAATCAGATAGATACTAAAATCAGTATAGCCAACATTGTGAACCACCATCCTAAACCCTGTTTTTAAGCTCAAAATGAGGAATGTTGATTTTTTTCCCCCACTCACCCACCACCTATAACTTTTAACTGAAAAGTGGTCTCTAAGTGCTACATATTAATTTACTTTTGTTTTTAACAGTTTCCTTTCTTTTCTCCTATCTAGCTGCGTGGAGCTGATTGTTGTGGAACAAATGAATAAATACAAGTCTCGTCTCAAAGACATCAGTAGCCTAGAATTTGCTGAGAGTAAGGCAAAGACCAGGCTGTCACTGATTCGTCGATCAATGGTAAGATGCAAAATGTGGAATCACAGGGAAAACTGGGATTTTAATTGTACATTTATGATGCAGAAAGAGAGATTATTCTCCAATCTGTTCCACATGGATCAAGTAAAAAAAAATTCACCAAATCTAAGAATACTGTGAGTGCCTTGTGTTTAATCTTTTAGTTTTCTTTAGGATATATACAGAATACTTGCAGTTAAATGTGCAGAATGTTTTTAATCAAGTAATTTTTAAAAAGTATATGGGAATATTGGTGGTTTAATAATCTGCCTTGTTTTCTTTTCCTGTCCTTTAATGAAACTTAACCTGTCTTAACATTATTCTCTACTTCCTTCCACCATTGTTTCCACCTTCAACCCTGTCAATGTGGTGGTTCTGCTAAGATTCCTGGGCCATAGAGAACTTGGTCATTTGTAAGAATATGATTCATAAAGAAATGGAATTCCATCTATCAGTCTACTGTTATCAAAAGCTCTTTAAGGTTTTAATGTTGAGTTTTGAGAAAAGCCTTGCAAAAATGATTTATTTCCTCCATTTGCCACTTTTCTGTTTGTCTATCTTCCTTTACCTTTATATAGATAACTTCACTGACCTGTAGGGTTTGGGTAGCTGGAAAATCGCTGCGTTTGTCTAATTATTGCCCATTTTCTATCCTCACCTTGATTGTAAAACAAAACTATAGTGATGAACATCCACTCAGATTCCCAGTAAATCTCTAAATAGCAGCAGACTGCCCATACTTTTCCAGGATCCCAACAATACTTCTTCCATATCTTCATAGTTCACACTTAGATTAGCATTAAAGTAACTGTTTCTTCCTTTTAATATTTAAACTGGCATAGGACAAATGCTCAACACATGCCTATTGATTCTTCTCTGAAACCTAACAATAAACTTATTTCAGACCATAAAGGTATTAATTAACTAAAACTCATCATAGAGCACTATTTAAATCTTATCCTCAGAAAATGAAAAAAGAGACTCCATTTAAAAGTGAAGCCCTTCCTGTAATATGAATTTTCAGGATTGCCCAAGTTAGCAGGGAAGCTAAATTTTATTATAAAGCTGCTTTTCAAAGTGAGTAGACAAACTATTCCTTTCTTTCTTTCCTTTTATTTTTTTTTTTTGGCACTGATACTGCAGAAGATGGATATATTCAATCCATTAAAAGATTAAACTTCTTTTAAGGGGCAATGATATGTACTTTCTAACCTTCTGCTTTCCTTTTCCTGTCCTTCCTAATCCAGAAACCTGTACTAATTGCAGTTAGATTTATGAGCATTACCCGCAATTCAGTCTCGGTATGTATTAATACTGCAATGTGTCACAGCCACTTTACATTATTGTCTCATCCATCCAGGAGTTGTTCTACTCTGTCTATCATTCATGCCTGTCTACCCTCCATGTGCAGCCCCAATTCAAGTCCCACTTTCTGGCCAGCCTTCACTTAAATTTTCTTACTCTATTTCTGTAGAATCTTTTTTTCCTTTATTTTTCACAGGTGAACAGTGTCCATTTACAATATTCTAATTTTTCCTCTTTGTCAGATAGCCTCTTTGTAGATCTCTTCTTTGCTTGAATTGTTAAAAGGTGAATATTGTAAGCAAATTAATTTCTGCTCTATGACATTTGTTCTCATCAGTCTCTTCTACTTTATCACTTGAAATATCTGGTGTCACTTTTAGCAATAATTTTATTCCACTCATAGCTGTGACTTAGATGTTACCTTCTCAGACACAGAAGCATGGATTAGCATTTTTTAGCCAGAGCATCAAGTAGTAGGGAGCAAACTGATTCTAGTCTTAAATATCATAGAATAGTGAGGCTAGACTTTGTTAGACTTAAATATTATAGAATAGTGATGCTCACAACAGTGTATCATTAATCATACAAAAAAGGAATGGAAAAATGGAAAACTAAGAACATCAATATATATGAAAACTAATTTCAGAGGCTGTCCATCTATGTATAATCCAATTTGTTGAGAATCTCATTTTGTTGGAATATAAATACAAATCAGGTTTGCTTTTTATCTAGTAACGGCCTCTTAACTATACCATGACAAACCCTACCCCCCGCTTTCATATAGGATACCAACTGCCATCAGAGCATCTTATCACTATTACAAGTTTCAAAAACTTTGGTCTCATTCCAGTATTTAAGACTTAGTTCTTTTAATAACTTCATCTATGGGCTTGATCTAGTATTCTTATCACTTTCTTCCGGGACAGAAGACATTAATCTGGGATTGAAAATTAATAACAGAGGTTCTTGTTGCCTGACATGTCTGCCTTCCTTCTTCTTTTGGTGTTGAAACTGGGAGGAATGATGGGGAGGCAGAATTCTGCGTGATATCCAAATGTTGAGATGGCAGTCCTCTTTCTTCGTCATTTAATACTACTATTGAAGCTCATGGTTAGTAGGCTAAATGAAAATGAATGGTAGTTTCTACTTACCATGTTGACTGTAAGCTCAATCCCATGCCATTTCCATGGGCACTGATAATTACGTTAAAAGATTTGGTTGTATCTTCTGGCTAAACCCTGAATGATGACATTCACACCTTGTGACTCTGATATATATCTTTTCTGCTTCAAGATAATACCCAGTCAGATTTATCTCCCAGTGCCTACAAGCACAGTGGGGCAAAGTTACATTTTTCTTACCTTTTAGGACTCAAAAACTTACGGTAGGTAGTGGTCTTGCCTAGCCTGTTGATATAAATTCTAGCTTTCTATCTGACACTTTTCCATCACATTCTCTCCTCTTTTCACTTTTCTGTGTGCATATAATAGAGGGATAAATCAGTAAGTCTTTTTTTCCTACACTGATAACCAAACAGGCAATGCATTACAGGTCTGCCTTTCTTTTAGATGATCTCAAACTTTGATTCTTGCCCTCTGGATTCAGATAAAACAAGTCCATTTTTTCCCCTAAAAGGAGAGGAACTATCCTCTATTTTGTGAACTCTTATAATTTCCTCCAAAATCTAAATACCTTTTGAAATGAATCTATGAAAAGTATGATATATTGTTGCTAATATGAATTGGATGTTGAAAGATGAGTACTAGTTTAACAAATGGAGAAGAGAAAGGGGAAAGACAATTCTACAGTCAAGGGAACATGAAATAGTATTTATAATCATCTAACTAGAGCTGGGGCAGATATATGGAAGTAGAAAAACAATTTGGAAAGGTAAATTGGAATCAGATGTATAACATCAATAGTTAGGAATCAGCCTAAACAAGGAGGTAAATGACTTATGTACAGCACAAACTACAAGATGTTACTAAAGGGCTTAGATAGTGGCATAAGGAGATGAAAGGATAGCCTATGTTCATAGATAGGGAGATCAGTATACCCAAAATGACATCCTGTCTAATATCATGTAAATTTAGTCAGTTCCCATCCAAATACCAATAATATATTTCAAGGAAACTGAACATAAAATATTGAAATTTATATGAAACCACAAAAGTCCTTGAATTACAGAAGCAACTCTGATTTTTTTTTTTTAAGTGTACTTTATTTTCAAATCTGTTATGCTTATTTAATTATGACTTGGTTGTATTCAAGAGGGGAAAATTCATTCATTCATTCATTCCTTTATACAAGTACTGGGTACAGTCAGAAGTACAGGAGGGTGAGAGAATTCACCAGAGCCAGAACGGGGAGCAGAACAGGCAGACAGACAGAGGACACTGCTGAAGGGAGCAGCGGGCATGGCAGGAGAGGTCTGCGTGCCATGTGGGACCCTTGCCGGTGGCCAGGGATTGAACTGGTGCTGCAGAGGCTGCTGGCGGCTTCGCAGCCCAGCGCTCAACCGCTGCGCCACTGGGGAGGCCCCTTGATTTTGAAAAAAGCAGAGAGATGGTGGTATCACATTACCTGACTTCAAACTTTACTGTAAAGCAGCAGTATTAAAAACAATGTGGTATTGGCACAAAAGTAGATACATGGATCAATGGAACAGAATCAAAAGCCCAGAAATAAAACCATGTACATGCCAGCACCTAATCTATGATGAAGCAGCTATGATGATACAGTGGGGATAGGACAGTTTCTTTAATAAATGGTTTTAGAAAAATTGGAAAACCACACAAAAAAAGAATGAAGTTAAATTATTTGCTAACCCCACACACAAAACTAAACTCCAGGTGGATTAAAGATTTAGCTATAAGATCTGCAACAATGAAATATAGAGAAGAAAACATGGAGGTAGGCCACAATATCAACAATAAAGATATTTTTGGTGACTCAACCCCAATGGCAAAGGAGTTTTAAAAAAATTAATAGTTGGGATTATTTATAGCATTTTCAGAAAGAATCAAAACTCTTCTGATAGGCCTTATTCATTTTAACACTGTGCTGTGTTCTTGCTCATTTAGGTAGTTATCTTTATAAACATTAAGAGAATTTGAAAATGTTAGGACCAACTGAGGATTATCTCAAAGATATCTTTACTTAGATCCTGCACATGAAAGTATTTGTTTCCCAAAATTTTTGTTACAGTAGGAAAGCCTATTATGGACTGGTCTCACAGAATTCTAACCGAAATCAAATACTTACAGATCTTTATTTCAAAATATCATTCTTAGAAAATGTAGATAATAGATTAATACATAGATTTCTCAAAGGATGGAAAACCTATATGATTTGATGACTGAATTTATGGGTACAGAATATCCTGAAAGGAGGGAAGGAGAGAGAAGTAGACTAGACAGCACTGTGTACTGTGTGGGGAGAATACTAAGGAAGCAGTACTTAATTCTGCTTGGGGGCACAGGGAAAGGCTGAAGAGGTGATGACGTGAGCTAGGTCCTTTTTTCTTTTTAAGATTTATTTATTTATTTATACAAAGAAGCGCGGGAGGGCAAGAGAATTTGCCGGAACGGGAGCAGAACAGGCAGAGTGATGAAATTCACTGCTGAGGGAAGCAGAGGGCTGCAGGAGAGGTCTGCACGCCATGTGGGTCCCTCACCCAGCGGCCGGCGGCCGGGGAT